GAGGGTATTAGTTAAGATATTGTAAATATATCAACAATAATCTTTAAAAAGAATTTCTAGAACAACCCGACAATGTACGTCATAGAGATATTTAAATTCTCAATGATGTGTGAGTGTAGCTTGCTTACAGTAGGAACCCTTTGAAGAAAAGGGTATGGCAGACCATCATAACCATCTCCCGACCCACTTGCTCAAAATAGCACGACTCAAAACTTCTTTAAACCTCGAAGAAAAGATTGTTTAATTTACCCTGAATTGGGAGACGGCAAGCAAACATTATTTTAAAGATGGCCCGACGATAGTTTAATTCTCATTGTAGATAAACAGGTTTTAAAAAAAATCCTTTAGAAATATTTTCTGAAGAACAACAGGAACAAGGTGACTCCAATGAGCACTGTGTCACATGATGTGTTTTGTAAGAGGATTTTAAGCTTCCTCTCGACTTATAGATTGAGTGCAATTCGACTGGTTGAATGCTTCTACGTGCATTGAAATACCAGTATTACATTTCCTTTCTCTTGTTTTTTTTTTTAGAAATAATTGAAGGAGATAGTAGTTCAGCCTCTTTGTTATACAATATCCTGTTCTGTATTGTGCAGATGAGTGTAAAGGACTTAATTTTTTTTATTCAATTGCTGGTTGGCCTTGTGTGTGTTTGAATGGATGTCTTTTGTTTTGCTGAATGATTCAGCATCCGTGCTTTACATGTGACTGGAGGTACACTGATGAGGCATTATTGTCCAATTGTTACATGCACAGATATAAACATAAAAAATAATCTTGCTACCAATAAAATGACTACATTTTATTCAAAAATATTTAAAAATACTTAATTGCATAACAACGAGTATCAAAATATAGGAAGTGTTTCGTTTGAATGGTTACATGAAGGGAAAGTTATCCTCTCCCTATGTCTTCCTATTTTTCAGATAAAATAGCTCGTACAGGATACAGTTATCAGTCGTGTTGAAAAAGGACTTTGAGAACATCTAAATCATCGATTTATAATGGAGATAGTCATCTATCTCACAAAGGGTGACAGGTGAATATCATATATTTTTACATCTGAACATTTGGAATGCTCATAATCAACTTAAATATGGTAATTTAGAAGATAATCACAATGGTTTCAATATCATTTATCATTTTTAAGTGAATTTAAGAGTAGCTAATAATGTTATTGGATAAAAAAATTAAATTTCTTGAACGACAAACATCGATTATGTAAAATTAAAGCCATTAAGATTTGTATCCTTGCAGCATATTTGAAAGTGTTGCGCTAAGGTTGGAGTCAAAATTTAATGTACAGCTGTAAATACATAATTTGTTTCTCTATGACAAATGTTAAAAGAATCATTTACCAATTTCTATGGTCTTAACACATTTTTCAACACAGACAAATAAAATTAAGAACCCACACAATAATATGAATCTGGTAAATCGAATATTTCTAAACCAATGAATTAATCATCTCTCATAAAACGATTCTCCTATCCTGTGGACTGTTCATGTAGTAGAACTTATTCAAAAACTATATGTCACACTGGTTGTGGTCTTCAGCTTGACATTTCGATGGCGTTTTATCAATTAAAAATAGATACTTCCATTAATATTTTGACGCAATTTATTATAATGAACTAGAAATAAAAGATACCCCAGAATCATATTTGAATATTTTACTCTATAAAAGGTGTTATTTATACCATAACAACAACTTATGATAAACGTGATGACTTCTTTTTTGAAAGTCTACTTCCCTTACTTGTTAAGCAAGATACCTCTATGCGGTTTATGTCTCCCAGTTGATTAGATACGCAAGAGCATATATACTCTAAGCATGAACAATTTCTAAAACATGGCAAGTTTTTGATCAGGAAGTTGATGAAATGAAGGATATGGAGATAACAAACAGTGTCCAATATAAAAGTCCATGAAACAATACAAGAGATCTCCAAAACATCAGATGGGATAGGTGTAATGCCTACCGGTCACACCCACCGTGTGCTCCTTTCATGACGGGAAATACGAAAAATTTGTTAATTCAGTGTATAAATACTAACAATTTATGAAAAATTACACATTGATAATTGTATTGTCTGACGGATTCGACCATTTCAAACTGATGTTTTATTCTTGTTTCATCAACTTGTTTGTCAATAATTTACCTCGTTTAAGAAATTTTTCATACGTAGAACATGCTCGAATCAACTGAGATATATAAACTCCGTATGCAGGTGATGAAGATATATTGCTGCACAAGTAAGGGAAGTTGACGATAGAAAAGTTAAAAAGCCATCACGTTTATCATAGAGCTTGATTGTTATATAGATTACCATTAATGTCTTTTTCAAGTAAAATATCCAAGTATGAAACAGATATGTCAGACTATCAATAACCTCGTTTAAATTTAAGTCATTATATCGAAATTCCATGGTCAATAAAATGACTTTGTCAGCAAATACAATTTTTATATAGTAATGTCGAATTCTGATGTACGTTTGCATATCATTATTTACACATTGAATTGTCTACGGATTTTACCGGGTTTTTTTCGATCTTGTAGTGTTTTGATAGATCCAACTTTTAAGTCCTTGCTCTCCCCCCACTCCATCTGTAGTGCTTATAAGCTTGATTACTCTTCGTTTTCTCTATATCTCAATGTCTATTCTGTCATTCGATTGGCAATCATAACCTATAACTCTATACACATCCATTCTGTACAAAGATCTATCAAATTGGATGCAGCAGTTTGCACATATTCTATATGTATACTTTTTCAGATGAGATTTGGAGAAGGATCAATAAAAGATTTCTCATAATGGTAAATAAATCATATGCATATATATATAAAGTTTGTGTAGATGTCAGGTAGAAATAGAGGTGAAACGTAGGTCATTATCATGATCACGTCTAAAGTTGTGTCTCCTTTTATGCGTCTTATTTTAGGTATTGAAGGTCAGTATGTCTCTTTGGGATTTGCTTTATTTAATCAGCATGTTGCTGAAGAACTGTTATGTCCTATTTAAGGAGGAAGATGCAATGATGCAGGAAACATTTTCTGAAGACCTGACTAGCACAATTCTTAATACTGGATATTTGTCGTCTCCTCTTTAAAAAACCCATCTTGTACATATTGTACATGTGTTTGAAAAGGTAAGTACTGCAGAATGTATCAGAAGTATATAGACTCCTTGCATTTTATCACTACTTCATTGCAAAAATACAATTTTGGTGAGATTTTTGAATTTTCTCATGTTGTATAATTGGATTATAATTAAGGTTTCGTCAAATTAAAGGTCAACATGTCCAAAAAATTATTTTTAAAATAGCTCGAAAACTGTGAGGTATCAATTAAAATCTTTTACAGTTAATAAATATATCATTGATTAACGGATAAAAAGAATCACTTGAAAACAAATATTTACAAAAAAAAATATTTTGAGAAAAATTGTTTCAAAAAATGTGCATATATAAAGAAAAAAGCACCTGCTTAATTCTGTCCCTTTTGTGAAAACCATCATTGCAGAAATAGTATATGTTTATCAATGAAAGGCAAGTTGGACGTAAATGATCCCTGAAAGGTTGTTATTGAAAGCATGACATGTAAAAAGACAAGATCTTTATAAAATCCGCCATTTGCACTGTACTTTCGCTTTCAATTCTTAACATTTGGACAAAATAAACGGGGATTACAACTTTCCAGAGGCTATCGAAGTCCAACTTGCCCATCGTTGATAAATATATCTGCAATGATGGCTTTCACGTAAAGCACGGAATTAATTAGATGTATTTTTTTTAATGTATGTATTTTTTAAAAAGAATGTTTCTCAATAAATATTTTTTTCTAAATATTTGTTATCAAGTCATATTTTCTTTCTGTTAATCAATGATATATTTATAAACTGTAAAAGTTTTAACTTTATACCTCACATAGTTTTGGAGTAAAAACTAATGTGAAAAAAAACAATTTGTAATATTTTTTCAAAATGTTATAGTTTATATAATCTTTTATATATCAAATTCTGTATTTCATTGTTTTAATAATTTATTAATAATTTATTTTTCACTCATGTTTTTAAGACATTTGAAAACAAAAAAGAAAAGCTTCATGTATGATTCGAACTCTCTCCATAGCGCAAAAAATTATATACAAATGTGATTTTAACGGGTTTGTTAAGTAAATTTTTTCAGAAAAGTTCAAAAGAATTATAAGAAAATGGTTATTTCATTATATAGCGACAAGGTAAATATTCGTTTTTTTTTTTAACCTAAATATGCTTAACTGTAAAATAAAGATATGATAACGTTTTGTTAAATAAAATAATAAAATAAAAATGAACATGATTTTAGAAAAATATAACTTTTTTGTGAATTTTGAAAAAAAACATAACAACCGAAACCTTAATTCTAGAAAAAAATCATATACAAATTATTTTAACTTGACTTCAAAAGAATTATAAGAAAATGGTTGTTTCATTATATAGCGAGAAGGTGAATATTTTTTTAACCGTAGTAAAATGATATGTACATATAAAAATGACTTGTACAAAATATAAAACGACATTGTTTGTATTCTATTTTGAATTTTGATTATGAAGAATAAGACTTCGTTTTATGCCCTATAATCGATTGAATATTTACTAAGAGTACATATATTATGATATGTGTATATTCTATTCATTAAAAGCTAAAACTATCATACAACTGCCTTATATTGGTAAACTCGAATGATGATGCCTAAAGAAGGTAAAGATTTTCTCAAAAACAATAAATATATCTTAATTTAGTAGAAATAAGATTAATTGCAGCCTAAATTAACTTCATGTAATCTATACCAACTAATTATGCAAATGTATTGATGAATTCTGATTCCATGTGATTGTTGTACTGAATGTCGCTTCTAATACATCTAAGCATGAATCTTAATTATAATATCTCCCAAATTATCATCATATCGTACACTTGGCTGTTATTCACATTATGGCTTGGCTTTCAAAAGTGCTAGATTCTGCGAGAGAAATTATAAGTGCCTTTTACCTTCTATTGTGCTTTTACAAGCCACTAAGAAATGTGAAAAATGAATAGTTTGAATTATAAAATTTTGAGAGTGAATAAAAGGGATTGATAACAATATTCGTAACTATTTTTGCAGAAAAGGTAAGATTTTTTTCTCTTAATTAGATGTCTAAAAAGATTTCAATGTACTTATCGCGATAACTAAGATTGATCATATACAGTAACAACAATTGATCTGAAGAACCACTGCTTAGTTCTTTTCACTCTCTTAATCTGATCTTAAAAATAAAAATTATAGTTCATGAAAAGCATCTTCTTATATAGCCTAGGTAGATTCTATATATACATATTATTGTTTGACAAAAATCAGTTTTTATCATTATGCTCTTTTTTATCCAAGATATATAAAACATTTGGATATAAAAACCTACATTTGACTTTGTTTTGTAGATGAATCTTGGTTTGAGAAATGCTTCACAGCTTTTTATAAGCGCCGTTTCCTCCTTGAGGGAGAATTACAGTGACAGTGAGTACGATGTTCGGGTTTTCAGAGCTGAGCTAATGCCAGCGTTAATCTTCGTCTCCTGCCTACTGCCGATTGGGATTATTGGAAATGCTTTTGTTTGCTGCATTTATCATAAGAAATGGCGGGAAAGCCGACGATCGTCCCGTTTGTTCATTTTATCTCTGGCATGGATTGATTTAAGTAACTGCAGTATAACGATGCCATTTGAGATTGTGTTGATGTTAAATTCAACTACGTTCGACAACGCCATAATCTGTAAATCCTTTCGGTATTTAACCTTCATGCTTAACTGCATGTCGTCTATTATACTAATTGGTATTGCAGTAGATCGGTTTATCGGAATTCGATTTTCTAGGGAAAAGGCCTTCGGAATACGAGAGGTCAAGATCTGTATAATAATTGCCACATTTATATCTGCCTTAACATGTTGGCCTGCATTTCTCTTATATGGCACTCAGACTTACTATCGGAATGGTGTAAAATCAAAAGCCTGCCTCATTGACAATAGATATAAACATACCATATTTCAGTTTGCACACAGTTTATATCTCATAGTAAGCAGTCTGCTAGTAGACTTTATATTAATAATTTTATACTTATTGACATGGAGATCAATTTATGTAATAAACAGAGGATTCTCAAAGATCAAATTTTATGAAGGAAACAAAGGCTTGAAATATGGACGACTAGACGGTTTTCTCTCTTGCTGTAAGAAGCATGAAAGTTCAGAGTCTTCAAACGCCTCTTTCAATTCGACCACTACTGAAAACACTTTAATAATACAAAACAATGGAGAATTAAAAGAAAATTCAAGTTCTGGGAACCAGTTGACTGTCCCTATGGAGAGATGTTACAAATCAGGAACCCCAAGAAACAGTGTGTATTCAATCAGATCCGAAAGTATAAGATTCGGACCAAAAATACACGTCACAAAGTCCTACATTATGTTGTTCTCTGTGACAGTTGTGTACATTTGTACGTTTTTACCATTCTGTGTTATTGCTATACTCAGGTGTGTTAACCCGGCCATATATTCCACATTATCTGTGATGGAAACAAACTTATATCAACTATTTTTACGGTCGTACATGTTAAATATGGCAGCTAATCCGGTAGTGTACTGTTTTGTGAACAAAGATTTCAGGAAAGACTGCAAGAAACTTTTTACTTGTTCTTCAAATAAATCAAAGTGGTGAATAAAAAATTGATGTTTCCAAGGACTTGGAGTGTGAAGTTTATAAAACAAATAACACTTATGAGCCATTTGCGTCATATGTCTATAGATGAAGCTTCTACCAACAATAATGTGTCTGGGTGTAAAAAATAAATCAAGACATGCATTATACTGCACGAAAACAAAACCTATTCAAATGCCATTACAATCTCCAACAAAGCAAACAAAGTGTAACACTTCATAAAGGATGGAATGAGTGATAGGGAACACAAGGAGTCCGTCGGATCTCTGCTTGTTGTTTAAAAAAACACAATGAAAAAAATTCATCTTGAAGGTCCATACATTTTAGATATACGTTAATTTATATGTTCTTCTAGAACACCCTATTTCTAAATTTACATTTTTCAATTTTTTATGGAAGTTATCACTTAATATTGAATAAAGCATTTTGACATTTTCTTTTCAGATAATTCAACTATAAACTGTATATCACTTTTTTAAGTGAACTTTATTTTCGCGTAATTCTAGGAGACAGTGTGATCGCGAAATTTTAATTCATGCGTATAATAAAATTCCTTCGGATTATATAGAGCAATAATCACAATTCGTGAAAATTTTGTCTCGCTTAACAAGAATCAATGACTGTCTCGCGAAAATAAGGTGTCGAGAAAATTAAGTGATTTGCAGTATATGTATCCATCGCTAATGGAAAATGTCGGTTTTGTACACTCATTATACATAAAAAAGAAAAGTATTTTGTTGCATTCATAAAAGTAAATGTTTTGCTTTCATGAAAATCATATATATTCCGATAATATTAATATGTATATTTATTTTAGACATATGTAACTAATTATATCGCCGAGACATATATTATGAAGTTCTATCATCTTTCAGATGCAGTATTGTCAAAATGCACGAATGAAAATGTAGTTTTTATTCTATAAAATAGTGTATGATAAGATAGAGAGAATTATTATGTCAGCTATTTAAAGCATTGATCCTTTCCATTGATTGCTTCGTATTAATTTCATATATACGTAAAACAACTGTAAATTAATGTTATCAACAGACAAAAATTGGTTATGATAATGTACAAATACATGTAGGCAATTAGAAGTATACGAGAATTTGGGTCTTTTTATATAGTATTAACAGAATTATCTATTTCAAATAATCATCACGTATCTGCTTTCTTTTGAATTTATTTTTCATGAAATCTATTACAGTCAAACTTACTAAACTAAAAGACAACATACATTTTACAGTGTATATTCCTGCTTTTCGAGAAATGCAAATTGATATAAAAACACACACTGCTCTTATATTTTTATTTCCAAACTTCCTCCATAAACATTTTAGTATTTAGAGACAATAATTTAGTCGAAGCTCTTTCTTTTTTTTTAATTGAAAAACTGTTACCTTTATAGACAGGATTCCATTTCTGAGTAGTACAGAGTTTAAATCCTGCCGACAATCTTACAATAACTTCTGTTGGAAAAGTTATAAGAGCATTGAAAATTGACTCTAATAATACTTTTCTTGAAAATGAAGCAAGCATTTACAACTCCCTCGATCCTTATCTGAGGATATATGTTTTTTTTTATTTATTTTTTTTTAAAGTAAAGCTAAGCTCTTCAGTATAGTAGCAAATATCATAAAATTTTAAGACATTACGAAAAGGTAGATATTACAGCGATCATTTACCAACCCAGTTCAGATTTCGAATCGTAAACAGGAGAAAACAGTTGCTTCAACTCCCAGAAGTAGGAGCATGTGCGTAGGAGGAAGAAATCTTCCTTTTACAATCAGTCACGCCTCAGTTGATCCCTCTATTGAACAAATAAATGGAATAATCCATAACATGGTATAAAATATGGCCTAACAATTTGTGAAAATCATGTGAGTCGGAATACGATTAAACGATAGCTTATTTTTGCAAACAAGGTTATAACGACCTTAAAATTTGCTAAATGTTGCCTTTTAAAAAGATAATAATGCATGGTTTACGCCACTGGATTCATAAATTGAAATGCAAGCAAAATAAATTCTTTTTTTATATTTCATTTATCTATATGTGTGCTTTTATCATAACTTTAGATAACAGATGTAATTTAGCAAATGTTTGCAATCCAGTATAACACTGGGCATATAACATATTGTGTAAAAAAAGACTTATTCAAAATCATTTAAGGTTCAAAAGATCAGATACTGGCAAAATTGGCTTAAAGATCCTTAAACAGATTGTGTCATTTTTAGCATTCAATAAACATGATAAAACACATATGAATTATTGGTCTGTTAAAAAATAAATACAATGAAATATGTATGGAGATAACAAACAATTTTCAAGCTCACAAGTCCATCTAACAACACAAGTTTAGGAGCAGATCAAAACACGGGCCTCTATAACGTCAGAGGTGTGATCAGGTGCCATGGAGAAGTAAGCACCACTGCGATCAGTCGCGCCTGTCATGTGCGCCTTTTCATGATCGCGAAATAAAAACAAATACGTATTTGTTTTTATTTCGCGATCATGAAAAACAAACAATCAAGTGTGTAAAATAATCAAAACGAAAAACGTCCGTCAGCATTTGATTTAATGATAGATTGTTTTAGCTGACAATGTCATTGTATCTACCATAGAACTCCCAAAATAATACTTTAAACGAGACTTCTAATATTCTCGTTTCATCAACTTGTTCGTCAATAACTTACTTTTTTTTATATTGATCAAACAAAAAACGTGCTCTTGTGTATATAATCCACTAATAATCAACTTATAAATATAAACCCCGTTACATATGCAGGTGATAAAGGTCTATTGCTGCAAGAAATGCAACAAGTATATACGGAAAGTTGACTATTGAAAATTTCAAGTTTTTCACGTTTATCATAAAGCTTGTTAATTACCCTCTTATTCCAGTAAAATATCTTTTTTCTAGTAAAATACCGGGGTATCTAGATATGAATTTCAAACATATTTGTCAGACTTTGTTAAGAAAAAACTTTTTATTTCAAGCTTACAGGGACATTTTATCAACGTAAGAATGGAAACCATTGTTAATTGACAATACATCGTCGATATACCAGTATCTAAATGTCTAGTTGAAGGCCGAAGGAAGTGTTACCTTCATTTCAAGAATTAGTACCGAAAAAAGTTCTATGATTACAAAATAAGTCTGCTAATAACTGTATAACGGAGGGCAATTCATACGTACATGTATGGAAATTCCAAGAAATTGTTGAAGGACGTGGTCTCCAAAAACCTCGTAGATATTGACAATCAGAAATTTAAGCAACCTTTTTGATATCAATTTCAGAGTTCTTGTGTGTATAATTTTAAAAAAAAATTTGCAAATGACCAATGACAAAGTAAGTAAATAAATATTGAGTTCCATGTCTGTTGAAATATTAGATATTTAAAAAACTGGACTTTATTTTATTGTAGGAAATGGTTGTTTATAAGGTTGAAAAGACGCAAGTTTTCATGTTGAACATTGCTTTTTGTTAGTTTTAGGATGTCTGTCTGTTTGATTTAATGATAAGCTAATATGAGAAATCCGAGTAAGAACTTGATCATTGCATTAGGGTTTAAATTCCAAAAGGAGACTGTTTAAAGTATAAAAATTGTGGCAACAAATTATCTTCAAAAGCCATAAAGATTTAATTGGATACCTAAAAGATTTTTATTAATATATGAAATGTGTTAATTGATCAAATTTGAATGAAATTGAATGATTAATGGAAAATGCATAGCAGGTGTTTTGAAATAAGCAATTAAGTAATCAAAAATTCCTGAAAATATATTTAAAGTTAAAGTTAATCATATTATATTTGCTAATTTTCTGCAAGTTATATAATATGATTAACATTCAGAGAAAGATGGAAGTTTTTGATTTCCAGAATTATAATACACAGTGTAAAAGCCTTTTGCTATCATTAAAAATCACTTCTTACTTTGAAAATTCAGAGACATTTTTGTGAGCATGTATTAATTTTTTTTTTCAATCAGTCTTATAAAGAAGAATAAAATGAAAATTGTTGCATGAAAAAAATTTATTTTGAAGCTTAATTTTGATGCATTTCAAATTAAATATTAATTTTTGGAGTTATCCTTCCTGGCTGAGGATCGGATATCCTTAAAGTATAAAAATTGTGGAATTTCTTCAAAAGCCTGGATACCTATGATTTTTATTTTTGAAATGTGTTAATTGATCAAATTTGAATTGGAAAATGCATTCGATCCTGAAAATATATTTGAGATTTACCAATTTTCTCTATATAATATGATAAACTTGAAAGATGAAGTTTGAAAAAATATCGTGGGTAAAAACACGTTACTTCAAAAATTGGACATTTTAGGCTATGTGGCAGTCTGGTAGGCTATGTATATTTTTCCGACATATCCTTATATTCAGGGTTTTGCGCAGACAGTCGGACTTTGGAGTACATGTATATATAAGGACCAATTACTTTGAGGAGAGAAATAAAGAGAGATGAATGCGTATGAAATTGTTCTTTTTATTAATATGTAAATAAAAAGGTAAAAAGGTTACGTACTCAATGAGAAAACCTAGGGCTTAATTGTCTGCCGAATATTTTAAGCTTTAGAAATCCGTATGGCTTTCTTCTTGTCCCATGGCCTAAACTGAACACAGACAATTCGTATTTCCACTCTCCATTTTAATACTTTTAGCATTCACTTGTGATTCATAAACCCTTAGAGGATGTTGTAATGAAACGCAAATCCAGATGGTATGAGGAAGCATTATATATTCAGGATAAAACGATTGGAAAGAATTACGAGTCCAGATTACAAGAATTTTCCTCAATTCACGTTGTATTTTCATTTATAATAAATTAGTAACGAGGACATACAACATATGTAGCACTGACACGATTTCAGTATTTGATATATATTTTTTTATACTGGTTACAAAATTATTTTAATTCTTAAGTAGGGTTTATTTTCTTTGAAATGTGCGAAAAAACTTAAAACCTTGATAAGGTCATTCTAGTATTCAAATTATTTCCTATTCAATTTATCTCTTTCTGAACGTTCTTTTTTTCTTTTTTATAATATTAGGATATTGATATAAAGAAAACTGAAATTGAGATCGGTCATTCAAGGCACATTAGTAGTACAATCAAGTCCTCTTACTCCCGTTATTCTTCAAAATACTAGTTAGTTCTATTCTATTCCTATTCCACTGTTGACCATGATTGGAACTCGAAACTTTAGGACCCTAGGCTGCTTGCATATTAATCATGACAATGTGTATCTTGAAAAAAAAAATTAAAGTATTGTTACCAAGACAATACGTATCCTGATATATAGTTTACCATCAAACCATGTCGCCCGCACGAGGCGTAGTGATAAGAGTGTTTTCTAGATAGAATCGTTGACTGAGGGATTGTTCCTTATTTCACTGTTTCGAAGTCTCCTGTGAGAGATAAGTTAAGATGAGCCTATATAGCAATGTCCCTTATTCAATCAAATGTTGATAACAAAAAATAGTTAAATTTTTTTTCTAATTAATCTTGTCGTACACAAGAGTACTCTGAATCTTATATTAAAGGGGATGTCTAGACACCTTAGGTGAAATAAAAACAAAATGTAAACAATTTTCAAATGACTAAAGTAAACTAGAATTTGATCAAATTTCAGGACATGTGTAGATAATTCATACACTGTACTTTTGCAGTAAAGTGCTTTTTATATGCTCTCTAGAACTGCGCAACTACACAATTCAGCAGATCGAGCATTAAAAAATCCAAAAAAAGTGTGAATTAATGTTCTCACTACATCCATTTGTTGAGAAAATGTCTAAATTTTGCATTGTTAAATGGTAAATTCGAGTTCAGAACAAGGCACTGTTGTCTTCAAATGAGTATAAAGAAATGAGTATAAAGAACCCAGAAAGTAGTTCATGGATAGCAGCACGTGATCTATTTTTAGCAATTTTTCTAGGCCACTTCTTATTACTGATGGAGGCACATAATGGTCTAAAATGAAGAAACTTAAAACTACAGGAAAAGTAATAATACACCTCTATTTTGAAAAAGTAAGAGATTTTTAATTGTCTGAAAGCAAAGAACTGTAGAATTTGTTATATTACGCTAATCTATATAGCAACTGTTCAATATTAATTATTATTTACTTTAATTTATCATATTACACACAACTCCCAAATTTTAATGTGTTTACATACTTTAAAATATTTTTCTATCTTAATTCTCTTGTACTTTAGGGCATTATGTGCCTCCATAATAAGAAGTGGTCTGGAAAAATTCTGTGCTAAAAATAGATCACGTGAATAGTACTTTCATGGTCATTTTGAAGACAACAGTGCCTCGTTTTAAACTCGAAATTACCATTTAATAGTGCAAAGTTTAGACATTTTCTCAAGAAATGGTTGTAGGACAATAATGCACACTTAGCATCTTTTTTTGGACTTTTTTAATGTTCTGCTGAGTTGTGTAGTTGCGCAGTTCTAGAGAGCATGTCAAAAGCATTTTCTGCAAAAGTATGAATTATTTAAACAATTAAATCATGCATTCAGTTATGCATATTTATTGTATCTTTATCATAGGACTTGAAATTTGATGAAATTATAGTGTACTTCAGTCATTTGAAGAATTGTTTACATTTTGTTCTTATTCCACCTACGGTTATGGCCGGACATCTCCCTTAACCTGATGCTGGAGTTTCTCATGGACACTCTTGTGTACTTAAATATCGGAGACAGATCTTCTGCTTGAATTTCTACAAGAACCAATCGTGTTAGATTATGAGCAGATGTGAATATACGTTTCCATGAAGAATTTCTTTAAAAACTTATATATGAGGAAAAAAAACTTTCCATCGAAATTCCAACAGATTATTTGAAAACCTGGTCAATAAAAACTATATAGATTTTGTCAATGAGGAATTTCAGATCTCTTTAGTGGACGTTTTGCGAGAAGCACCGACTTTTACAGTTGACGGTTTACTTTGACATTTAAACCTGAAACATGTACAGATGTTCAGAATCAAAAATAGATAAGAATATCTTTCTAGTGGTTAAAGGTATGATGTTTATTTTCGTTTACAGGTGTAATTAAATTTTGAGCTAAATATTTATATTGTAAAAGAGCTTCCAAACATTGTCCTCGTGTAAAAGTAAGCTGTCAACAGTAAAAGTCAGCGCTCCTCTCAAAAGTCTAGTACATGTACTTTCATTTAGAATCAGATTTTTAAAGTAAGATTGTAGATGATCGATTAATACATTTTTGTTATAAATTCTTGGGCAGGATTTTTATTGAAGAAACAGCTGGCTTTGCCAAATCCCTGCTCTTTTATTCATTACAAGGAATAATTGTATAAAGCGGGAAATTAAATGTTATAATGCTAATGTAATGATGTTTGAGAAATTTTGAGCTTTTAACATTTTTAAAAAGTTTTTTTTTTATTCTTTTAAAAATTATATCTAATTAAACTCACTTCTTGAATTTGTTCTAGATCTAGAACAATAAGTCTGAACTTTCTCCTTCACAGAATTTTAAATTCTGTGCGCGTCTGAAACATTGAAATCTCACTTTTCTCCCTTTTCGTTGCCTCAAGACTGAAGTGTGATAGTCAACTTACTACAGACCTCTACATAACTCTGATCAAGGAGACATTTCTTTACTATGTGCATTTTATTGCATCTTTTTAAATAAATAATATCAATCTAAGCTATAATAGTGAAATTAAAAATTCGGAAATAAAAATAAATATTCAAACATAAAGTGTATAACATGGTGTGAAAACATCTTATTGATCATTATTCTTGTTATTCTATATAAATATAAAATTTCAGATCAATTACAAAAGAACATTTTAATGACGGATCCCGGCTCGGGGGCCATAAAACTTAGATGAGCTCACTTTTAATCACAGCCTCACCTTGACCAAAGAAATTGATAGTAAAAAAACGAGGCTAAGATCAATAGTGAGCTGGTTGAAGTTTTATGGCCCTGGGGCCAGATGCCCTTGTCATCCATAATGTTAGTTACAATCCCAATATTAGCAATATTAGCGTCTAATTCTCGTTTTATTTACTTATAAAAAATATTTCTTGTAAAGACACATCTCTGTCTTGATGAAAGCAGATCACGCAAAATACATGTTTTTTTAGAGAAAGATTTAAGAGGGGATATATCTAGAAAAAATATACCTAAGAGATCACGCCAAATAATCAGACTTTCCCGTTTGTTACACTGACATATACTCCTTTACAATGGGATGATGGATAAAATTACAAAGAGAGGTTCTATAACTACAATACAGTTTGTACATGGAAACTATTTCAAACAAAATGAAAAAGTCACATTGCATTAGAAAAATAGACAAGTATAAAAATCAAAACTCACAACATATAGTAAATGGACGGATCAGCTCTTATACTAGTTCATGTAGATGCCTATCATAAATTAATTTATACAACATGCAACAACAACAAAAATATGCAAATGACAAGCAATCTTCATAATAAACATTTGTTATCAGTCTAAGAACATTTCAAACAACTTTGTTCTTGTCAAAATGAGGCAAGAAACATTAACGAACACACAAGCATGAATTGTTTCTCCTATTTACATTTACTGAGCAGTTTTAAAATAAAATGCATGGAATTTACCATCATAAACGTATTCATGTGACAGTAAATTATCAAGAGTTTAAAATAATCACAATCCATTGAACTCAACTTAAATGTTTAAATATTTCTGAACAAAATATTACAACACCAATTTACAATGTACATGTTAGACTACAAAATAAAGAATGTAAATGTGGACATGGTTTTACGGTACGTAAGAAATCAGAAGTATTTCGAAAAAAATTAAAGACACTGATAGATTTTGAAAAAGTTTCACAAGATGTTACGTTTGATAAATATATACTGCAAATTCTTAAAGAGGCTTAATGAGTGTTCTGAAATAATGAAAAAAAGGCATTTATATATAATTTGTTGCTTAAAAATAACAGCATTCTGATTAAAATGTGTAGCAAACTACCTATTTCTACTACGTAAAGCCCATTCTTTTCACTCCACACTCACAACAAAACTTGGCTTCCGATAATGGGTACTTAGATCCACATTCATGACAAAATTTGGCACCTGTTTTACCCAGAGAGTTTCTTTTATCATGGTTCGCATTAGAATAAGAATTCATATGGTCATTGTCTGAACTACTGCTATAATATCCGGATTCCGACTCTTTTGTTCCATAGTGTATCACTCCAGGTGAAATGGTGCCCCTATTAGCGCCTCTGTTGAACGAGAAAATAAAAAAATTGAACATTACTATTATTATTATTATAAAATTTGTAACATGAAGTAGTTTATGCAAAAATGCCCTTTATAATTGTACCTTATTCAGAACATTTTAAAGTAGTTTATTAATTTCCTAACAACTAAGGTTTGATCAGACAAGTATATTACGAAATACTTTCTAAAAATAATGAAGAAATCAGAAAGATTGTTCATTCATGAAAATTTGAAAAATTAAATGAAATATGCTGGACGTTGATCTTTAATGCAATATTTTCCTTGATTTTAGTACATTTAGAAATTTACTCATTTAAATTGTATGTTTAATGAATAAGTTGTTCATCGAAGTGCATGCTATGCTTATATTTCATTATGTGAATAATGTTAGAAACTTCGTTAGATGAGAATACTTGTTTTCACAATGCCTTTTCCTGTAATTTTAATAAATGGAATTAAACATATACGTTATTTTTAATTTCAATATTTTTTTAGAATTTAAAGTCTTTTGAGGGGATTTAAGTATGATAGCACATACCCAATAATGAATCTTGTTTGAGAAAATTTTTATACATGTTTAATTGAAAGGTGAAGAATGATTGGAGCGTTTTAGAACTAGGAAAGGGGCTGATCCTTTCATCCTTAAAAGCTTTTTCCAATCAAGCACTATAGCAAAATCATTTATCCCACAATATTTGTTTTGCATAGAATCATTTATCACACAATATTTGTTTTGCATACGAGAAACCTAATTTGCACCTAGATCTAACCAGGTGCAAATTTACATACAGAAACATTTTTTGCAAATACATGCAAGGGCGTTTACAGCCAAATATGCTTAAATGAGTTTATAAGCATCTGTACATGTATGTATCACTTGCTTCTGATAAAAATCTCGCAGTATAAACAGGGTATTTATTATTGAGAGATTATACAAAATAATGTTAAGAAACAATTCAGGTTCTGAATATTTCCTGGAACAAAAAGAATGGAAACATTTTGCCTTCAAATTGATTAAATAGTAATTAAAATCAGCAATATGAATCCTTTTGAATTACTGTGGAAGTATTTAAAGGCATATTAAACTCAGAAGAATAACATTACAAGAAAAGTGAAATTATGTTCCAAATTGGTGTTTACAAAAGAGTAGAAAACAGGGTGAAATCTTAAACAAGTCCGAAAAAAGTACAATTACTTGGTAATTGGTGATTTGTGACGACAGTCAAAACAAAACAGCTAGAAACAATGACAATAATGATGGATTTTCAGTAAATAAAATCTTGATAAACACGTTCTTACAAGATCGACCCTCGTTAATATCAATTCTTTAGCACCAGGCTTCAAACTGCAAGCACTCTTATTAATGGAAAATCAGTCAGAGACAGAACTATCTAGGTTCTTGTGAATACCACAAGGTATTAATGTCTGCAAATGGAAAACAATTGCTCTCTGCTGACGAAATATAAAAACTAGATTTGTTATTTGGCGCACGAGATCTTAATGATCTAGACTATATAACGTGAATAAGTACAACTGAAACAAGTTTAAGTACGAAATGCTCTGCAAAAATAAAACTCATGTTAAATGTTAACCACATGAAAAAAGATAAATTGTGCACAATGGGAACAAAATCCTTCCAATAACTTTTTATGTGACCTAGCTTTTCCAATGATTAATCAAAAAAAGTTAAGTATTTAATCATCAGTCTCCTCCTGCAAAAGAGCTTAGTCACATTAAGATAAACAATTCTGGGATGATCCCATTTAGTATAAGCGATTAATTACGTTATTCTCCAGCATTAGAAATGTTTAATCAGCTGATTGCTCATTCCTTCCATTATGAGCAAGGTTGTCCCCTGTACAAACCATTTCCGATGCAATGATTATAAATGTTATATATCTATTTAACTATTTATATAAAGGAATCACGCAGCGTTTTGATCATAGTCATGCTCATGCATTTACTTACGCTGATTTGTGTCGTCTTAATAAAACAAAAAATAAAGAAATATAACACAAAGTACATGTTAAACAGAAAAGAATTACAACCTGCATTTAATGAAGAAAAGGAACTGTGTTACATGTACCTTAGTAAAACTTGATGAACACACAGAAATGAGTTTTGGCAGCAGAAAAATAAAAACTTGAAAATTGACAATCGCAAAAGTAGCAACTTGCAGTGCTGAAGAAATGCAGTAATATACCTCATGAGGCGATTATTTGAGGCACTTTTAATGCCCGCCGAATGCATTTCCCGCCGAGCTTCTTGATACGCCCGGCCATCTCGGCCAGTTCTAAGGGCACGCCCATTTCCATCATACACGGAATCCTCTCCGTACTCACTGGCCTAAATACACACAGTAAGAGGTAACGTCACACAATCTTTATGGACACCTACATAGTCCATTCAATTTTATCATTTAAAAACAAAAATTTATTTAACCATTTTTAATTTCTGATATTCCCATATATTCTATAATTTTTTTTACTTACTTACTTTAACTACAGCACAATGTTGTTAATTTAAAGTTTTTAGTCAAAAAAAATTAATATTTATTAGTCAGCCACCGCAGTTTAAACCACAATGTGTTGTTAAGGCAATTTGAAAGAACATGTAAATTAGTGCATTTTACATGTAATTCTAATGAAAAAAAATTATATATTTATCGCATAGTCTAAGGATTTATATAGCGTAAGCATACTATGCCGAAATAGTGCACGGCCTTCTTTTGTGAATAAAATTCTTCAGTGCACACACCGGGAATCGAACTCACGTCCATCAGGTTGCCAGTCCGATACCTTATCGATTACGCCACAGAGACGATCACTGATTGGGAGAATTTTATTAAACATATAAACTTAATTTATACAATTGACACAAGAAGGAGAAAATAGGCAAATATTATTTGAAAACAGTTATATTTATTCTAAGGAATCTTACATAAATGTGTACAACAAAGTTTCAAACTAATTACATACAGGTAGAATTGATATTGCATTAAAACGCTTTTTTATATAGCGCTTGATTGAAGGATGTAAAAGAAAATTATTACATGTAAACAAAATTACTAACAAAACAGAAAATAAAGAAATTGGGACGGAAAATCCTGATTTAGAGAAAATACTAGTAACCAAAATAAATAAGCATGCAGCTAATTTTAGCATGAAGATTTTGAATGAGTTTTTGCAAGTTCGCTGTATTACCACCATTATTTTCAGGAAAAAATCAAATGGATTGGCATAAATAATTCAGCATAATAAAATTACTGCCCAGTTGTGCACTCGCCTCCGGCTCGTGCAACAATTACAAATATCAACACTATTATATAATTATCTGTAGCAATATCTTTAGAGTGTTCCTTTTTTCTTTTCAGGTTTTGAAATGATTCTAGTTGCACTTAACAATTATAAATAAAGGGTTGAATATCACTTTACACTTCAGATCCCTATTCCCCGCAGGCTCTGAAAGAAACTCTGTGGTTATACGGAAGTCGACAATTGTTTTTTGATTCATTTTAGGGTATTTGAAGCCAAAGTCAAATGGTTTGTAAATCGATATGTCTTTCCTATGATTGTAGGCGATGTTTGTAAAAAATAAATTACGTTAGGTTCGTTGTGTTTGAAGAGAGGTTGGTCGATTCTCAGGAATTGAAGGAGGAACTGATACAATAGAATATCCTTTAACAGTCAGGAAAGAGAGAAAAGGTGTTCCATAGGAGTGCACTCACACATATAGACGTAAGACTTCGTCGCCCGAGTGGCGCAATGATAACGTCTGCTCTTAAGTCACAGAGTAAATTGCTAGTTCCTGTTTCACAAAAGAACTTATCAAAATTCTTTTAAAAAAGAATAACATTTTTTCAAAGTATGCAAAACAGAAACTTATAAGCAGAATTCAATTTTGATCTAAGTTGTTAGTTCTTTTGTAAAACGTGTCGCGGGTTCGAATCCAGATAACGGATTTGGCAACCAGACAAGAGCGCATCAGGGACAAACACTCAATTTAACTTCTGAGCAATAATTTTGGAAAAAGGAAACACATTTTAAAAATCGATAATTGATTTTGAAATTTCTGAGAAGAAAATGGCACTTTACCGACCGAGCGTTTTTTTTTTATCCTTAGTCGGGAGAGGGCAAACTAATATTTAAAGATGACCCAGAACAAATCTTCCTTTGAAGCAATTCCAACATGCTATATAGTATATACCTGGTACATTTTACTACAACTAGTACTGATTTAAACGAGAAATCGGGATAGCTAGAGACACATCTTTTATTTTTGCACCACTGAGCTGGGCATCGACTACAAGAGTCGATGGCGCCAATATGCGATTGTGAGATGTAGCAAGGAAGCAATGTCGCAATGATGCTATGACGATGACATGATGGAGATGGTGTCATAGCAGGATGGAGCAATAGTGAACATCTCTTCGTCATTCTACCACATCACCATCGTCATTGCACCATCGTGTCAACATTATTGCATCAATGGACTATTGTTTCATCGTGCAATCGCATCATCGAGACTTATATATAATCACTGTAAAAACCATCCTACCATCGCACCATCGTCATTTCACCACCGTTTCATCACTTTTGCATCACCGAGCTATCATTTTTATCGTGCAATCACATCATCGAGACTTTTAAAGAATCTTCAACAATGTATTGAAGTTATATCTTTTTTCATTTAAAACCAATTTTTTCACTCATCATGGTTTATACGCAAATGCGCACAAAAAGACCTTGGTTACGTACACAACAAGCCTATTATGCCTAAAAAGGTTTCACCTCAATTAGATGAGTAGATACCAATCCGCGGGAACACTCGCAGACATATTGTCACTGGACAAGCAGAAATTATAAAGTAAAAAAAGGTTTGTTTCCAAATTCCGTCTTGGAAAGATAATAAGGTACGTCTCTAAATTTGTTGAAATTCAAATTGATTTTTGTCCTTAAAGTACGAGCAGGTCCTGATATGAAGTTTAACTAATATTTCATTCAAGCCAAATACAAAGTGTCCATCTTCATCATGTTAAATTGTTCATGTTAAAATCGTGATCAAGGCTACAGAGAAACTGAATCAGAGATTCAAAAAGGTTAATAAAACAAAACAATCCTATATAACTTCAAACATTGTAGCTTCGGTAGTTGTATCAGAATTAAACGATTCTTTTTGTATTTTACATGATTTAAACATCAGGGGTCAATTTGCTGGAGTCTGTGTAATATATCATGTGACATTAATGTTCAATAAAGAGGAGATTCAGTTGTGTCACTTTTATAAATGAACGGACAAAAGAAACTACTAGTCTGTGGATTAAAATAGATTGACTACATTTCTAAACGTCTGATAATCACACTGTCATGCAGGAAATACTTCATTTCAGATAACAGACACACGTTGTTAAAATTAAGCGTCAGCAACAGAAGCTACTCCAATCTATTATCAGCACTTTGGCCTATTTATTACCAAATCCTGTCCATTTCTTAGGGGTTCTAACATCCGCTTGTGGGCAATCGGCTTTGCCCAGACAACAGCAGAGCTATCATTTATCAGAGCACCGCTTGCCAAGTCATCGGGAATCTTCGCATGTGTAATTATCTCTCCTCTTTTGGAGGGGCATTTAGGAGGTAATGATGCAGAGAACTTGACTGTTTTTTGGGGTGAGCTTTGATTTTCAGACTCCACATTTGGAATGTTGGAGTGTTTTATTGTCAGATATTGCTCTATTCTAGGAGTGGTTTGCTGTAAAATAAATGTTTAATTGCAACCTATTGACTTCTTCTGAACTTGAAATAACTTGACATTTATAATCAATAGAACCATTCAACCATCTTCTTAGACATCTTTTTCAATCACTTTTCTAAATTGAGTCATGACAATCATTAATTTCTCTAGAGACCTACTCGTCATGGTCTAAACATCTGCTGTCAGAATAAGATTAGTTCAAATTACTTGTGACCATCACCAAGATACATCCCTCATCAATACCCTCTCAATTCCCAAAGAAAAATATTATGTAAGCAACCAACACCTTTGTGGGGTGACTTAATAAGTACATATATGTACAAAGTGCTATAAAAGTGCAAAATTATAATACAGTGAAGCAACTAAACAAAAGAAAAAGAAGTGAAAAAACTAATTCCATATATGTATACTCTACTTATTGTTTAAAAAGCCATTTTATATTTACATATAAACTATATGTTTGACTGAAATCCTCTAGAGACTATACTGATTGTATACTGATTGTACACTGACCTGGTAGGTGCTGGTGGTGGTGGTAGTGGAACGCCCCCTGGCGTATGAGTTAGGTTGACGCCCACTCATGCTTGGAGGGGTTCCACCAATACCTGTCAAATAAAATACAAACAACATTATATATAAAGCAATCCATGACATTATAATCACTAGTAATAGAATTTTTTTTCAGAAATATTGAAAGAGCTATGGATTTTCAATAAATGAGAAATATATACTCTTGAAAATAAGCGTGATGTTTCAAAAACTAATATCTATAAAGTGATTAATATATACATGTACATGTAGTTGTTTTCTATGCTTCAACCATTTGGTACAATTAAAATATATAGTTTATCAAATAGTCAATATAGTCACATATTTTTAATATTGGTTAAATGATGTTGGTTTTTCTGATTGTTAAATAATTCACCTACATTTTATAGAACTCTTATTTGTTAGTAGTGTCAATGTCATTATTTCTGTAAAATTACGAGTTTTTAATGACACAAAAAAACCCAGATCCTATAAACTTCTGTATAAACAGTACACTTTTGGGACAGTGTATATCTTTGTGATCATTTGTTGCAACTTTGAGGAAACAATACAGTACATGTTAACAACAACGTTTTACTGCAATATGACGGCAATTAGAAACACATGATACTCATTAATTCAATAAAAATATTTAATTAATACAGTCAAATCTTATTATCACCCACTCTATTAGCGACTGAATTTAAATTGTAGGATATCCAAATATTCAAGAATGAGGTAAAGATGTAAAGAAACAATAAATGAGACTGAATTCTAACTCTGACATTTCTTTGGCACATTGTATTTGAGATTTTGAGCTCAACTGTATTCGTAAAATAGTTTTACTATTGGCTTTTGCAATGCAATGAGAGAGAATTGGCTTTAAGGACATTTTCACAAAAAAAGTTTCAAGAATTAATTAAAACAAGAGGCCCATGGGCCACATCGCTCACCTGAGAAGCTTTGACCATTCTGTTCTTTACCAGATTTCCCCGTTAATCTACACTACCCCATGATCCTTCCATGGGCACATATATTTCAGCTTTTTTGGCCCAGTGGTTCCTAAGAAGAAGATTTTCAAAAAGATTTTTCCTATATATTTCTATGTAAAACTTTGATTCCCCTATAATGGCTCCGCCCTTCCCCCGGGGGTCATGATTCCTATAATTTAGAATTTACACTACCCCAGAATGCTTCCACATAAGCTTCACTTTTTCTGGCCCAGTGGTTCTTGAGAAGAAGATTTTCAAAGATTTTTCCTATATATTTCTATATAAAACTTTGATTCCCCATTGTGGCCCCGCCCTTCCCCCGGGGGTCATTATTTGAACAATTTAGAATCTACATTATACCAGGATGCTTCCACATAAGTTTCAGCTTTTCTGGCCCAGTGGTTCTTGAGAAGAAGATTTTCAAAGATTTTTCCTATATATTTCTATGTAAAACTTGGATACCCCATTGTGGCCCCGCCCTTCCCCGGGGGTCATGAGTTGAACAATTTAGAATCTACACTACCCCAGGATGCTTCCACTTAAGTTTCAGCTTTTCTGGCCCAGTGGTTCTTGAGAAGAAGATTTTCAAAGATTTTTCCTATATATTTCTATATAAAACTTTGATTCCCCATTGTGACCCCGCCCTTCCCCCGGGGGTCATGATTTGAACAATTTAGAATCTACATTATACCAGGATGCTTCCACATAAGTTTCAGCTTTTCTGGCCCACTTGTTCTTGAGAAGAAGATTTTCAAAGATTTTTCCTATATATTTCTATATAAAACTTGGATACCCCATTGTGGCCCCGCCCTTCCCCCGGGGGTCATGAGTTGAACAATTTAGAATCTACACTACCCAAGGATGCTTCCACTTAAGTTTCAGCTTTTCTGGCCCAGTGGTTCTTGAGAAGAATATTTTCAAAGATTTTTCCTATATATTTCTATATAAAACTTTGATTCCCCATTGTGGCCCCACCCTTCCCTCGGGGGTCATGATTTGAACAATTTAGAATCTACATTATACCAGGATGCTTCCACATAAGTTTCAGCTTTTCTGGCCCAGTGGTTCTTGAGAAGAAGATTTTCAAAGATTTTTCCTATATATTTCTATATAAAAAATTCCCCATTGTGGCCCCGCCCTTTTCCCGGGGGTCATGATGTGAACAATTTAGAATTTACACTATACCAGGATGCTTCCACATAAGTTTCAGCTTTTCTGGCCCAGTGGTTCTTGAGAAGAAGATTTTCAAAGATTTTTCCTATATATTTCTATATAAAACTTTGATTCCCCATTGTGGCCCCGCCCTTCCCCCGGGGGTCATGATTTGAACAATTTAGAATCTACACTACCCCAGGATGCTTCCACATAAGTTTCAGCTTTACTGGCCCAGTGGTTCTTGAGAAGAAGATTTTTTAATGACCCAACCCTATTTTTCTCTTTTCTTGATCATCTCCCCTTGCGAGGGGATATGTCCCTTCATTTTAACAATTTAAATTTCCCTTCACCCAAGGATGCTTTGTACCAAGTTTGGTCAAAATTGGCCCAGTGGTTCTTGAGAAGAAGTCGAAAATGTGAAAAGTTTACAGACGGACAGACAGACGGACAGCTAGACGGACAGACGGACGGACGGACAGACGGACGGACGACGGACAAAATGTGATCAGAAAAGCTCACTTGAGCCTTCGGCTCAGGTGAGCTAAAAATGTCGATACAAACTTTTTATCAAATCTTTAATAAAACATTCTTTTAGTATCTTATATCCTAACATAAAAGGTAAATCACCCGATCTTTTCAGTCATATTAATTTTGCTTTAATGAGACCTGAATGATTTTCCAAAAGAAAACCTTACTGTAATTGAAATGCAAGCAATTTCAGCATACCTTGTGGTGCAAAATCTCTCAGAAACTGTCTTTTAAAATATGTTAAAGAAAAATATTCATTATTCCATTAAAAGTAATCTCTCTTTTCAGTTGATCATTTTTCTTTAATACAGTTCCAAATCTCAGTACCAGAAAGATAGAAGCTTGTCCATGCTTCAAGACCATAAAATAAGAACAGATTAAGTCAAAAATTAGATATTGACTGCCTTAAGACTTATTAAACTAATATGGTTAAAAATTTGCAAGTTTGTTTAATATTTGAATTCAAACACATGGTAAAAATTTTGATTTCTTTTCAAAATTATTTAAAAAGTTATACTCATTTGAAATTTTGATTTTTGCAGTCAACTCTCAGTTTATGGTCTAGAGGCCAAGTGTACTTCACAGTGATTATGTCTACAAGAGGCTACGTATAATTCTGAGTACATTTCTATGAAACATTCCCAAAAGAAATCTGAATGTTCCATCATACATAAACAATGAATTTTCAAGTATTCTTTTGTGAATTGAAAGTTACACTTCAGCCATGACCATTTTCTTCAAAATCAGTCTAATAATGTAACATTTAATAAAATTAAGTATATGAAGCTGATCAAATTTCCCTAGCCTACTCTACTCTATAAATTACTATAATTTGATGAGAGGGAGGATAACACTATTGCATAAGTTTTCAAAATTAATGGTCAAAACCTCTTTGTTTCTTGCTAGAAACCTATGTACATATATATCATTCCCTTTAAATGCTATACGTGGGCTCTCCTGTGGAAATTGTGATATTAATAGACTCTCACTGTATAAAAACTGTATATAACAAAATTTTCCATTCCCCCTATTATTTCTTTGTGACATCTCATAGAAAAGGTTGTGAGCTTACACACATAAACAAATGATTGTAAAATTTTGATTACAGTTATGAAATTAAGATTAACCAAATGTATCATGAATGAGTATTTCAAAAGACAGGTAAATGCACATCACCTTATAGATATATATATCTCCATTTGTCATTCATACCAAATGTGAAGATAATGAAATTGGAAATTGAATACTCTTAAAGCTTCTATGATGGCCCAAAAAAAATATATATATCTTACAAGATGCAATGCTCACCTAACCCAGACTGTCTCCAAAGTTGTGCTCAAGGTTGGAGAAGTGACCTTTACTTTTCTGATATGAGCTTGGATTTAAATCAGGACACATTTCATATAGATCAATTAACAACGTGATTAAGTTAAAAGACTGTACTTTAAGCTGAGACCTGTCTTGATTGTGTTTGATTTCAACATCTAAAAGGTTTTCCTTTTCTTTGACTTAAGACATGACCTTGAGTCAAGAAATGAGACAATAGTTGTCACATTTCAGGGTAAACCCACTCTTGGTACCGTAGAATAAATTAATACCAATCAATTTTAAGCCTAATGGAATATATTTTCAGCATCTCATACTGGTAGTCAATCAACCTTTGCATTTCACACACATTTCTAAATTAAATCGGTGACTGATCTTCAATGGCTATAAAGTAAGTAAATTATTAATTAATTAAGGCATAATTATTATGTACTATCAAATAAAGATTATAAGCTGTTCTTGAACAAATATATGTACATTTGATGGAAGGGAGCATGATAATTTATGATTCTGCTTTCTGTGACTTGCAAACATTCATGTATGCATCAATATTAGTTTGAAATACAATTAGTTAATCACACATTTAGTACAAAAAATTTAATCTTGACAGTTAGTCAAATTAGTACTGATAACATGGGCAAGATATAAGGAAAGCCAAGCTAAAAACACAGCTGTACCAACAATGTACACGAAAACAGACGAGACTAGCCTCCGTATATACCTGGTCATAACAGAGTACAGGAGGATGACTTAGGGGGTGCCTCCCCTGCTGAGGGCTTAGTCGATTTTTTACTCCCTACAGTTACAAAATGTTTACATGGTAGTCAAGCATCGCTATCTATATCTTATTAACAAAATTCAAAATTCCAAGCACCCATTACAAATTATATTAAAAGCTATAATGAAGTAACTGAACATTCCATCACCAACATTTTTTTTAATCTTTAACAGTTACTTTGAAATAAAATATCAAAAAATGACATGTTTGAATAGCATTTCTTCAGCCTATGTGCAATTAACACATTCAACTTCCTTATACACTTTATATAAAATTGATTTCCTCTATAAACCTGTACAAAAAGTGCACTTAAAAAGATACTAATTAATACTTATTTAAAAATTAATGAATGAAAAATAGCTAACTGACATAATTCAGAAAATGAAACTGATAATTTTCTTTAATCAAATTTGTTTGTACATAACAGGCAAGATGAATGTGACACTGTATAACAGTCATATATATTAGACGCGATGCCTGGTACATAATAGTAATGTTACATATTTTTCTGATTCAAGTAATCTGTAGGACTTTAAAGGAAAAGGATAGATTAATGCTAATCTGTCATGTGTAGAAGCAAGTTCATGTTCATACTGACTTTAAAACTATAGTATAATGTTAAGATATGCACCAAGCTGTTAGCAGGCAAACCACCCCATCCAAGGTGCATGAGTGGTATCTCACCTGTGCCTCTCCCCCTTGAACCCCCGGGGCTTGGCCTAGTAGTGCTTACTCCCCCATACCCTGGAGAACTCTCTGTTTTAGCCTTTGGTTTAGGTGGCTGGTACTGAAAAGAAATAGCAGAAATTCTTCACTGATATTTTCTAAATCTTATCCTGAATCAAAGACAAGAACGTACATGCAATTACTATTTAGAAGCTACAAAAATACTTTAAAAACCCTTTTGAAGTTAAGACAGAAATATATAGGAAGTCAAAGTGTTTCATATTACACGTACACCTTGAATGACAGAATAAATACCATAGGCATGTTTAGTTCAGCTACCCAATTAAAGTACAAGGGCAATAACTCAATATTTCTACCTGTGTCCTGATATTTTGTTTAGCCATGGCCTTTGGATCGGCTTTAGGTTTGTTGGGCAGTCTCTGTTGCTGAGTTTTACAGAACTGTATGTGTCTCTCAGCAGCTTTCTCATTGAAACGCCGTGAACAATAGGGACATTGCACATAATCTGTCAAAAGAATTTTCTTTCTTTATCAAGACCTAATGATACAAATTTTTCAACTGTCTTTATGCACATTTATATTACATGTAAGAATCGAAGTAAAAAATAAGCATAGTATCTTCATTATTTTCTGACATCCCTGTATCTCCTACCTGGATTTATTGAGGGTGGGGGAGGTGGTGGGAGGGGCTCCCCTCTCTGCATAGCTACACTGACTCCCCTGGCCGCCCTGACAGTGTTAATGAAGTCCTCATGTTTAGCTCGCCAGTTACTCTTGGGGGCCTTCACTTCCTGAAATATCAACCAAAACATTCAAATTATATTAGTTTTAATTCAAATGAACATTCCAATTTCAGAAATGTAATTATAAAGTAGGGATGTCAAAATATTAATTTTCCTTAGTTGAACATTCGATTGCATTATTCGAACGATAGTCGACTATTCGGAGCATTTTTTAACACAATGTTTTTGAAAGCTTGTTAATTAAAATAAATTGGAAAATTTAAATAAATCGGAAATGGGGAATTGTAAACACACACACTATCCACACCTCAGATGAAAATGATAAATGCTGTATGTTCAATTAGTCATTGCCTAAGCTATATATCAAAGTGTCTTTTTTTATTACAGAAAAAGTCACACAATTAACCAAAAAAAAAAATACCTACATAAAAACATGAAACCTGCACCAAAAACTTTAACCTGTTCATTCAACTGGAAAATGTAGGTCAGATGCAGCATTGTTTTAATAATTAGCGAACTTTAAAACTTTAAGGCTATGCAAATATTGTGTGTTCCTAGCCATTTGAAATTCCAAGAGTTTATAAATATAATTGGTACAAGTCAATTAAATAATTTTCAAAGTCCAGTATATCGTTGCATAATTTACTACGTACAATAACAAGAAAAGTCAGTGATTGAGAAATCATTACCGCGGTATGTACTGGTGAATATAATTACTGTATTTTCCACATGTACAATGTGGAAAATTATTGATATATTGTGACTGTGTTTGAGCTCTTATTCGTCTTAGGACGTACCCTATACTGCTGTATAGTTTGAGGAAGGACCCTTTTTCAATTTAGAGATGAAAATTTCATTATTAACCCCTTTTCTCACATTTATCTAATATTCGAATGTTGTTTCATTATTCGATCTGCTCCAAAAAACTTAACCTTAACCTCGGACGCCGACGCCGAGGGTATTACATAAGCTCCCCAACTTCGTTGAGGTGAGCTAAAAATATTGTTTTAATAATTAGCGAACTTTAAAACTTTAAGGCTATGCAAATATTGTGTGACAGTCGAATAGTCGACTATTCGTTGACACCCTTTTTCAATTTAGAGATGAAAATTTCATTATTAACCCCTTTTCTCACATTTATCTAATATTCCCTATTCGTTGACATCCCTATTATAAAGTCATTATTTATAAAGCTATTAAATTATTTTCTCTCTTTTGAAAAGTTTGAAGCCTTGATCATATAACAAAAGAAAGTTTGTCCTAGAAAAAGATTGCACATTAAATGATATGAACCCTATGACCCTAATTTATCATTTTATCACCACTTGAGAATAAAAAAAATTGTTTTATACACTTCATTAATTTGTTTTGTCTCTTTTATATTTCCTCTATGATAGAAATATCTCTGATTTACGAGCAACCATCAATTGAAAACTAATTGTCTCTGCTTTATTTAGCTTTCTTTATTATTTTTTAAGGAGATAAATCATTCAATTGCAAAGTACATGAAATGTAATGTAATGCATCAAATAAAGAAAATAGCAATAACATCATTGCACCTATATTTTTTGTGATGACAGAATGAAATTGAATCCAATACATTAACAATCTTCATTCAGCACTTTTCATTCATGCTTTATATCACAGATACCAGTAAAAATGTTATTAAAAGTACATATTGAAATTACCCAGTATGCTGTTCATGTAATGTATTCAATGTAAGCTTTTAAAGGTTAAGTTACTAATATTCCAGGTTGAGACTAAAAATCTTGGCCAAATAATTTATTCTTTATACCTGTATCAGACTTTTTTCTGATGCATTTAAGTCAATTCCTCTTTGAAGTTTATGATATACATGTATATAGTATTTGATTGACTTAATAGGCCAAAATAAAATTTTAATAGTTTGAAACTGCCTTCCACATCATTGAATTGACTCCTTCTGAAAAATTTTTATTCATTTGACCAAAAATAAGAAAATAAGTTTTTTTTTAAAAATTATTTTTGGCCTGTTGTCACATGCAGCACTAAAACACTGAAGGCAATATGAGCTGCAACTTTGAAGTCGGATTTTTTGTTGCAAAATTGTAAATAACTACTTCAATGACAGAAAACATAATATTGATAAACTTCTGTTGTTCATATTTGCAATGAAAGAACTATTTATGAGCTTTGATTAAATCACAAAAACATTATTGTCGTCCAGTACAATAATGATTTCTTATATAAAAGTGTATATTGGATTGTATATATATTATATGTCTTTCTTCGGCTTTATTTTAGTCTAATTGATCATAGAGGTTTAAGTTACATACACACAGGCCATGTACAAATTTATTTTAATTACACATTTTAACAGCAAAATAAAATTTTCAAAAATGCAGCTCATATGTTAATTGCTTTAATTGGACTTGGACCTGTAAGCAAATTAAACCAGGGTTCTTAATTGATGAGAGACACTTTTCTAAACAGAAAATAATGTGCTCACTGTTAGTGGAGATTTCAATCAAAAATGTTAAATTTTACTTCAATTTTGAAAAAAAAAAAATCTTTCCTTCCTCCTGGGTCTGAAACCCATCCAGTGGCAAAACAAATATTTTTATTAAGGACGGTCTTATATATAGTTTCAAAATTGTTTTCATGGCATTGATCACTGAAATTTCCACAACACTTATTTCCATATGCTACCTTTCTCTGAGCTTGTTTAATCTGTTTGTAAGATAAGTCTGTTCCATCTGCTCTTTGTTTGGCTGAATCAAACACCTTTGGTTTCTTTCTTGCTGCTTTTATACATGAAGGTTCATGCTTAGCCTAAAATCAACAGAGGTACAATATTAAACTAATCAGTCTCTTTTACCATGTTAATATCTTCTAGAAAATGATGAGAACAAAAGACATTATCTACAGAGATTTTAAATTTATTACAAAAATCTTTACATCAGAGTTTATATATACATGTAGATATGATTTTCATCCAACCTAAATATTGAAGCATCGAGTAATAAATACATGTATGTATAAAATATTTACCAGTGACTCTGGAACAAACTGCCTGCCACATTGTCGACATGGTTTTCTAGCAACATTACGATTGGCTAAAAGAAATTAAGAGAAAATATAAATATTGCTTATATACTTCCAAGGATAATAGGATATACACAATAATTTATTACTATATCCATCAACATGTCCTCTATTTACATTCACATAAGATCTAAATTTCAACAACAAACATAAATAAATAACCTTCAACACATGAAAATGTTTGCATTATAATCAAAAGTACAAAGAGTAATAATTAACACCATAATATTAATACAGATACTTCATCATTTTTTCACAGCGTTAAATTTTTAACTCATTTATTTAGTTGTTTTGCTGCACAACCAAAAACATTTTTGCATTAGTAATCATTATCTTATGTGAATGCAGTGATGATTAACACCATTATAAATATATGTAAGGGAATTTCTAACTGTAATCTCTCTAGTCTGTCAATTATACAGTTACTACAGTCAGTGCAGTGTAAAATGGCTACAAAGTTTTCAATAACAACTTCATTACCTTGGTGAAAAATATTTATGAAGTTTCTAACAACAAAAAACTTTCTAGATTTATCATGTTAACGTATGTAAAATGTAAACTTCATAACTTTAATTGAGTTCAGACTTCTGTTGAAGTTTTATTATGCCATAAAATCCTGAATCATGTTTACTGAATTCAAAAAGGTTTACATTAAACATTCATTTGACAGAACATACACACGCTGATATCTAATATTTAAATACCTAGTGCTCAGCATGCTCAGGTAGATTAAACATTTGTGATGAAATAAATCAGATTTTTTATTTAAAGGTATTGCTCCCAGCTTAATGAGTTACTTATCTTGGGGCTGTTTTTTGTCCATAATCAATCACCATAGAGTAAAATGCAGTATCATTTAAGGTATCCCTGAGTTAGTGGCAATAACTTAATTTAGGGTGTGGAAATCTTAGGGATTACAATCATGCTTAAACTGTTATAAATGATAATAATTGTTATCAGTTTATAAATTTGTTCCTAACCCTTCTTAATCCTTAATGCTATACAGATTTAATAGCTTTACAGAAATAAAAGTATATGTTTCAAATATGTATATATATCAAAGTGCTTGTATTTTAACTGATCCTGCCCCCTCCCTTAAATAATCATTGCTTTCAAATTGGCAGATTTTAATGTATCTCAATCCACATAAATGTAACAATTTTTAAATTGAAACTTATATCATACAGTATAATATATTAGCCATTTACACAACATGCTAAAAAAGGCAGTCTGAATTCCATCCATTTCATCTACATGAATTGGAATGATATGACTTTTAAATTCCTCCAAAATGCTTTATAAATTATTTTTTTTTTTAATTTCATAACCTCAGCTTGAAAACCAATTGCAATCTGTCTGTAGACACTATATAAACATATAAAGATCTTATAGAACTTGAAAGGGCCTAATTGTATAGGTATATTTTTAAAAAAAAAACAATCAAATGCATACTAAACAATAAACTAAATGCTTTCAAAATAAATAAGTTACTTAAATGTGACAGTAATTGTCTATACCTACCTACATTAATTCATTTTTGTTTGATACAACATGTACAATTAAAAAACACTCTTTTTTTATTTGGCTATATCTCAAAGTCAAATTGTGAGCAGTGGTCAGAAACTAACAAGTTGAATTTCATCTTAGGTGATATGAAAACAGTATATCATAATTTTTCTTAATAAACACTTATGTTACTCTATAGGCATAAATGTTTGTTTATAGTTACACAACTCACCCTATATCTAATTGCTGACCCAATTTTTTGTCATCAAAATCAAGAAGTCTCTTGCTGGTAAGCGTACCATGTACAGTATAAGCTTTTTTTGCAGAGCAAGTTAATAATGTTGGCAAAGTTTTTGTTGATCAATAAATAATCAAATGACATACACTGTATATAAAAACAATTGCTTATTTATGACATATTTGGCAAATATATCATTTTGCGCTGCAAAAGAGTTGTACCTCAGTTATAGCATCATCGCAAACCACGGCCAAAATGTATGATCCTCTTCCATTCTGGCCGTGGTTGAATGAGAAGAAAATATTTCGAATCTCATTAAAATATTGACCAATGTGAGTAAAGCATAGTCAGATAATGAACTTTGATGCAACCTTTCAATACCCAATTGCAGTGTACAAAATATTTCTTGTATACTGGTGATGTAAATTGTTGATTTCAATTGTGACGGAAACAAAACTTGTCATTGACTAAATTAATAATGACGTCACAATAGAGAGGCATGAATATTCAAGATCACAACACTTTTTGTGATCAAGCAGCCACAGGTAGGAGAGAGCTGTATATGCGGACTCCAGACGGTGGCTTGAGACGAAGCAGTTATAGTTAGAATACTATCTAACTCTGTCTTGGGACAAGCTCTCACCACAGTTAGAATATGTCTCATATACTTGCAATGTTGCAAATCGGAGCAGATCTGCTCCGAAATAATTTCGAAGAATACAAAAGGGGTTGCATTTAAAATAACTACCAAATTAATCATAACTTTTGAGATTGTATATGCCTTTTTCCCCCCAAAATAATCCAAATGAAGACAAAAATTCAATTAATTTTCATAGCGTTTTTTTTTCTTGCTTCAAATTTAAATGCCATGTTGAAATTCGGAACTCTCTAGATGACTCATAGTATATGCACTGAGTACGAGTTATCGCCCGTGTATATTTTGCAACACTGCAAATGCACGGAACAAATTCTATTGTTAAACCGGGTCTGTAAGACGACAGAACATTCTATCTACCTCAGTTATTCTGAAACTGTCTATTCAAGCTGTCATGTTTGGATTTTTGTAGTTTGTTATATCTTTATTGTAAGTCACTAATCATGCTAACATTCTACCTTGGACTCAGGTTTTTCTATGTGTGCAAAGAGAAGGCTGCATCCAAACTGACCAAAGCAATCTACACAGTAAACACTACATGAACAGCTATTAATAATACAATTCTTGATATCAATAATTCTTGGAACGAAAAATTAATTTCAGTAACATAAAATAACTCTTCTAAGAGTTACTGGAAATTGTGAGAGATTATACGTCTCTGGTTTCATCAAATCATCGTGGATATGCATGCATTTTCTTTGTTTTGAAATATACTAGTGAAAGTTGGATTAATGAAAATCTCTTGAAAATTCTTATATAAGAATAATAATACAAAAATACTCATACTTTTCGATAATGACCAAAATGAACGTGATTGACTATTGGGGCTACAAAATCTCTTTATTTTTTTGATTAAAAAAATATCACAACATGCTATATTTTTGGTAATTTTATATCTTCTGTAATATTATTTACTAGCTGGACTGCTCAAATCAACTTGTTTTTGATTAAAAAAATATTTATATTTTTGGTTTTTAATCTTCTTATCTACTAGCTTGGTTTTTTTTAATGAAATTTTCCTGTCTTTATCACAACACAAAACATTACAAACTTCTTCACAAATTAATCCCAATCATCATGATCAGTGAATATTCTAGTCTTAGCTTATTTCCTATACTAGAGCAAAGACAACTGTAATAATGTTGCAATTAAGAGTTACAATTAACCTCAACACTTCACTGAAAAATAAACGATCATTTTCCAATATAAAAACATTAAATTCGAAAAATTTTCGGTAGTAACCAAATTGTTTACCGTCGTAATCCTCCATCTTCAAAAATATGTGGTGTTCAGCAGTAAATAAGCCGGTAAAAATAAATAATCAATGAAAGCGTCAATTAAAAAATCTTATTAACAAATTATTAATGATAGAAAAAGCTGTACGATTACATGTGCACAAAATGACCACGAATTTAAAAATATATACTGAAACAATATTTTAATATTTTCTGCAAAGCAGGTGTCTGCTACTTCCGGTGTATACTAATTTATGAAATTTGAGGAAAGACTTCAAAACACTTTTAGCAAACTCTTTAGTCGGTTTGTATACATGGAATATACGTCAAAGTTTTACTCATATGTACATTTACATTGTTAAGCGAACATAATCGATACATTGCATTCCCTCTCTTTTCACTAAAATATTTTTTCATGTTGTTTTTAGAATATGCTATGATGAGATGATTTGTGAAAGCTGAACCTGTGACAGATTTAGATTCATGAGCTGTCATTGAGACACAATTATAATGGAGTTTGCAGAATTCATCAAAGTACCTATGGTAGACAATGTTACTCTGTACAGGCCATTCAAGGTTCCCGACAATGGTACACTTTGTATCACAGGCCATCATTTGATATTCTCAACAAGGCAGAAAGAAAATCATGAAGAACTTTGGGTATATTATTACATGTATTAATAGACATTATTTAAGAAAGAAGGTATCATATTTTAACATCTATCAGGATATAAATATGGGTTGGCATACATGTGATTCTTCCGGTGGGAGGCAAAATCTCCCGATTTTTAACCCCCCTTCCGCCCCTTCCGATTAATTTTAAATCTTCCGTGTATAAAATAATTCTTCAAATTAAATACTTTTTGCATTAATTTTTATCATGTTTCTTATAATTGCGTAGAATGCAGACAATACATTGAGATAACAACGGCAGTGCAATAAATTTTCACAGCAGTAGCTAGGCTTCGTAGTAATCAGCATGAGGTCGTATAATTCGGTTGTAAAAATTAGTGATATATCAACTTTATAAATGACCATCGATGTTTAATTGCTGAATGCAGAACATTGTAATTGGTTGCTAAAATACCCAATTGCCATCTTCTAATGCTTCATTGGTCATTAAAAGTATAGGTTACATCATAGATGCCGAGTAGTTAAGGGTGAAACGATTACACTTGTAAACGGCGACGTTTCGATTAAATGCTCTAAACGTTTACAAATTGAGTAAACGTTTACACGAAGGTTAATATCAATGTCTATCAGAAAAAACCTTTCATCCAAACAAGTTGTTTTATTTCATATTTACCAAAGAAAACACACTCTGTGTCTGTTACAAACATTTTCTTTCTGTTATAATCGATACCAGAAATGTAATATTAAACAAAACTATCTAGAAACCAATATGGTACGTCTTACATATTTAATTCCGATTTCCGTTTAGTGAAAACTAGCGATGTATTATTTTATTTTTCCAAATATATGTTCTAAAATAAATAACCCCTGTTGTTGCTTTTTATTGATTAGAAAATAAAAAGTATCATGCTTATAACGGTATAATGTTTTTATATTACTATCTCGTTTCAGTTTTTGACACTTCCTACTCTTTCGTCATAAAAACCAACAAATAAATAGTAATGACAACTCATACTTACATCATAGTGAAAGAATGGTATATTAAATTACATGTAGTGTTTCATGAGTAAGTAGCTATAAAAATTCAACACATAAAATTCTCCCGTTTTAATGGTAGCATTTCGTTTACTGCTGTTCGTTTAAACGTTTACAAAATTCAGTAAACGTTTCACCGTTACGAGTAGTATTGATTATATCGTTTTCATGGGGCGTAGAAATCGAGGGCGCAGAGTGCCCTCGATTTCCAGGCCCCATGTAAACGATGTAACCAATAGTACAAGGCAATCTATGATGTAAGCAACTTGTAGCATCGCAGAGCGCCCTCGATTTCCACGCCCCATGTAAACGATGTAACCAATAGTACGAGGTAATCTATGATGTAAGCAACTTGTTGCATGTCTGATGACGTAAATTTCATTGAGAGTGTCAAAATTCAATAAAAAAAATTGACCTGATTTCTGCCTCCTGCAGCGATATATGAAGGGGCATGGAAAAGTATTATCGCATATGGGATATATCACCACAGAAAGATCAAAGAAAATCTCCGCAGATATGCGACAAGATACAGTTATAATATGGGTCACACTTCAGTTAAAAATAGATCAAACTACAGGGTGTTGCAAAAAAGATATTCCAGATTTTACTTTGTTGTATTTTTAGAGAAGTTAATTTTATCTCTAATAATTCTCTTCATATTCTATTTAAAAACAAATTACTGACATAAAATATGTTACTTATGACCTATGTTTTACTTCACTTACTGGTTGATGTATCAATACCAAATCAAAAATAAAATTTTATTCAAAGTTTTAATGATGATATTAACTCTTAATAAATTTCAATGAATTGATTTTATTTTGATTCAGTTTCACTACTGATCATTTGAATAAAAATTCTTACATATTATTTTAAAGCTAGACTTTATGAAATAAAAATTATTAAGTAATAAAGAGGGAGATGGCATTTTCTATGGGGTTGGATGGTCTTTTGCAATTTGAAAAAATGTCGATAAAAAATCTCCAGCTTTGAGACCCAAACTCCAGCTGAAAAATTTCAAATCTCCAGTTGTGATTGTTCATTTCTGTCACATGTATGGGTTGGTCACAACAGACTCACAAGATCGAATTCCATATTTAAAAGCCCGTATTTTCAGGCTGTTAGATGTTTTAAAATGGTATCTTATTACTTATATTTACATTTGTGACTTATTCATTTTTATATTTAACTGATAATGATTTCAATGCATAAAATATTTTATTTTTCAAACTCAACAGCACTATGCAAACCATTGAATGCACATTGACCCTTTATGACGTCACTCGTAAATTATGACGAACGTCTATGACATTCGAGGAACCTGTATGGTTATAGATATGCATTGCTTTCAGCAGTGTTATATAAAGGAAAACATTTGCAAATGTAAATATAATGAAATAATGGATAAATATATTTTGAGACTAGTAAATTTACCATCTACTTTTGCTTAGAAATATATAATAAATGACATGTGAATTAAGATGATATATTGCTTTAATTCTTTCAAAGCTCTTGCACAGTGCAGTGGATGCGGTTGAGAAAAGAACAGCCCTACAACCCAACGGCAAATTTTCCATTATTTTGAAGTGTAAAGATTTTAAATTGTTATCACTAGAATTTGAGAATGCTGATGTTATGAACAATGTGGCAACATCTATAGAACAACTTTCTAATATAAGTAAGTTGCACATTCACATGAATATATTTGGATTTGTCAAAATGCATGCCGAGAGTACTTGTGAACAATAAAAGTTCGGTGTCTCAAATACAGATATCTCAAATACCATTGATATGTGAGAGAGTTGGAGGTCAACCATGTTTTCTACTTATTTTTCTAATTTTATTTAATTAAACCTTGATATCTAGAATCCTTAGATATCTTAAACTTTTTTTCATGATTGGTACCATCAATACAGAATCTTGCATATTTGAGTTAGGCAGAATCTTTTACATCCTTTGCATGTACTGGAACTCTTTGTACATGTATAAAATTAATATGTCAGTATTTTACTACAGTGTATTAATATTTGTAGATGATGTCACTTTGAAATACCCCTTCTTCTATCGAGCCATGTTTGAGCCACTTGAAGACGGATGGCAAGCATTCCAGCCAGAGAATGACTATCCAAGGTTCAAAGAGTGTGCTGATGAATGGAGAGTTACAAATATCAACAGGGAGTATAAAGTAAGAGTTAAGAATTCTTATTCAGATTTTATGTTAAGGTGAATGTTGTTTGGACAGTGTATAAGATTTACACAAGCAGAATGTTTTTCACACAGATTGCATATTACACACTATTAAGTTTGTATTTATTCAATTTGCTTAAAGTTGTAACAATTTTTTTTTTCAAGTCTTCGTAAAACATTGTACTAGCTCATTTATCTGGAACCATGAACACAGTACATGTATAACAAGAGCATTTTAAATTTGTCAAACTTTCACACTTCCTTGAATCGGTCTTTTTAATATCCATATTTTACATTGTATGTAATGCATATTATCTTATTGACTAATGGATTGCAGCAGTTATGATAATATGTTTTAATATTGAGAGGATCCTAGCGTATTCTGGATATTGTAGATCTGCCCTTCCTACTCTCATTCTATCATTGTTCCTAAGTCCGTGGATGATGACACCATTATCAAATCTTCACAGTTCCGTCAACATGGCCGCTTCCCTGTCCTTAGCTACTATCACAGACAAACAAAGGTAAAATAGGTCATCCACACCATGAATTATAATTTATATGAAAAAATTATTATTGTAAAAACATTGAGATAAAATATTCTCCTGATCAGATCATTATAGTGTTCATTATTTTTGTAGAGTTAATAATAAGTCTGTTACACATTGATAGTTGTAAATTATATCAAGAGTTCAGTATATAATCTGATATAAATGACTCAGGCTGTTATGATGAGGTGTAGCTAAGTGAGGTGAAAACATCAGCCCCAAAATATTTTGGTAATTTTTGACAGTTTTTATTTGCTGTCTGGTTTATTTATTTCCATCTATCTTATTTTAGCAAACAACAAACGCTGTAAAGAGGACGAGAAACTGCTGAATGCTGTACTAGGAATAGGGAAGAAGGGCTACATCATTGACACGAGGTCTCAGGCAGCGGCCAAAGCTGCACAGGCAAGAGGTAAATTAATATAACTGTAGAACAAACAACAGGTACTCCTTATTGCTGGACAAAGGGGATTTAATGTACCATTTAATACTGTTGTACAGATGGAAGGAAGATTTGTTCACCGTATTTCTGCATTGATAATAGGTGTATTTTAAGAGGTCCAAGGGCCGTAATTGTGACATGAGTTTTAATACAACACTGTGAAGAATCACTACACCTATAAAACAAAATTGACTGACAGTCGAAGCAATGCTGCCCAAGAATTTAAAAAATCTAGTAAAAATACCAGAAATTAATTAATAAGGAAGAAATTAAAAAATATATACATGTACATTATCATGATTATGAAAGTCACTTGTACACGTAATATGAATTGAACTTTGACCTTTGTGTAGGAGGAGGTTATGAACCTGATGCCCACTACTCACACTGGAGGAGAATCCACCAGAGTATTGAAAAAAGACAGACATTCCATGAGTCCCTGATCAAACTGTTGGAAGGTGTGTACAATATGAAATACAGATATAACAAGTTTTACAAAGAGAAAAAATGAGGGACCACTTACTTTTTTAAAAGGCTTTAACTGTAAGCATTATGCTGTACAAGTATTTTCTTCATCTTCTTATTGATAAATGGCTCAGACAATATTATACACTGTAGTAAAATTGTTAAACAGTTATGTATGTATAAAACTATTTTTTCCTGACTGATTATAGCATGTACTGATGATGGCTGTAGTATGGACAAGTGGTTGTCTAAGCTGGAGTCCAGTAGCTGGCTGTCCCATGTCAAGGACATTCTGACCTGTGCTTGTACAGTGGCTCAGTGTATGGACTCAGAGGGTAAGGTCATAAGTGTACTCCGTGGACTGTCACTTGTAGTACTTATAGTACTGTCAGAGCTATCTTGCATGTACATGTATATATAGTTAAAGCTGCTGAACGTTCGGTTTTTTAATCATTATCTCTGACTTTTAACTGATGGAATTGATAAAGAATTTTAAGATTGTAAAATTGATTTTCAATTATGAAATAATCAAGAATGGTAATATTTTACAGGAGCCAATGTTCTGGTACATGGATCAGAAGGATTTGACAGCACACTTCAGATTACTTCTCTAGTCCAGATAGTCCTAGATCATGACTGTAGAACAATCAATGGGTAAGATCATAAGTAAGCAAACTCAGGAAGGAATATATTTACTTGAATTTGACATGACAAACAGCTCAAATAGGTCATCAATGATTTAAATTTGAGGAGTGCAAAGTAAATTGTAGCTGTTTAAGCTGGTACAGCAAAATTCATGTAGTTCGAACACGGATATAGCGAATTCACGGATATAGCGAATTTGTTTTGGATCCCCAGCTATATAAATTTAATGAATTCCTTATATGGATATAACAAATTACAGATATAACGAAGTTATTTCATAGGTCCCAGTGACTTCGTTATAACCGAGTTTTACTGTAAATCTTTAAATGTCAGTCAGATTTCTTGAGTCATCAAAAGCCTCACACATTTGTATAAAATTGTATATCTGTAATTTAAAATTTGTTTACATGACTTTCTTGTTTCATGTTAAGATTTGAAGCTCTAGTGGAGAGGGAATGGTTACAGGCGGGACATCCCTTTAATGACCGCTGCGCCAAATCTGCCTTTGCAGTTTCCAAGAACAGACAAGAATCACCTGTTTTCCTCCTTTTTCTGGACTGCGTCTGGCAGGTAAAGAAGACCAGCTGTGTTTAAATGCTTTAGTGATTTGAATTATATCACTGAGGTCATATTATCATGTCTTAGATATGAACGATGGAGGATTTTTTGTACATTTAATCAAAAACATGGATGCAAGCATTCTGTTGAACTAAAGAGGGTCAGGAGACATTGATCAGACTTGGGGATGAAGGATCAAATAAGAATTTATAATTGCCAGAGGAACTGCATTCAAATATATGCATAAGACTGTTACATCTAAGTTGTAATCTACTCAGTCTGTTTGTTCTTGTTTTGAACTGGGGCTGAATGCTCAAATGATTTTTTTCTTGGTAGACTGTTAAACTTGAGTGTTAATGTTTTTTCCTTGAGGCTTAATTCCTTTCTAATTTTTAATCTTACTGGTTTTAGATTTGGCAACAATTCCCATGTTCTTTTGAGTTCAATGAGGACTTTTTAATTGAATTATTTACTCATGCCTATTACTCGGATTTTGGTAAGTCTTTGAACTTAACATGATTTGATTTTTATGTGTAGATATTTATAATTTACAGTGTATTTTGGTTGATAATTAATCTGAAACATAATTGGTCATTACTATTTAGATTGTCTTAAGTAATATGAAATGTTTATCCTTTATTAGTTTCTTATCTTTTAAGTTGCGATATTTTTTTCTCTACATTAAATTATTCCTCTTTATGTATATTTTAGGAACATTTCTGTGTAATAATGAGAATGAAAGAAAGAAGTACAAGTTATCAGAAAGAACAGTTTCATTATGGTAAGTATGTTCTGAATGGATGTTTATTCTGGTGTTGAGATATATGGCATTTTATTTTTTAACGGGGATTGGGTACGTCAGCCCAGTAGCTCAGTGGTTAGAGCACCCACACGGTTATCGGGAGGTCGCTGGTTCCAGTCCCAGTATGGATGACATATTTTCCTGCCTGTTACAATATCAAATACTAATATACCTTCAATCTCAAAAGTTAAAATAAGTTTCAACCATTCAATAGTCCTGCATTTTTTTTATTCTGATGTATCGATGTATCAGATTGTTATCATGTTTATACAGAAGTTTCTGTTTTCTTACTTCATCTTAGTTGGTAGAGGTATAAGCAAGTCTTGGGACATAATGCTATTTTTTAATCTGATTTTTTTCTCTTTAGGACATATTTAACAAGACCAGAAATCCTACAGCAGTATCTAAATCCAATGTATGACCCTAATCCACATGTGATCTGGCCATCTGTAGCCCCACAAAGTCTTGTAAGTATACATGAAGAGAGAGGATTTAAAAAAGTATTTTTTGTTTGGTTATGATGAACACATGGAGAGGAATAATAGGAAAAAATCCATATTTCCTGAAACCTTGTGTAAGGTATAAAAATGATATTTATTGTAAATTTTTAGGGTTTGTGGACACGTTTGTATCAGAGGTCTTATGTAAATGACAAGAAACAAAGGGAAGCATGGAGGGAAATCAGCAAGATCCAATCTCATGACAAGGAACTGAGGTCAAGAGTTGCCAAACTTAGAAGGTAAAATAATTGGCATGTTTATGTCCAAGCTTTGACGTGTTGGTTCATATCTTCATTCTAGAACCTTGCACTCAGTTTGAAAAAAAAGACCCAAGATTTGTTGTTCGTTGTGATGTTTGACGTATGACATTTTAGTTTATAAGAATGCATTCTATATGTATACATGGAGGAGCATACATGATAAAAGTGTGGAGCACATATGCCTCAGTGGCTATAGGTGTTTGACAAATCATAATTTCAGGATTTTCATTCAAAACTATTATAGTCTAGTTAAATGATTTGAGAGTACAAAGCGTACCTTCCATTTGATAACAGGTTACTGGCATCTCTGGAGAAAGAGGCCCTATCAGCAGGGGTGATCCTGCCTACAGAGTTAGATGTAGACTGCACACTGGAGGAAGCGTAAAGACTTGTGATATAGACATAGGGTGCAATAAAACACTGGGATATCTAGATGTGAAGGGATATGTGCAATACATATGAATTTCGTGGATTAACAGTATATTGTATGATTCTTTTGTTGAAATGATAGAAACATTGTTTTATCTAGTAATTTTTAGATAAATGCATGTCCATATCAGATTCTTATAAGACATCTGTATATGTTTGGAAAGCAGTACAAATACATTCCAGATGACTTTCGTAAGAAAAGCATTTGCTATAAAAGCTAAGTTGTGTTTGTTTATTTTATTTTCACCTGCCTTTATTGCACTAGTGTTCAAAACTGATTCTTAAGCATAAGAACAGTAAATATTACCCAATACAGCTTAAATGTTTAGGAGAATTTTCCTCCTATGTATGCTGCAGGTGAGAAATGTTCAGTTCTCTATTTTCAGCTCTCAATGTGATTTTCCCAGCATACTATTATTTGAATGTAATTCATTGCTGATTTGTAATTTTTCCATTTCTCATCATTGCTCCTTTTTGTGTGAATGTACAGTGCACTTGTAGGAATTTGTTTGTTACTTAACTTGTTATCACTGGTTGAAATAGTCATTAATTGTTTTGTTAAAAGAAATAGTAGGAGTTATATGACTTGTTATTGCAGTCTTTATTATTATTGGGCAAAACATTTTTTTTTTTAATATTGCCAAGAGAACCTACATCCACATTAATAAAGTATGATTAAATCCATTTTGTTTAAATCATTTTAATTTGAATATAAATAATAATAAACATAAATATGGTACAAGAGTGGTGGGATCTTTAATACATTGAACCACAGGTACTTGTGGACAGGACCGACCCCCCCCCCCCCTCTCTGGGGAAGGGGGGGTCCTGTGCATTGAACAGGTTTACATGTGTTGACAAAGGACAGGGAAGCTACCCTTATTGTTGCTAATTAACTTGAAGTTATTAATGTGGGTTAGTGAATTGATTGTTTGCTTTGCACTTCAAGAATATTTCAGTCTTGATACATGTTCACCACTAATTGCATATAAGATAACTACATGGTATTTATACTATAGCCTTTTGACATTGCAGATTCTTTTATGTATCAGACATTGTCATCTAGTGTGACAGAGAACTTAAGGTTGTGATTTGAATTCTTCATGTTCTGCAGTGGGACTTAATCCAAGGATTATAAGGATTACTGGCGAACGTAACAAACAATGATACATATCATAAATCTAGTAAATAGTGAATAAGTCCAAAACATAGATCCCTGAAACATCAAAGATTGGATCAGATGGCTAGAAAGAGTAAGCATCCTACTGAGTATGTTGACTGGTCATACCCACAATGAGAACTGTGAACGTTTAATCAGTAACATAGAGTACTCTGCACTCATGTTTAGTGTAAATGCAATGATGACATAAAAAATAATTGTTATGGTATAGGTCCTATCAAATTATACTACAGCTATGTTATTGACCAACAAGAATATCAACAATCTGGTTTAAATTCATCATTTAGCAAGTGCTATGGTCGATACAATGACCTTCTCAGCAAATGCAATCTATCATTAGGTCGAATGCGGACTGACATTTTTTTTAAATACTAAGTGTTAGACCATTATTTACATACTAAATTGTCTTTGGATTTTTTTGATCATGACAAGTAGCACATGGCAGGTGTGACTGATCGACAGGGGAATGATCACTTCTCCATGACACGTGATCCCACCTCTGATGTTTGAGGGGTCTGTGTCACAGACACTTGTTTCGGAAATATATATATATTTTTTAAAATTATAATACAAGGTATCTAGCTCTGAATTAAACAGATTACCCCCTTCTTAGAAATGCACCCATTTACACTTTCAGAGGAAATGCAAACTGTTTATTACGATTGTCATCTATGATAATTTATCTACACAACCATATAAGGCATGCATATCGTTATTTTCTTTTACCTGTGGTCCGTGTTTGCTTCTGATTTGTATTGTATGAATGAACTTAAGTGCTCGAACAATGTTCGTTATATCCATATATTTTATATAGTTTTATAGGGATTAATAGTATTCAATCCCAAAAAGTTCATTGAAACAGTTCAAATCGATAGCAGAGCAAACACGGACCTCTACACATCAGAGGTGGGATCAGGTGCAATGGAGGACCAAGCATCCCCTGCCGACGTGGCACACCCGCTGTATATACTCCTTGTTATGATCAAGCAAACAAAACAAGAGGTCTATGGGCCTTATAGGTCACCTGAGTATCATGTAACAACTTTCAGCAATTGAATTTGGTTCGTGTTTTAAACCAAAAGCCATGAAATGCACAATTTTGAAAGAGGAACCATTGTTTATCATAATTATACACTTAACATGCTTAGTTTGGTTACTTAATACCCAGAGGTAGATCAGAGTAACAAAGAGAAAATGCATTTCCACTTTATAACCTCCAGTTGTTCACCCCTCCCGCAGGAACCACTGACCCTTGGGCCACATATTTCAAATCTTTGGAAATTTTATCATAAATTTTATTTCATCATAGATGGTTGATTAATACCAAAGAGCAGAAAAAATCATTTTTGAGGAGGCACCTTTCTTCATTATAAATATGTACTCTGACCATTGGCTTATTACCCAGGAGCAAAGGAAAAGATTTTCAAAGAATTCATGCATTTTCACTATATATTCAATAGAGCCCCGGGCTAACAACAGAACCCCTGACGCAGGGGCCATGAAATACAAAAATTGGGAAGAAGCATCCTTCCTCATCAGAGAAGGAGATTTTTTAAGAATTTATGCATTTTCACTAATCAAAAGAGCCCCACCCTAACATCAGAACCCCTGTCCCTGAGGGCCATGAAATAAACAATTTTTTAAGAGGCAGCCTTATTCAACATAACCATGTATTTGGTACGTTTATTTAATACCCAGAAGCAGAGAAGAAGATTTTGAAAGAATAAATGTATTTTCACTACCGGTATATAATCAATAGAGCCCCACCCTAACACCAGAACCTCTAACCATGGGACCCTGAAATTCCCAATTTTGGAAGAAATATTCTTGATCATTATAACTTTGTACTTGGTTAGTTTATCATGAGCAGAGGAGAAGATTTTCAAAGAATTTATGCAATTTCACAATATAATATCAATAGAGCCCCGCCCTAACATCAAATCCTCTGACCCAGGGGCCATGAAATTCACAATTTTGGAAGAGGCTGCCTTATTCAACATAACTACGTATTTGTTTAGTTTATTCAATGTCCAGGAGCAGAGAAGAAGATTTTCAAAGAAATACTGCACTTTCACTATATAATCTATTTAGCCCCGGCGCCCTAGCACTTGAACACCTGACCCTGGGGCCATGAATTTCACAATTTGGTAGAGGACTCAATACTGATTACAATCATGCCAACAGTTTGACTGCTTGATGTCGAGGAGTAAAGAAGAACATTTTTAAAGATTGCATTAATTTTAGTGGTTTGGGCCCCACCCCTCAGGCCCCAGGGGGCAGGGACCATGAAATTCACAATTTTTGTTCCCCTTTACCCATAGATGCGCTGTGCCAAAATTGGTTGAAATTGGTTAAGCGGTTGCAGAGAAGAAGTGAAAATGTTCAAATGTTAACACATGCCGGAGAAAGCACGACGACGGACGAAAAAAAAATAGCAATAGGTCACCTGAGTAAAAAACAATCCATAGACAATTCAGTATGTATATAATGCCCTGATAACTTATATGTTAAGCGTCAGTCAAAATTTGTCTTAAAGATATACCACTGGCTGACCAATTCCATGTATCGACCATAGAACTTAAGAAAACATAGAACGAAAAGTTAATATTCTTGTTTCATCAACTTTTTTGTCAATGACTTGCTTTGTTTTAGAAATTGTTCATATGTAAAGCATGCTCTTCACAGGTCTGCAACCATCTGGAATACATAAACCCCATATTTAGGAAATATGGGTAGAAAGGTATACAAATAAGGGAAGTTGGCAATAAAAATGTTTTCATCGTGTATATCATAAAGTGTTATTGTTAAATTACCATTACCGTCTTTCTAGTAAAATATCCATACATGAAACAGATGTGTCGGACTCTGCAGTATCTTTAATTTCAAACTCACTGATATATCCAGACGACATTGGAATGGAAGTTACAATGGTTAGTTCATAATTTGCCGTCGATATATCTAAATGTGGAGTTGAAGACTACAGCAAGTCTTTTAATCTCATGCACACCCCTAAGTGTTCACATTTCTTGATACAGAAAATTCTATGCAATTAATAAAAAAAAGTATGTGGAAACATGAAAATGATGAGCATAAATTGATAAATTTAATTAAGCGAATTATTGTCCTTTTACCAACCAACCCTCCTAATAATTGTTAAGCAAATACGTTATTCCTTGAATTAACACCTAGACGATTTTATACAAACGAGTGGCTTAGTAACCACTGCTTACATATATAATGTATAAAACATCAAACAATTCTTTATAATATGTATTAATCATATAATCTCTCGCCGAGCGTTCTGATTGGTTCAATATTTCGAACATAAGAAAAACCAACATATCGCAGACTGCCAAAGAGATAAGATACACATTTGTGCAGAATCGTAGATTATGATGCCTGTTGGATTTTTCTTTGTAATAATTGATTTTATCACTTTGGCGTTTTGTAAGAATTTTCATCTTGGTTTGTTGATGCTGAAGGGACAGAGAAATTGGGCCAGCTACGAGGTACAGGCTAGTGCCATCTCTATTGCTGTGGATAACGCCAGAAAAGATGGACATTTCCTCAATCACACCTTCACGTGAGTATGAATTTTCAAAGAAAAAGGACTGAAGAAAAAATACTACAAACTTGAATAATACAACATTTTTTCCACCATGACTAGAATTTGGCTTCTAACTGTGGTAAAATTGATTGACTAATTAATAATCCTTTTAAACAGGATTTGTTGTTAATATTAATATTAAGTATTGAAAGAGGAAATCAATTTTTTTTGTACAAGAATTATCACCAATTTTAGAATGTTACAACTATACAACGTTCAATTTTTATGTCTTGATATTGAAACATCTAACAATGCCAAGGCGTAAACTTCAATTTAAAGAAAAATGAAACGTCAATTTTTTTCTGTTTTTATACTAAAAACACATATAACATTTATTTTTATTGAAAAAATACTGAAAACTTTTTTGATGGACTTATCAAATTGATCTTCTGTTTATAATGTGGAAACACCTTAATATGTAGATGATAACGTGATATTACAATACGAATAAGGAAATTTGACAATGGAAAAGCTGAAATAATCTCGTTTGTCACACAGCTAGCTTGTTAGTTGGCTCTTGTCGTCTATAGACAGTAAAAACTATATTTAAATATGAAACATCTGTGGCCGTCTCCGTGGTGTCTTTAATTTCAAGTTCACAGGGACATCTTTGTTTTTTTTATTTAAATATTACTAATATTTTCGAGTCATACATTTGAATGACATTTCTAAACTTGTGACATGATATTAAATCTTTTTCAAAGAAAAAAATTGTTTCTTAATATGTAGATGATAAGGTTTTACAAAACCATTTCAATGACATAAGAGTTAACAAATACTCACTTGAGATTGTTGAAAATCCTGTTACATCAATTTATCTTTTGTCGCATTTCTGTTTCCCAAAATTGACCGTATTCAGAAAATGCTCTTGTGAGTAGTTTAGAAGAATTTATTACAATATGCAAATCAAGCAGAATATAACTTAATGAATAAAGAAAGGATCAGTTGACATAATATGGTCTGGGGCCCATTTTTCTACGATGAATTTGAATAAATCTAGAATCATTCTGATTATTTTCAAACAAGAGAAAAGGAAAATGACACCTTCTGAATAGTGTCAGTAGTTCATATTGTTAATAATTTTGATTTTTGAGGAATATTAATATTGCTTTCCATGAATTTTTATGACTTATGATAGCAAAATTCATCGGCCTGGTTTGTGACCGTATGTTCTTTTATAAATAAAGATGATTAGAATAGGCAAGTCTTTGTACAATAGCGGGATATTCATGTTCGTGGGATTTACCCTATATGGCTTTAGTTATTATTTCGCACCTAGTCGGTTACAGAGAACAATTGTTCAACCCGATGACTGAATGACAAAACATGCTGGTTTACTAGATTTTTAGGTTTTATTACAGACGGATCGTTTTGATCAATTTAAACATAATTTCATACATTTCAAATTTGACATGGTCAACAAAATTAAGCCTTTTTATGCATGACAATACGCATAGAACTTCAGAATGCACATGAAATTTGTATTCACTGATACTCGTGGATACATATAAGCATTCTTCCATTTGTCGACTTACGAAACTATAAAATCATCGAATAAACCTTTCCGTAGACAACTAGAAGAATATTGGATTAGAAAACTATAGGGACAGCCTTTCCCTATATATGTAATGACAAGGTCGATAGTGTTGGAAATCTTTCCAGTCCACAGTGTAACAATATAAATGTGACGGAACTTTTTAACCATACACAGAGACGTTAGCATAGTCATGAGCATCGGTCTTACAATAAACCTTTTTAAAATACACGAGGTCTCTTTTGATTCATTACTACCTTATGTAAATCAGCAGGTCCTCATTACATACGCACCAAACTTTACTCTGTTCTTTGAAACTTGTAAATAGTCTACTTGAAAAGGAAAAAAAGAGTTAATGTTTTGATTCATCGACACCAGAATACAGGCTTGGATCTATGGTTATGGATATTGCAAATCAGAGGCTTTTCATACTAATTGTTAGACCATTGTATAAAAACTGAATTGTTGACGGATTTTCCCGTTATTTCCCGATCATGACAAGGAACACACAGCGGATGTGACCGGTCGGCAGGGGATGCTCACTCTTCCATGACACCTGATCCCACCTCTGATGATTTTGAGGCCCGCGTTTGCTCTGTTACAATTTTGTATTGTTATTGGACATTTCAGCTTGAACACTGTTCGTTATCTCCATATACCTATCATGAAATATATAGAGAATAATACATACCCTTTTCCATATCACATCCTGTATCAGCCCGAGACACCAATATCAGCCAGAGGGCCGAAGGCCCGAGGGCTGATATTGGTCGAGGGCTGATACAGGATGTGATGTGGAAAAGGGTATGTTTTATTATATTTATTACATACTTAGTAATAAAATACAGTTGAGAAGAAAATAAGTAAATAATCATGCATGGACTTCTTACATGCATGTACATAGTCTAACGTCTCATAAGATTTGGGTTTGTTTCTATTTCTATTTCAATGCACTTGATCCGTAATTTGAAAATATTCTATAGTATTACATGTATTTGTAAATTAAGATTAACCTTATTTTCAAAAAGTTAAAATTAAGAGAATATGAACCCACCAAAAATTGTGTATGAGTACAAGTACTGTTATTGTGGTTTAATTTACTAAGGGTGTGATATTGACGTCACAATAGCCGTATCAGCCCTGCAGGGCTGATATGGATTTGCAGGGCTGATACGGATATCAGCCCCACAAATCCATATCAGCCCTGCAGGGCTGATACGGCTATTGTGACGTCAGCCATATCGCATATGCAAAAAACCTGTATTTATTACTAAGTGTGTAATAAATGGAGATAATGAACAGTATTCCAGATCAAAAGTCCATAAAACAATACAAAATAGGAGCAGAGCAAACATAGACCTCCAAAACATCAGAGGTGGGATCAGGGCCATGGAGTAGTTAACATCCCCTGACAACCGGTCACACCCGCTGTGTACTCCTTGTCATGATCGGGAAATAACGGGAAAATCCATCGTCAATTCAGTATACATATATAAATAATGTTCAAACAATTAGTATGAAAAACGTCAGTCAGCATTTGACTCAATGATAAATTGTATTTGCTGACAAGGTCATTGTTTCAATCGTAGAACTTATGAAATGATAACTTTAAATGAGACTGCAGATTCTTGTTTCATCAACTTGTTTAAATGTCAGTAATTTACCTCGTTGTAGAAATTATTCATACGAAGAACATGCTCTTGTGTATCTAATCAACTGAGATATGTAAACTCCGTATGCAGGTGATGAATGTATATTGCTGCATAAGTAAGGGAAGTTGTCGATAGAAAAGTTAAAGTCATCACGTTTATCATAGAGCTTGGTTGTTAGATTACCATTAACGTCTTTTTCAAGTAAAATATCTAAATATGAAACAGATGTGTCAGACTCTGTGGTATCTTTTTTCTCAAGCTCACCAGGATATATCGAATCGACATAAGAATGGAAATTTCCATTGTTTGTTGACAGTACGTCGTCGATATATCGAAATGTCGAGTTGAAGGCCACAGCAAGTGTTTTCCTCCATAAAATATCATACAAAACTTTTTGCAATGATAAACATTAACGATTAGTAGGGGGAGTTTGAATTGAAATCTATAGTTAACAGTTGACAAATGTTAAACCATAAACTGTGATTGAGAAATATGAATCATGCTTTTTATCTCAAAACTATATACATGTAGTTTTTTGATAGTTAGTTACAATTTACGTCTTTGAATTATAGTTTATAAGAATAAATGACAGTTAAGGAGGAATTCTTCTCATAAATATTGTAATTAGAGATGAATGAAATTTTCACATGCAGACTCAGGAAGATAATATTACCAAGGGATGGTATCAAATAGATATCATTTGACCGTTTTATTTTAGGTGCAAGGTAATGTGAAGTTCATTGTATTTTTCCACGACATTAAGAATAAAATATTACATTTGTCAATCATTTGATGCCTGGTTCTATTTCAAAAGATATTTTCACCATATAAGGTGTAATACATCATACTACTACATGTATATGTTATAGTAAACCTGTGTAATCAGGAATTTCATGTATTTTCTGAATTTTAGGAAATGCATAAAAATGCCATCATGCTAAGGAAATATGTGTATTTACTGTTTTCGGTTAGGAAATACATGTATTAACTGATGTTTTCAATACTTCTTACACATATTTACTGACTGTGTATATTTTTTTTTTAAATTTTAACTGTGTTTTCGGTAATCACGTTATAATTTTAATTATAAAATATAAATCACACAATGTAATAATATACACAGTAAATTCAATATTAATTATTCTACTAACTAATTGATTCACTTTTTATTTAAAATTGATGATGATAAGAAGAGTCACTTCACCTGGGAGCTCACGTGGTTTTAAAAATATTTCTGTCTAATTTTGATTTCTAAAATAAATATTAACATAAAGGAGGAATACTACAACCAGATTTGCATTCATTTAATGATGCTTACGACTTACCTTTTAAAATATGGTTTCAGCTTTTACAGACCGATATTAGTTCTGAATTATTTTATTCTTTATCAGGCAGTTTTTTTCCAGAGAAATGTATGAAATAGTTTTAAACTTTTACATGTAATAAATGAACAATATAATATTCTTATAAATCATGTCAAGAGGAATCATAAGAATGTTTTCAATTTGTTTATATATTTACTAAAAAAATACTTTATTTGTAAATATTTTAATAAACTTACAGATAAAATCATCCATTATATGTGTCAGGGTTAAAAAGGATGCCCCTACTGACATGCAAGTTCTAAGTATGTGAAAGTATGAGAGTGCAAATAACTATTTGGTCAAAATGACACAAAAATAAGATACAAACTGATGTGCTACTTTTATTTTCTTAAATCGGTTATTTTCTTTTCCAAAGGATACTCTAACTAAATGGTACGTTATCAGAAAAATGCAAAATTATTCATTTTCCCCCCTAATTTTTTTAATTTAAAAAACTAAAATTGCTTGCGAACTTTTTTTCCACACGTATTACAGACTCATAGTATGCTACTCTGCATTTTTAACAGCAAATTTAAAACCCTGAAGCATCTGAATTTCGGATCAAACAATTCTTAGTTTATATTGTCTCTGGAAAAATGCCCCAAAAATTTCATGAAACGCATATAATATAATGAAATTATTGTCAAAATCTTAATGACATAACCTTAGTTTAACGAATTCCCCCTTAAAGGGAATTTTAAATAGAAAGTGCACTGAGTTTTGTCAAGAATCAGAAATTAACTTGACTTAAAATGACGAGTGTTAGCTCTGTAGGAAAAGTCTTAGAGAGTGCAATTTAAAAAAAAAACCTAGTATTTGTACACTCCTTGAATATTTTATGTGTACAGTCATCCTGGCAAGTTCAGTAAAAAGGTGTAAAGTGGCTTAAATTTTTAGTAAATACACGAATTTCCTAGCAATTCAGTAATTACACGTATTTCCTAAAACAGTCAGTAAATACATGTTTACTGAACAGTTTAGGAAAAACGTGAAATTCCTGATTTCACACATTTACTGTAACATGTATACATTGAATCTCTCGTAGATTGGAAACTTGCAAAAGCTAGTAAGATTGTAGCATGTTTAGAAAATCAAATTTAAGTGAGGTATTGTGGTTGTGCTGTGTGAAAACTACAATAGACGAACTCTTTAATTGATACTTTTATACGATGTAATTTACATTGACTTCAGTGTGCATGCCAATGCATTTAAGGAACAACTACCATCTACACTGTACTTCTTTTCTCGAGATAACGATTTGTCAAATATTTGTATGTAAGATTTATTTCAAGTCTTAGAATTTATTGGAGACATGCAAAACATAGTATATGCTAAATTATGGCATTTTTGTATGATACAAATATCACTGGTTAAATACTCAGTAAATGTCCTCATGGTTTTTGCTCAAATGTTCGCTGAGTGAAAATGAAATAGGACGAGAAATCGTGTAAACAGATATATGAAATAATAGTAAAAAGGATATACATTGGAAGTTATGTGTGATTCATAAAGAATTAATGGTTGAAAATTAGGTATAATGAGTTATTTTCAAGTTTTTTTTTATAATAAAGACACATTTTTCTGAAGTCCCGATCGATCAGTCTAAAGTTTTCTCTGTCGTCCTTACCAACAAAGATACAAAAGTTAAACACGACCCCACACACTTTAGAACGTAATTTTTGTCTATGTCAAAAGCTTGCATTCCTTATTCTTAGGAAAGTTCTGCTTCAAGCTTTTGTAAAATAAAAAAAATGGTCAGGTCACATGTAAAAGTTTGAGGTAATTATTTTTGTGACACTGGATTCTAGTACCACTTTTCATTCCCAGAAGACGTTTTTAAATTAAATTTTAAAGTCTGAAATAAATATGCCCGGTGTATTGTTGTACTTTTTCACTTGTCATTAATGCATATTTTTCCTATTCATAGAGAAATGCTTCTTTTAGCTGCAAACTTAATAATTGACATCTATACAATTGATAATAATTGTTAAAGTTTTATCCGTCGAAATTCTCATTTATCCATTTTACATGTTACAAAAAAGTCTGAAATATCCAAATAATGTTCTGAAAGCTGCATTTATACCCAAGTATATAGGTGTCCTGTGCCTCTTACGACAAAGTTCCGTAATTAACGATATCAATTTCAAACACATTTTATATGGTTAAAATTGTTTCATGATTTGTGAAACTATCATGAACAACCCAAGTCAACAGGGAATGCTTTCTCCTTCTATGAACCTGATCCTACCTTTAGAATTTCAGTGGTGCGTGTAAATTCCAATTTTGAAATTTATATTTGCCCTTTCCAAACTTAATGTTAGTATTACAACTCTGATCCAGAAGTTTCCAACTTTTAAGCTTGAAATTCCATCGTAAAAGCAGCTGGCTTCGGAGAAACGAACTTTAATCTTCGCTTTTCGAACTTTATTGTTGTAATTACAACTTTAGTCCTGGATTTTCTACTTAAATTTTGTATTTCCAACTTTAATATTGACCTTTAAACTTAAATGAAATATATGGAGATAACGAAGAGTATTAAAGATCAAAGTCCATCAAACAATACAAAATAGGTGCAGAGCAAACATGAACCTCTGATACATCAGAGGTGGGATCAGGTGCCATGGAGTATGGAGAATTCCCTGCCGACCGGTCACACCCGCTTTGTGCTCATTGTCATGATGGGGAAATAGCAGAAAAATCCGTCGTCATTTCAGTGTGTAAATAGCTAACAATTAGTATGAAATTTGACTCAATAATAAATTGTAATTGCTGACAAGGTCATTGTATCGACCAGAGAACTTACGAAATTATTACTTTAAACGTGACTGCTGATATTCTTGTTTCATCAAATTGTTTGTCAATAATGTTTTTAGAAATCGTTTTAGAAATTGTTCAAATTGTTTTAGAAATTGTTCATACGTAGAGCATGCTCTTGCGTATCTAATCAACTGAGAGATATAAACTCCGTATGCAGGTGATGAAGGTATGTTGCTGCATAAGTAAGGGAAGCTGACGATTGAAAAGTTAAAGTCATCATGTTTATCTGAGAGCTTGGCTGTTAGATTACCATTAACGTCTTTTTCAATTTAAATAATCAGATATGAAACAGATGTCTCGGACTCTGTTATATTTTTTATCTCAAACTTACCGGGATATGTCGTATCAGCATAAGAATGGAAATAACCATTGTTAATTGACAATACGTCGTCGATATATCTAAATGTCGAGTTGAAGGCCACAGCAAGTGTTTTGTTCTTTTCACGTATAAGATTTTGGACAAACTCTGCTTCATATGAATACAAAAATAGGTCTGCCAATAACGGGGCGCAATTGGTACCCATAGGAATTCCAACAGATTGTTGGAAGACCTGGTCTCCAAAAACCACAAAGATATTGTCAATCAGAAACTCAGGCATCTTTTTGATTAAACCTCAGTGTATTTTTTGTGTACAATCAGAATGTTTTTTAACAAAATAATTTTGCAAATGATCACTGACAAGGTAAGTAAATTTTTAGTTCTATTTTTATTGAAAAAGCAGCTGTCAGTGATATCAAAACGCCTTCAACTTTAATTTATCATGGGGAATGGTTGTGTATAAAGTTAAAAAGTTGAAAGTTTTTAAGCTGTTCATTTTGGTAAAACCTTGTGTTTTCAAATTGTCCAAAAGTTCTTTGGAATTTTTAAGTATCCACATCTGATTTACACCACTTCTTGAATATATTGTTGCACAGTACTCTTGAAATTTCTCATTCACTACTGTTAATAAGTTAATATCTTAGCGAGGAGTAAAGAAAGAGGCTTCGTTGAACATTTACAGGAACCCGCTATGTATCTTTGTTTGTAATTATTCTTATGAAGTTTCGGAATCCAATATAGATATGGTAGTTAAAATTCATTTTGATTTTGAAGAATTTCTTCTTTAGAAAGGGAGCTATGAGTATAAGTTGGATTACCACTTGTAGAATTAAATGCAAGTTCTTCTAAATACAATTTATATAATGAGCCTTACAAACGAAGACAATGTTGTTACCTGCTTTGTTAGCAGGGACCAGTACATACTGATCATGTAATCTATCTAATTCTTTTTTCACTTCTAGATTGTTGAATACAGAAAGATAGATGGTTTTCATATTGCCCCATGAATCGTTTACTACGTGATTTTATCACGCGATCGTAACTTAGATCTGATACATTTAATCCATTCTGACAAAGTGTCAATGGCTGTTATTTTATGCCATTTTATGTTGTTTTTTTTCTCAGTGTGACTTCACGTTTCGTGGACGACAAGTCTCGTACCGCGGGAGAAGTGGTACAAATGATCACTGAAGACAAAATCGACCTTCTGCTAGGACATCCATCGTCAACGCGTATGTTGATAAATTTATCCCTGTTACTGTATATCATTTAACTTTATTATATACAACTTTCTTGGTTCAAAGGTTGATATCAGTCAATGTAGTACGATATTTAGGTAAAAGTTTATGGTTTCAAGAACGTTACCACCTAATGTCAATTTTTAATATTTTACCTTTTATCCATTTGATATCCACTAAAACTAAGCCTAGTCAACTTGTACTATTACATCAACACTGATGCTTTTATACAGTAAAAATTTTCTTTGCATGAAAAATAAAAGTAAAAAAGTTTGAATAATTTATGTTATTTGTGAAAATATCTTTAAAGGAAACATGGGACCTGCCTACGTGACCCCATATTACAATATCCCTCATATTAGCTGGGGGACAACTGATCCAACATTTAGCAAGAAAGATATCTTTAAAACGTTCGTGCGCCTGCGGACCACATTTAATAAGGTTGGATTGGCTACAATAGCACTGTATACCAAATTCAATTGGCGGAAAACAGCGGTCCTTATCGAAACATCCTACAGTAAGTGACCAATTATGATTTTCCCCTTAAAAATATCTCAAAAATAAATTTTAGTAAGATTTTCTTTTAACTACCTGTTAATCTATAAGTGACCTTGTACATGTACATACATATGTATAATTGGAGGCTCCTTTTCTCCTTTCCTTATTCTTCATGTACATGGAAACAATTCCTTTAAATTTATTCATTCTAAATGCCCAAATACTGATTTTATACTTTTGTTAATACCCGGTAATGGGGAATATATTGCCTTAAAATCTATGTATCAAAATTACGAGTTTTACAAGAATCATTATTTTATCCTTTTGTAATTTAGATTATTTTTTTTTTGTAGATTTATGTTTGAGTGCGATGAACGCTTTTCTCTCCAAAGCTGCTGAAAACAAGATAACCATTGCTTTTCATCAGCGTTTCACAGAGAATCCTTCGATAAGCGAAATTGATAATTATCTTTTTAATATTAAGACATCTGCAAGAAGTAAGATTATTTCTTGAAAATATATTTGATATTTATTTTTTAAAGAACATCAAATAAAAAAACTTAAATTATATCTTTCTAGTTGTATTCATGTGCGCTCGGGACAACAATTTCCGAAGAATTATGATACAAGCACATGCTTCCCAGATGACGAATGGTGACTACGTTTTCATAGATCCCAATTTTGTAGCCAATGATGATCTGTACAGATATAGAACGTGGTTTAATAATGACTCCAATGACGCCATTTCCAGAGAGGCTTTTCGACATGTAATACATGTGAGTAGTAGTTTCAGTTACTCAATATTTGAAGTTTTTCAAAATAAAATAAAATAAAATATTCTGAATGGTTAAGCAGGCATACAATTGCAATTTTTATCAAGATTTAATGGTTAAGCAAAAATCTGGCTTTGTAATGTATGAAAAATACAATTGCAATTTTTAAAGATTTACATGAAAGTTATATCTATATAAGAAAAAAATATATTAATTTTTTGTGAGTAAACATGTTTAAGTAGCAATACTTCAATGACAAACTCTTAGAAAAATTTATCTATTATTAAGGAACGTCTCGTCTGTCCTTAAGTGCTTCACGCCTTAATTTAAGTGGGACCCATATTTCTCAAGGAATTATCCAAAATCAAATTATTATCATATTAAAGAGTTACAAAAAGAATCGTTAAATAATGTATATTGCTTTGATTATTATTTTTTTATTTGAAAACCATATTCCGTTAACCTTTGATAGTTCAGTACAGCCCGGTGGTTCGACGAAAGAAGCAAGGCTCAACATTTGGAATTAATGAGAACGATTCCACAGCGTATGGCGGAGCCACCTTGGAATGACTCTACGGCACTCGATGAAAAAATTATTGTGTGATTTTTACCCATTTTTGATTATTTGAAAGTTTGAAGTGCTGCCATTAAACTTTAGTTGAACGTAGTTTGCAAACGACTATTTTATTTTCAGCCACCTCCTGCGGCAGCTGCTTTACACGATTCTATGTACCTCGCCGTTCTCTGGTGGGATCATTGTCATAATAACGGACTCGATCACAGAAACGGCGTTGGGATGTTCGAATTTACTCATAACTTGACCTACAGTGGTACGTCATTGGTATATTAGAATTTACACCTAACTTGCATTAGTCAGAACTACAGAAACTCAGCTTAGAAAAGTAAATGTGAAATTTTTGAATAAATACATCTTTTGCAAGCTAATTTTCTGTCAAAAGGAGATTCTAATTTGCATTATCTTTATTTTTGTTCAGCATTTTTTTATATTATTCACCAAGCACTTTTATCAAATGCTGCATCTTATGATGATGTTTTTACATTAAGGAACAAGTGGGCTTATTTATTTCGACGGCAATGGAGACAAGCAGCCCTTATTTTGGATTGAGGACCTAAAACTAGAAGGCGATAATCAGAGAATCTTTGCCATCGTTGAAACTTACAAAACGGATTCAAACGTACCGTTTATTTTTATTCAAAATCTCTCTCTCTTTTCTCTCTCTCTCTCTCTCTCTCTCCAAGTTTATAAAGTTTTATTTTGAGATAATTTAGCATGATTTTATTTTAGTAAGGCTATGTTTAAATGGTGTTGTTTAGATGTTCACGTTATGGGAGGACCCTTTATGGTTAACCGCTGACGGAAACCCTCCTCTTAGTTCCCCCGTATGTGGATTCTCTAACGAGCTTTGTCCACCGCCAGTGAAAGGTAATGCTCTGTCATTTTTATTTAATTGCTCAATTACTGTGTTTTCCTTTGCTTATACTAGTATTTCAAATTTGCAGATAATTTTAATGATTGAAAGCCAAAGCTTTCATTATCACTGAAATGAGATTGATTTCTTCCAAGGTCTTGCAATGATAATGATGTGGTCCGAGTTTACTTGTATTGTTTCAATGGACAATGGACATTTAATAAGCTTCATTACTATTCTTTATCTCCATATTTCATTGTAGATCAAACGATAGATATTGTCGTCGCTGTCTCCGTTGCTGTGTTTATAATAATCAGCTTTCTGATTGCTATTTTCACTATCAGGTAAAACGTTATCTAGAAAGTTATTATTATAACTACTAGTATCCTTTTTTACTCGTTCATTGTTACTGTATATCTTATTTACGTATAAATCAAACTGTATGAAAGAACATTTACCTGCCATTAAACTTTAAATAAATGACCTTTTGTCCAAATACAGAGAAACCAAGAGCTTTTTCAGAGAACCGAACAATGCCAATATTAATAATTTTGCAAAAGACTACACCCTGTACTTCGCAGAATCGGCATCATGAGGTTTACGTATGTTATGTATAACTAACTTACGATACCTTACTCCTTAACGAATTTAAAATTATTTGCTGCAAATGTGGCCCTGGTATGAATCGTCTTTAGATTGGGTGTATGACTCCTGCTGTAAATTCATTGTTTGAGATAAAAGATACCACAGAATCTGACACATCTGTTTCATACTTGGATATTTTACTTGAAAAAAGGTTATATGATAAACGTGATGACTTTTATATCGTCAACTTTCCTTACTTATGCAGCAATATACCTTCATCACCTGCGTACGGAGTATATATATTTTAGTTGATTCAATAGCATGCTCTACGTATGAACAATTTCTAAAACGAGGTAAATTATTGACAAGCAAGTTGATGAAACAAGAATATCAGCAGTCTCGTTTAAAGTCATCATTTCGCAAGGTCTATGGTCGATACAATGACCTTATCAGCAAATACAATTTATCATTAAGTAAAATGCTGACTGACTTTTTTCATCCGTTATTTCCCGATCATGACAAGGAGCGCACGGCGTGTGTGACCGGTTAGCAGGGGATGCTCACTCCCCCATGGCACCTGATCCCACCTCTGATGTTTCGGAGGTCCGTGTCTGCTCTTCTCCTATTTTGTATTGTTTTATGGACTTTTATATTGAATACTGTTCGTGTTTTTTTTTCCATATTCTTCTTACATTTGTAATTATGTTGGTAAAATCCTAAATAAGAAAATCTAAAAATGGTAGTTGATTGTCACATGCCTCTATTGTGAATTGAATTGAATCTACCATGATACTTTGTAGAATTTTCGATAATCCTTTTTAGATTAATATTAGTGGATGAGAATATCAACAAGGTATTTTCTTCTATTTTTTGCGAAAATACTATATACATGTACACAGAAGTTTCTATTTATGTATGAGTTGAGAACATGATTTATGTAAGATCAGTGTCAAAAACGAAAGTAAAATTTCAAGAAATATTTAGTTTTGGTAAACTAATTTGCAGATAGCTTTAACTTCACCTTATTGAAACGAAATAATTTCATTGTTATCATTACAAGTAAAGATTATTTGGTAAAACGTAAACGTCTTAATTTGATCTCTCAACAGGAAGAAGCAGTATGAAATGCAGATTCTAAAGATGGCATGGAAAGTTGACTTTTCTGAAATTGGAATGAAAATCAGCAAAAGGGGAATAGGAAGTCAGGTAATATAAAGAAGTCGGACAAAATAAGGGAGTCAGGCAAGATAAAGGGGTCGATGAAATAAAAAAGTCAAGTTAAGGTAATTCCACCCTCCTATGATGTCGTAGGTTTTTGCAAAAACTGTTATTTGGTAAATTCACACCTAATAGAACAATATCTTTTAGAGGAATGCTTTTCAATAGATGTACTGATAAATATTGTTAAATGGAAAAACTAAAAAAAAATGCATATTTTTTATTTAATCAATTATTCAATCTTTAAAAAAGTTGACAAGTGCAATAACTCCTCAGGTCTCTTCATTCAGCATTTGCTTTATTGTACTTCTAATGTAAAATAGTTTCCCTGATATTCACAATTCAAAAGAATCTTATAACTGGGAAGTATTAAGGAATATTCGGCATCAGAATTATGCATTTTAATCAGTTTTTAGATATTTTTCGTAATACTGTTTACAAAAAATGTGCGATTTTTTTGTTGACATATACTTCTGTTTATTTATGTCTCCCATCTTTAATAATATGGTGACCTATACATTTTTTTGTAATAATTGGAAAATTTAAAGTATACTCAGTATTGAATGAAAATATATGTAGTTCTTGAACTTGAACCATTAGAACTGCTTCGCCCGTTATGCAAATTATCCCATGTTTCCCACTAGCGTTGATGCCCTGGCATACTATACTAACTAAACAGTGATTCCTTAAACATTTCGTGTCAAGGAGGCAGTTTTACAGTATGATTCAATATTCCAATTGTTCCATATATACGTCATTCACGTTTTTCATTCTCTAAAAAAATAATCTTTTATCATATATTCCAGTTAAGTAAAAGTGCTACATCTTTCGGAGAAACGGGAAGCGGAAGCAATGGTACAGATAATCCTAATTTTACACTGACTGCAGAATACAATGGTCAAATAGTGGCTCTTAAAAAAAGTCCACTATTGACGATCCAACTTTCACGATTAGATCTGGTGGAACTTAGAGAGGTAACGTGAGCTGTATAACAACATAATGAATATATTCCTCAAGCATACATTTTGTGGAGAGGGCTTATATAGGCTATGTGTGTCCAATCTATTTATGAATTTTTACATAATAAAATCAAATCAGCATATGCCTATACATTTACAAAAATAAAATTCTTAAAGCTGCAAAAAGTTTTTTTTTAAAAACTTATCTAGTTTTAGTTTGTTTTTGTTTTCAGATGCGTGACTTTATCCATCCAAATGTGAATCCTTTTCTTGGAGCTTGTATTGACTCCCCGCACATCTGTTGTCTGTTTTTATACGGTACTAAAGGGAGTCTACAGGTGAATACCATCTGATTATAAGAGCATCAGAAACCTAGATCACCTCTACTAATGTTATTGTAATTTAAATTCAAGACACGTGGTGTAGGTTGTCCCATTCAAAGGTTATAGTGTAGAACCGGTTTTATATATGGCAGTAAACAGGAAATTGCTATACTTTTGAAAACATGTCTTGTAAAAAATGTTTTTCAAGACATTTCTGAAAGACTTTCATGATTTTCAACAAAAAAGAGTGGTTAAAAAGGGGGTATATCTTATCATAAATTACGGCGAAAATTATAGAGCTCACCCGATACGCAGGTTAAAAAATTTGTAATGTCTACACTGAGAAACCTTTGTTTGCCTTATATGGCTATTGTTATTAATGCGCACAGAAGATCTTACCACGAGTAACTGACCATGCAATCGTTGAATGAATAGCAACGTTTACGCCAAATACTTTTACTTCGAACACGTGGTTCTGGCCAATCTAAGATCATGTCAATGGAGTGTAAAATAAAAAAAAATGTTCTTATTAACAAAGTACAAAGATTAGAAACTCTGAAAGATGTCAAGGGTGTTTTTAATTTGTTTTTAACTAGAAAAAATATGCTTAATAAAATGTAGTTTGTGTCAAGTTCAGAACACCAGTGCTTCAAGGATAAGGAAAACGAGCACATCTCTCATGCATTTAAATAGAAAAAACATTTTTTTCACATCTATATACTCGTGATCACGTGTTTTGGCCAGGGAATCCACCTGACACTTGTATTCACCGATAGTACAACAAAGGAATTAATACAGACGCAAATCGCTTTGCAATATGACTTTGAGAAACCTAAGACTTTTTATTTCACAAATGAATTGTTTGTCATTGTGAGCATGAAAATAATAGAATTAAAAAAATTAATGCTTTTCATTTACGAAATGGATGGAAAAATGGTCTTGTGCCTCTCTGATCACCGTAAGATTTTCCTTTTTTCAAGCGTAAAATTCGTAGTAACCCATAATGCAATTCTCATTCAGCTGATTTGTCGGTTAAAGCTGAACACTACTCGTAAAAAGGCATCGTCCGCCATATTTCCCCTTCTTCAACGCTCTCCCTACAACCCCAATATAAGGAGCAGATCGCTTATCAGTTCAAGGTATTTCGCTGTAGAGATCCATCGAGTGTAGACGTACATCTTACACTGCCGTGCTACTTTGTCGCGATGAAATCAAATTTTACGTATTTTTTCCAGAACAGGAAAAAGTATCATGAAAAATACAGGTGAATAAATTATTTACAGACAGAAAATGCACATAAAAACATGGAATAAACGCAAAAAATCTAAAACATGCACGTTATGAGCAATACATGTCTGCCACGAGTTTCGAGTGTGCAATCGGGTGTAACGATATTGAGCGGTTTATATACCCGTCTAACGGTGCCTATTTATGAGAAATGTTCAGCTTTAAAGTCATGTTGGTGCCTCATTTGCTAATCCGACGCCAAAAAATATAGTCCCGATTCTCATGCAAAAATACTTTTCCAAAAAGAAATTTTAATTCATGACTGCAGAAAATTGCACCATAGAGAATACTTATTTAAGTTTGAATTGATTCACGAGAGGTCGATTGAAGTAAATTTCTACAGATATAATAGGGTGGTGAAAACTGAAACGCAACATAATTTTTTTGTTTTGCTAGTCACTTCCTAGCCACATTTCTGTGAATAATTAAGGTCTTCCGTTTCCAACGGAAGACCTTCTACTGATTCTGTTGGTAAAGATTATTCTTTTTTTTCTTCTGCTTCCTAGAGAATATCTCACTCATTTCTCAACGGATTTCGCTCAATTTTTCAGAGGTTATAGACGTTTATAAACTTTATCAAAATGCTGGCTAAAATTTCAAAAAGTCACTTCCGGTTTTGAGTTATTTCCCTTTAAACGAAAATTTACAGGCTTTCGTTTCCAGACAAAGGCTCAGAGACGGCTAAAGCTGGAGCAGAAATTCTACTGATTTTAGATAATAGAAGGATTGAAATTGTGCACATCGGTTTTTGTTTTTCGATTTCTCTATTCAAAATGGCGCTATATAGGGGTCAAAAATTAGAACGCTTAAAAGAACCAAAAATAACTCATATTTTGCCTTTTATCTTCTAAACTAAAAATATTTTGCTAAAATATATAGAACATAATTTGTGCAAAATTAGTAGATCTTTCAAATGAGATGTCGGAAAAAGGGCTGGCCCCTAAATTATGGGATCTAGAGGGGCCAAAATTTTTTTCCAGATATCTCAAAAAGCATTGAGATTTTGTTATACATCAAAGAAGCAAAGTTGTTGAAATTGTCAAGCTTAATCTAATGGAATCGGCAAAATACGTCCAGCGTCGTCACTTCCGGCCAAACCGGAAGTAGTCGGAAAACGCATATTTTTGCCGTTTTTGACAAGTTTTTGGGAGCTTAAAAATTAATTTTTCGTGCGTCGTCATCACTTCCGATCAAACCGGAAGTAGCAAAAAATGGCTTATTTTTGCATAAATCAACATAGCTTTAAAGGATTCAAAGCATTTTTGGACGTTATTTCTCATTTTAGTTAAAAATGAAAGCTACTTCCGGTCAAACAGGACGGAAGACCTACTCGTTGCTTTGCAACGAGCTTTGCTCTTGTTTATCCTATATTGCTGTAGTCTCGCTAACTCTCGCCAGAGCCACTGCCAGAGCTACTCTGAACTCATCGTGTTTTATAACTGAAAAAAAGGTTCCGAACACATTAGTAGGGGTGTAGATGTATTTTAAGCATTCTAGTTGTAACTTTAACATTTAATTTTAGTTTTGTTTCAGATATCATTTTCGTTTAATTATATAAAGAGTTATGTAAACACGTCATACAGGCAACATACATAAAAAAGGACTTTAATCGTAAAAATAAATTATAACTATTAGAATGGTTGTTGTATTATAATAACTCAGATATAAAGAATATTTAAATCAATTATGAACAATACATACATGAGATATATATTTGAATAAATTACTTTACACAAATGTATGGTTTATACAAGACGGAATTGTAATTTCACCAAGATGTTAAATATCAGTTCTGTCACAATATTGTTTTTGTGATGTAGATTTTTTTTTTAATTATAGCTATATACCACTAAAAGTTCCTAAACAGTCTCGGTATTTTATGTTTTGTTTTTATTTTCAAGAAGTGGTGTAAATCAGATGTGGATACTTAAACTATCAAGGAACTTTTGGACCATTTGAAATAACAAGATTTCACCAAAATAAACAGCTTAAAAAGTTACGACTTTTCAACTTCATACACAACCATTCCCCACGATAAATTAAAGCTTTTCGATATTACTGACAGCTGTTTTTTTTTTCAATAAAAAATGGAAGTCGTAAATTTACTTACCTTATCATTGGTCATTTGCAAAAATTTTTTGTTAAAAACATTCTGATTTTACCCACATATACTCTGAAGTCGACATCAAAAAGATGCTTGGAGTATATTTTGACCCCAACTTTCAGCACTGTCTCAGAAATTTGATTTTGTTTTTACTACTTTGATTTATTTAGGATTTAGGATATGTAATTTGTATTTAGGATAAATATATTACACATAGTCTAAAAACTGTTATGCCACTTGTTAATCAATAAGTAGGAATGTTCCTGCTGATATACATAAAAAGGGTTTGACTGTTAAAGATTTTATTGACCTGATGAAAGAAAGATTCAAAAGCTATACAATTATCAATGTAAAGGTATTTATTTTTGTAGTCTCTAACATAATTTCACAATGCAATTTTGATTTTTTTTAATCCCAATTGACAACGTTCCTTTTTTAGCGTTTTGCCCCCATATTTTTTTTTCTATCCGTCCAAAACATAATAGTAATTGTATTTTAAAAAAAGCATCGGTCATTCTCTTGAATCGCTTTTCATTATATAGGTATTCATATCGTTTATGTAAAATCTTATTATTTGAATCCAGAAGCTTCCATATTTTAATCATGGATCATGCATTCTGTCTACGTATAAATTGTTGATTGTTACATAAAATATTAAATAAAAACAACTAAACACATTTCTAGTTTTAGCTTGAAGTTTTTGCAATAAACATTCTCGTATACAATTAGACCATTGACAACGACATGATCATTACATGCAAGTTTGACGAAAATCTTCCAGAAAAATTAAATAGGATTCCCTACATAAGACTTCTCGATAAAATCCTAGAATTAATGTCGTTTCTAATTGAAAACAAAAGATGTACAAGTACATGATGTACTGATTTATTTGTATGTTAGACCTCCAGTGTTTTACGACAGGAAAAAATATTTATTATTGGTCTGCCTATTTACCAAAATGATTTTTTTCTTTGTATTTGAGGCAATAAAACATTGATTAAAATATTCTGCTTTATTGATCCACTTATTTTGATGATTGTTGACTCAAATTTGTCAGTAAATGATCAAATTTAATTAAAACTGACTAAATAAAGTCATACTCGTAGTTTAGATACCTACAAAATATGTAATTAATGAAAATATAGTTAATCGACTAAATCAAAATTTCTGTTTTAATAATCTGTCAAAAATGAAATACGGATTCATTTTTTAAAAAAGTTTATTTAAGGTATACTAGCACTGTACGTAACTCAAATATCATGGAAGGACCATTAATAGGATTCTACTGAAATGCCACCATTGGTAGAGATATGCTTGAGTGTTGGAAAGTCACTGACCTATGATTCAAAGATTCTGTTTGATTTGAAATATCTTTCTTTCATATATGAGAGAGATATTTCCAAAAGGACTTAATACATAAACTATCCCTCTTTAGTGTATTTCCTACACTCTACGTTTAAAACGTAACGGAATCATGAGCAAATTAATTTATCTGTACACATGTTCCAGCTTGATTTATATGTGAAATCAAATCTATACCTGGATATTTTTTTCAGGATGTTTTGGAAAATGATGACATCAGATTAGAATGGACCTTTAAAGTTTGCATCTTAAAAGACATAGCGATGGTAAATATAGTGATGAAAATTTCTAATTCGTATACGCTCTACCTTCTTAATTTCTTTAGCATTAATTTAGTCAGCACTATGATTGTAACAGCTCTACTTTTTCGCTTAAGTTTACTCATGTAAACTTTATCTAATCGTCAAGAGTGAACGTGAAATCAATGGCATTTGCTTACTGACTGGGTAGCTGGCATCCTCATATGGCCTTTCTACTCTTAGACTTATTCTGTGAAGTTGAATATGCTCTTTTCAAAAAATCTTTAATATAACCCATGTCTCGTGACGTACTTGAGTTGTCCGTCAGTTACATCTCAAATACGTTTTGGACTTTGAACAGGAAGATATAATTTTTATGATGGTACGGCATCATTTTGATAACATATAATTTTTTGATAGTTTTTAAAGATGAAGCATAAAAATAAACGTAATGTAGATGCATTGAATATTTCTTTATTCCGATTTTTATACGACTCGATCATGATTATTTATAATTTAACATGTTGATACTATCCATATTTTCCAGGGCATGAAGTACATACACTCATCCACTCTGCGATCACACGGTAGTCTCAAAAGTTCCAACTGCATTATTGACAACAGATGGACTGTGAGAATCACAGACTATGGAGTTTCTGCTTTTTTCAAACAAAAGAACATGAAAAACCTTTCAAGGATGGAAGAATTCAAAGGTACTGGTAATAACTTGTAGCAATTAAACTTTAAATAAAGAGGATGACCTAAAACCTTATGGTAGATGTCGTTACATAATGTTCATCTATCTAAAGAATAATTTAGTCACATCTTAAATAAGAAAAATAAGGAATATGAGTATTAATAATCAGTTATTCATAAAATTTATTATAATTATATTAAATTATTATTAATATTATACAATTAATAATAATTAATAATGAACAATTCATAATTATAATATTAATGAAAATAATAATCACAGTAATCAAAACTAGTAATCACATACTTGTGTATGCAAGCAAACCTTTTAAACGGAAATAAACATTTCGTTTGAATATATGTTATGTTGTATTTTTTCGATCAATAGGGTTTCTTTTTTACATTTCGTACATTATGGGTTAACAAGGCTGCTTAGTCCTCTTGTGCTCCTGATCACAGCTCAAAATTTCATGTGTCTATGTTTAATATCATATTCACACACTTGTATTTTTTAAGATATTTTTTTATTTTAAGATCGATAAATTTTTCATATCCTCACATTTTTTTCTGAAAATGAAGTTTAGGATATAAATCTTGGATGGCATATATAAGTAAGTGGTAACTGATATTTCAGATTTATTGTGGACCTCTCCAGAAATTCTTCAATCAGACGACGTCATGCCAAGGAATGGGACCCAAACTGGGGATGTGTACAGCTATGGAATTATTCTACATGAGACATTCTACAGAAATGGAACATTTCCTGTGGCGGGAAAGACTTACCAAGGTTATTCAGAATTTTGTTTAACAATTGTAAAAAAGCTACTCCTTCCTTCTTAATTTTGAAGATTCAATTCATTTTAAAAAAATTTTGACCACCCCATAAATTTCGTAAATATTCTATTTTAAACTAGTTGTCATTCAACAAGGCATCATTATTACTTGCTTGTATTTTATGAATTTGGTTACTTTATCAAGAAGAAGTGTATCTTAATTTTAATAACTTTTTTGTTACATGATGTTACATTTTGTTTTAGTACTCTCAACAGTTACAAAAAGGATCATATTTCCTTAAATAATACTTTTTCATATATTGAAATCAAAGTTGTCTAAACTGGACTAGATGACTTAATGCTCAAAGAATTTAGAAGCTTTCGGTACTCAGTGTAATTGTAATTGTAGATATAATACAGGACATTTGCAATGGCATTATATACACGCCTGATCTCAATAAGTCAGAAAATGTAAAACCTCAGATGTTGAATCTAATGAGACTGTGTTTAAATGAGGACCACCGACAAAGACCTGACTTCAATAGAATTCTTAATTTCATTCGAGAAAACAACGTTGAGGCGTAAGTAAACCCTATTCTTTTTTCACTGTCGGATAATATATCTGCTCAATGGAATTCAGTAATGAGGTGATTTGTGTGTATCATTAGTAATAATTAATGTTCAAGACTATAATGAGCTTTTTCTGGATAATATAATAATCTGTTTTTCATGTAGGTAGAATTTCAGATTATCGAATGCTCCAAGGAGAATTGAAATCATGATAAAAACTAGTTGATATATAGACGAAAAATTCATCGGCATATTGTAATCATGATACTATTGGGTCAGAATGTTTTTTTAATTATTTGAAAATTAATACTTTAAAATACAGTGAATTAACTTTGAAAAAAATCCTTCTGACCAGCAGCATGGTTTTTTTTTCTAAAGCAGTTGTCAGGGGCGTTACAGTTCTTGGTTTGCAAAGTAGGAGTTGGTTCATTGTTAAGAGTAAGATTTTAGATCTTAGAGTAAATTTGTAAAAAAAAAAAAAAAAAAAAAAAAAAAAAAAAAAAATAAAACTTCTCTTTCGTGTAAGATATTGGCAGGAAATAGATCCTTCGGTGCTAAATGGTCATAAGTACCGAATACAGGACAAGAGTTGCAGCATTGAAGATGCAGCTGACACAGTATCATTCTCGGAAAGACGTAGTACAAATGCCAACACACCTATCACTTAATTACTCATTTAATTTAGTTTCTATTTTGATCAGATTGAAAAAGTATAGGACATAAATTAAAGAACTTAAGAATTAATGAATTTGAAACATATTTTAATCAGTTTCAGGAAAACAATAAGCAGACTTAGTACCATTGATATCTATTCTTCCATTTCAGTAATTTGAAACCTGAAAACATTCTAAAGATTTTAAAACACTACACGGACAAAATGTCATTGATCAATCTATCAAAGCGTTATTTTACAAAAGTTGAGCATGCGTATCGAATCAACTAAGAGATATTTAAACCCGTATGCAGGTAATAAGATAAGTTAGGGAAGTTTACGATTGAAAAGTTAATGTCATCATGAAACAAACTCAATGTCCGCATTGGATTGAAACTGTGACGTAAGGATCAATTCCTTACTCCGCGACTCTAGAGCAGATGCCCTAACCACTGCTTAACGCGGGCGACCCCTTTCGATGAAAATCTACCTTTGCTGAATTCAAAAACGTGTAAAAATCCTTACAATTTATACATTTATATTTACGTATGTGGACTATTATCAAAATACCAATACCTTAATTAAGGTGATCCAATTATATGAATGATATAATCTAAGCAATATTCTTTGAAGTTACACGAACATAAAGCATTGATTTCATAATATCCTTTCAAAACACTATACACCTAAATAATTACCTTTAAAATAAATGCTTCGATAATTACAGGAGAGAAGCATCACTAATGATGGAGATACCTATCTGTATTTATTGTAATTACACAGGAGCGTGAGTATAATTGATTCCATGATTAACATGTTGGAGAAGTATGCCAATAACCTTGAAGATCTGGTAGAGGAGAGAACAGTCGCCCTCAATGATGAAAAAACAAAGACAGACCGCCTTCTCTATCAATTGTTGCCAAAGTAAGACTTCCTATCATAGGATTCAAGCCAAATTGAATGCAAATCTCAGTTCAATGATATCAATATTGCTCTGTCTGTCTCTCTTTCTCTCTCTCTCTCTTTCTGTGGGATATGTGTACTTCTGTATTATTGTATTAAATAAATCTATTACGTTTATTTTTTTTTTTTTTGAAGATTAGTTGCAGATAAGTTAAAGAGAGGTGAAATGGTTCTCCCAGAAGCGTTTGAAGCTGTAACCATATTCTTTTCTGATATTGTGGGGTTTACCATACTTGCAGCTAAACTGACTCCTTTGGACGTTGTAAATTTCCTTAATGATGTTTACACATTATTTGATGACATCATTTCTCGATATGACGTTTATAAGGTATTCGTCATAATTTTATTTGTAATCAAAACGTCTTGTTAAGTTAAGTCATTTCTTTTGAGGAATTCGAATCCATGAGTTTAAAGATTACTATTTAATGAAAATTATTAATACAGGATCCATGTCAATTAACCTTCAACGTTCCTTTTGATAAACTAAGATCATTACAGGTAGAAACAATCGGTGATGCTTACATGGTTGTAAGTGGTTTGCCAAAAGAAAATGGCAATAGACACAGTGGGGAGATTGCTAGTATGTCCCTGTCAATATTGACAAGGCTCCAGTTCTACAGAATGAAGGCTATACCGGATCAAAACATCATGGTTCGGATCGGACTACACACCGGGCCAGTGTGTGCAGGTCTCTCTATTTTAGTTTATTTTATCTTCCCTAATAACTAAAACTACGTAGTTGATTGTGATAAGAAAACAAAACTACACCAAAATTAAAGAGTGAAGTTTATAATTTATAACAAAGTTATTTTACTGTATAATCATATTCCGTTGACGTTTATTAATGCATTTACCTCTTCTTTAAATCATAAAGATCGTGATTCTGGTTATTCGATACTTTAGTACATCTTCGTTTTAATAAGGAACGACCAGCAGTAGCCTTTGCGCACTCCGAAGTAATTAGACATTACCTACTGAGTGATCCGGAAATAGAAACAGAGTTTCTAACAGTAATGAGACAACTTGTAACACTACGCCGGTCATCCTTGTTGACCAACTAATGGTAACGAAATGGCGACTCGATCAGATCAGATGGACAAAACATAAATCATATTTGATATTTTCAGATATTCATTATATAATACATATTATGTTCATTAAGCATTAGAACAATAGTTCTTTTTAAATTATGCTGTCTAGTAACAACATAATCGCTTGAGATTTCGAAAGCCTTTGAAATCACTCTGGCCTCAAGATCCTTTTACTAAAAAAATATCGCTATTGAAAAAATAACCATGTTTTGTTTTGTGGTTCAGTTCTGTCTTCTATTTTTAATCTTTATCAAAAAAAACTTTAATTATATAAACCTGTCATATAGACAATGTAACAGAATTTCATTATATACAATTTTAATCCCCTCTCAGTTCCTCGGTATAGCATTATAACATTATAGCATATTTTTCCTCCATAAATATAAGAAACCACCTGAGCCCTCCATCCATTACAAATTAATACATAATTTAACTCAGTAATACGATATATGTATGTTTAACATTACCACAACTGTGACTTTATTAATCAATCCTGTTTTAGATTGAGTATAATGATGAAGGTCACGTACGTGTAACATTTCACTTTATGCAACAATAACCTATTAAAATTTGATATACAAATTATGAACATCTGATTACAGTTATTCACCCTATTAATAATATGAATCAAAATTATCAGTTAATTTCTGCCTGTATCATATTTACATTATTTTTAAGAAAGACCTCTTCCTTCTATCTGGTCTGAAACCGCAAGTTGAAAAGGAATTCAAAATGGGTTTATCCGTGATCTTAAGCTAGTCCGATCCTCAGGTTTATAAAATTAGCAGTTAAGTAATTCAAAATACTCATAAAAGTATCTCTGAATCCACAAAGTTATGTAAATTTATCCACAGTATTTCTTTAAAGTTGAACATTAAAGTTAATCATATTATATAGGGAAAATTGTCAAATCTCCAATATTTTTGCAGAAAAAGCGAATTGGAATATCAGCAATGCATTTTCTAATTGCAAATTGATCAACAAATATATTTTAGGTTAAAAAATTATAGGTATCCAGGCATTCAAAGAAATTGTCATGATTTTTATACTTATGTGGTATTTTTTGTTCTCTATTTCCGTCATGTATTCTATAATACATAATGTAAAGGGCTTTTGCTATCATTGCAAAACATAAATCACTACTTCATTCATATCATGCTAATAAGCATCGGTATCTAAGGCTGAAATCAAGAAAATCTTATTTTTCTAAAACTGTATTAATTTTTTCCCCATTTAAAGGGTACAAATGTCAACTTGTATGAGACCTTTTCTTTAAGACTTCTAAAACCCTTGATTCTTATAAAGATGAATAAAATGAAAATTGTTGCATGAAAAAATTTCATTTTCAAGCCTCATTTTGATGCATTTCAAATTTTAAATATTAATTTTTGGAGTTATCCTTCCTGGCTGAGGATCGGATATCCTTAAGTCGACGGCTTTCTAAGAGAAAATGAGGAAGCACTCCACCTCTAAAGAGATGCAGCCACAATTTCCCTGCGAAATTATAATATACAGTGTATATTTATATCCCATTGGCTGTGCCTTTAAACATACTCATAAGGAGGGATTCTTGTCTGGTTCATGACTAGATGAAAGATTCAAGGTATATTTAAGGAATAACTGTCTTATTTTTCGATTTCATGATGTGATCAGTCGGTTGGCTTGCGTGATAATTTGCATAAACGCCGAAGGCAAGCCAATCGATTGATCATCGTCATGAAATTGAAAAATAAGACAGTTATTCCTTATATTTACATGCTTTGATTCCGCCAATCCACGTGCTCCAAGCCCTGCTTCTGACTAGCTGTTTGTCCCGCCCTGCAAGTGTTTTTTTTTGGAACCGCGCCAATACATTGATGGCGAAATAAAGTACATTTTCAATTTGTAATTTTATCTCGGACAAAGACATTGGAAATGTAAATATTAGCATATATATGTCTTACATATTTAAATGTAAGAGATTCAAAAGATAATATTTTCTAGCCTTATCACAATTGAACAACTTTAAATAGAAATGGTAAACTGGTTAATTGAGTTTAATATCTAGCAAGGACTATATTCTTGGTCGAATGGCAGTGTATAAAATGTTTTATTCCCCTCAAAATTCTTATACAACAATGAATTTATTTAGAAATTTTGCACTATCAAAGACTTGAAGATATTTTCAAATATAATTTAAATTAATAATAACAGACTTAAGTTTTAAAATATATCAAATTAATATGTTTTTCAAATAAAGTACAATAATGTAAACTTTCATTCTAAGCACAAATTTGAGCCAAATATCCGTAAAAAGTGTTTTAACGATAAAAACCTGTGTGACAACGTTACCATATGTGAAAATAAGAAAACGATAACGTAAGCATATTAAAATACCTAATTTATCATGAAAATTTAAAAATAAAAATAGACAAAAATCGGATTAGCAGAACCATGGCAATATTATTTTTTTAATTCTTAATGTCCAGAGAAAAAAATAATTGACCTGACCTTTCCTCTAATATAAAACGATAAAATGTAATCTAACTGATACTATTGCTTAGTGATATTGTCTCCTTGATTCTGTGAAAATTTCTTTCATTTTTAAATGCAAAAAATATTAGAAGAATACTTCCTCAAGTGACTATATGTGGGAAAATTATTGCAAGAGCGATAACTCTTTGAAACGTGTCGTATATTTTATCGTCATACATTTTATTATATTGTATTTTAGGGATACTGATAAAAATTGTCGACAGGCATCGCCCACAAAGATTTTGAGTTATGCGGTTTTTTCATAGAATTTTGCACATCATATCCAAATATTGAAGTAGGCGACGGCTGTGGGCACTATTTTCTGAAGGAAAACTACCCTTAGAATAAGTCATTTTGAGGTTTTTCTGTTTAGAATAGAGAAATGCATCAAATTAATGACTTTATATTTCCAGATTGGTACTTCTTGCCATATTCTTCCTGATTCATCCGAGTCATATAATCAACTAATATTTAAGCCAGTTACAAGCTTTTTGAAGACATTTAATTTTTAGGGCACAATGAAGCTAAAACCGTACCTTCTTCTTTGTGAAGTACAATGTACATATTTTACCTTGTTTACCTGCACGCTGGTAAATGACAACAAGGATCTAAAAAATTAAATGTGTTGACAGATGAACTATGTCGACAATAAACACAAATATAAATCAAGAAATAACGCCTTATCCTATAGTTTTCAGGCATGCTTACTCCTCCTAACCACCTGACCCTTTCTTAAGAATTTTAATGGATGTGTCTTTGTTTTATTCCCTTTTTAGATCGATCACTATTGGTTATCTTCACCCTTTTTATTGTAATGGCGAATCTTGATAAGACATTAGCATCGGTATACCTCAATAATTGTATGTTACATTTAACTATATAATATGCTTGATCTTCTCTTATCTGAAACTTCATAAAAATGTTGTTATTTCGTCTTACCTTTAGCATTTATATACAATCCCTTTCAGGTGTAGTGGGACATACAATGCCAAGATATTGTTTGTTTGGCGACACAGTCAACACAGCCTCCAGGATGGAAACATACGGAGAAGGTGTGGGAGACTCTACTTTATTTAAGAAATAAAGTCCGCGTTTTAGTGAATGTTGCAGGGTAACCTCTTTGGTTTTGAAATGTTGTTTGAAAGATAAAAGCCGAGGCCTTAATTTCAAACAAGATTTCGAGACCAACGCCTCGGCTTTTATATTTCAAATAAAACAATTCGAGACCAAGGAGGTTATCCTGCAACATTCACGAAAACGATTTAAGCTTTCTTTGCATAAAAATAGCCTTTTATTTATTACAAAGAACAAAGTACATTTTCAATACAAATTAAGCCCTGTATTTTTCTAAAATATGAAAGTGATATAAGAAATTAAAATTCATTCTTTCTGAATCATAGGAATTCCATGGAGTAGGAATACATAAAAAGTTTTTCTCATATGACCTCTTAAATGCTTATTGTGCATGACGTTATTAACTGCATTTTCCCGTATTTTCTTAAAAAGTTGCAGAAGACACCAATTTTCCATGGAATTTTCTTTCAGAAAACATACTCTGCCACCGTCGCCCTCAAGGTTTAGAGATATGTGATTTTTCATAGCAATTTACATCATAATATATCCGAAAATTGAAGTGGGCGACGGTTGCAGGCGTTATTTTCTAAATGAAATTAAGCACAGAAATGAGTCGTTTTGAAGCTTTTCTGCATTAAACTTAGAAATGTACCGAATTAATGCCGTCATATTTTCAGAATGGTACTCCTTCACGTCATAGTCTCTACTGATTTCTCATATTTATCAACTCAACTATTGTTATAGCCAATTTCATACCTTTTTAAGAACATTAAATTTTTATGGTAAAATAAAGCCCAAACTGTACCTTCTTCTTTGTTCGTAACATATATAATTATATTGATGTTAATGAATATACAATAACAAAAATTTTATTTTTTTTTTTTTTTTTTTTTTTTTTTTTTTTTTTTTTTTTTTTTTTTTTTTTTTTTTTTTTTTTTTGCTTTAGTTAGGACTATAATCCATAATTCCTGTAAATTGTGTAGAAAGGTCCTTGGAACAGACTCGCTTAGCTATAAAAACCGAAATTCATCAGCATTTCATGCAATTTACAGTGTTTAGACTGCGAAAGACAACACATCGATGTGGTATAAACAAGTATTTCATCCTGCAGTTAAATATGCATTTGAACTGTACAGCTTTGATACGTGCTTCTGATCTGATAATCTTTTGATGACGTTCGTGATTTATTGGTGAATAATGTTCTATCTCAGCAATAATCGTGGTAGAATACACTCTACTTTCCTACTGATTTTAATCATGAAAAGTGTCATACTTGTGTGTCAAAGATAAATACAGCCATTGTTCTTTTTTTAAATACGTTTATGTACTCACGTTTCTAGATGGTATCTTATTTCCTTTTAGGTGGAAAGATTCATATAACTGGGATGACAAAAAATGCTTTGGCTGACTTAGGAGGGTATAACATTGCTGAAAGAGGATACATAGATATCAAGGTATAAGAGTTTTAAAATTATTAATCGGTACATCAATTAGAAATCAAAAATATCAAAGAATTTATGACAGTGACGTTTGCCCCTGCATTAACAATACTTGGAAATCACTAATTTTCGTGGGGGTTAATTTTCGTTGTTTTCGAGGTATGGAGAGACCCACGAATTTATTACCTTCACAAAATGTAAAATTTCACATACATTACTTCTAAACCTTTTCCAACCACGAATTCAAATCTTCACAAACTAATATTTTTTTCCTCAAACCACGAAAATTTGACTCCACTAAAATATGTGTTTTTACAATAACAGGTTTGCTGGTTTATTTAACATCTTAAAATCCTTACTCATATACCTACTGGATTTTATCACTTTTTTCCTTACGAAATATTAGTGCTATTAAATGAGAAACTTCAAGGATACATTACGACATATATATATGATGTTGGTATTTTAAAACTTTAAGGAATTAGGTTTATAAAAATGAAAGTACCAAATTTAAAGTATCAATGACACCAACACGTTAGACTTTCCAATATTTTTATACAACCATTCCTCACGATAAGATAAAAGAAAAACTTTAAGTAATTACAGACAAATCATTCTCCTATATAAAATGGGTTCTGTTAATAAGAAATACTTCACGGTTACCTAATAGAAATCAGCCTAAATTGTCACAATTTCTGTCTTCATTTTAATGAACCGATCTCCCAGAAGGGGACTAAAAGTATTAATTTTTTATTTAAATTGTCAAGATAAACATCCAATTTTTTGTAAATTTCAAGAATCAATTATTTTTTCCTTTCTTTTTGTTCTTTTGAATAGAAGAAAAATGATCAAAGTTGATAAAGATGAATTATTTAAACAAAATCATCTTTATTTTAACGTTTCTATTGCTAGAGACGATTAACTCTCCTAAAGGCTACAGTTATTTTATCGAGATTGTGTTTTACAGGCTAGCTAAATTCATATTATTCATTTGCATACATGTATACATTCTCAATTGATGCAGATTTGAATTTCCTTCTTTTATGATCTCAAGGACAGGGTAGGGTGTAACCAGAATAACCAGGGATCATCTTTTTTTTCCTTAACTATAGTCTGAATTGAAAGATTGATAATGTTTATGAAATTATGGATCCTTGGTTCTTATGTTGGGGTTGATTTTTTTTTACACAGTGAAGAGATACTGGGTAATAAAGCAATCTCATCTACGAAACGACAAGTTCATATTTTTTTAATTTATTTGATGCCTTTTATATGCCTTTTCCAGAATGTGTTTGACAACATCCTTTAGAAATCCTATCAGTACTGTCAAATTGTGATGATTATTCATGCGGGGTTTGATAAATTCAATTGTCTAACATTTGTACGTTCTCTGTTTTACAACCTGAATAGTTATATGTGTGTCAAAGGTACATAGCTGTTTAAATATTAGAGTAATGAAGTATAACGTCTTTCTTCTTTCAGGGGAAGGGTAAGATGTTCACATATTGGCTCATGGGAATTGCTAGAAAGGAAAGTCAATCGCAATCTACATCAGGCATGTCAAAGAAAAAGGTTTCTAAGGTTGGCAGTGTGTCACCTTCCTTGAGGCAAGGATTAACAGATATAGACTTACTCGATTGCTACAACATTGAACATTACTGTTAAGATTTAAGATAGGCTTAGATCTTATTTCTACAAAGAGCACAGTCGGTCTTCAAAGCGCTAAGGCTTAAAGTAACCAAACATTATTTACTTTATGTGTACATAAATTGGGTTGCCAAAGTTTCGTGCAATCATTTGGTAAGAAGTTGTTGGCGTAATCATGAATTGTATTAGTGGTTCAAATGTCTGTGCTGTGTTTTGTATATATGAATGAATTATTTAAATTATTCATGAATTAGCGCATCGTTTACTGCGCCAATGTTGCTGAAATGTGAATCACATACTGTATTTAATGCTGCCATGCGAGCAAAGGAACCGAAAGAATTCTTTAACGGTTTTTGAGACTGAATACTGATTATCATCTCCATATATTTCATTATAAGATTCTTCAAACTAATGAAACATAGGGAGATAACGAACAGTATTCGAGATCAAAAGTCCATAAACATAAAACAATACAAAACAGGAACACAGCAAACACGGACCTTCAAACTATCAAAGCTGCGATCAGGTGCAATAACTAATTATCTTTACACATTTTGGGCCCTTCTAAAAATGATACCTTTTAACAACTGGTGCTTAATACCTTAGCAATGGGTAGATTCTTACAATTTTTGTCATCTTTTGTTGAAAAAGGGGTCTTGTTTCTATAATGAAAGTCATTTTTTTGTTACCCTATAGTTAAATTTATTTGGGAAAAAGTTCCACGTTAGAAATAGCTTTCGAAGTTCCGGATATTTCCTAAATCGAGTGGCCTTTATTAAAAAAAATTGTGATAAGCTTATATTAATACGTTCCTGCTGCACGAGCTATCCTTGATTGTGTATATTTCATCTTGTTCTACGAAATGCAGTATTTCAGTTTCTTTTATGAAATAGTTGGTTTTGGTCGCACATGTTGTGGATAGTTTTCTCTAGTATCATCTTAAATATTTAACACCTCGCCTTGGAAATTGTTCTGTTCCGTCAATATTTTCTATTCCTTTATTTGTACTTATATTGTTGGCCTTTCCTTCAAATAAATAGTAACAGAGGATTCCTTTTAGTTTTCCTCACACACAAACAACAAACAAGACATCAGACAAATTTATTCAAATGTTAAAACTTCGTTAAAATTTACCCTTCAACATAATTTTGTTAATGAGAAACCAGAAAATGTGAGACTCTTGAAAAGAGATTCTTGTTGCATGCAACATTAGATAAAAAGTTGTACTCTTTTATTAGCTCACTTGATCCGAAGGCTCAAGTGAGCTTTTCTGATCAAAATTTGTTCGTTGTGTGTCGTTGTTGTTGGAGTCGTTATTATCGTAAACTTTTCACATTTTCATCATCTCAAGAACCACAAGGCCAGTTTCAACTAAACTTGTCATAAAGTATCCTTGGGTGAATGGGAATCAACTTGTTGTTTTTTTTTTCAAATGAAGGGTTAAGCCATGTTCCAAGGGGAGATAATTATGAATTAATGAAAAATTAATTGTATCTTTTAAAACTCTTCTTCTCAAGAACCATTGAGCTAGGAGAGATGAAACTCATATGGAAGCATCCTCTGGTAGTGTAGATTTAAGTTTTTTCAAATCATGACCCCTGGGGGTAGGGTGGGGCCACAATGGGTGATCAAAGTTTTATTTGGGAATATATAGTAAAAATCTTTCAAATTTTCTCCAGAACCATTGGGCCAGGAAATATGAAACTCATGTGGAAGCATTATCAGGTAGTGTAGATTCAAATTTGTTCAAATCATGACCCCGGGTAAGGGTGTGGCCACAATGATGGATCCATATTTTGCATAAGAATATATAGGAAAAAAATCTCCTCCAGAACAGAAAAGTTTTGTTTAGTCAAATTGACCTGTGAGCACCCCCCACCCCCACCCCATCCCATCCCCCACTTTAGTAAACTTTCAATACTGAGCCGATTTATGTTTTTTTAACTAGTCCATGTGCTCTGTTGAGCAATGTGGCCCATGGGCCTCTTTTTATCATATGGATAAACTTTCATCCCAATCATTAACTAGTTTCCAATCAATTTCCAAAATCATTTTTCAGAAGCATTTCTTTGACATACATGTCACAAAGATGGCTGTAATAAAATACTTCTCTCGCAATTACAGAATATTTCAATACTATGGTATTGGCAACAATTAACATTGATTCTTTGTTTACAAAGCTAAATATCATTGATAGAAAATGTGTATTTTCATAAGTTCCCTACCGTAACGTTGTATCATTTAAGTGTGTTTGTCTGTCACCTTGTCGTTATTTGGCAAATTATTTCGTGAGTAGAAGTTTCCTGTGTGTTGTTCATTAAGAGAAATCCTGCCGGATTACGAATAATTAACGAGGGTTTTATAGTTATTGAATTATAGTATATACCTCTGTTTCATGGTTAAAATTATCTGTTTTAAGATATATATTAATACCAAATTGTTATTGTAATTTATCAAAATAAAGGACGTTCATTGACTGAAATTGTTTCTTTTTTTCTGCAAACAATTAAAAGGAGGACTACAACAGAAAAAACCGCCAATAATGCTGAGAAATGGTTTCATTCCAAGAAAAGCTAGTATTTGCTGGGAATTACCAAGAAAAAATGTATTTATAAGTTTTATTCAATTTTTATCATATCTGTTTTGATAATGACTCAAAGTGCGCTTTTTACATGTAACATTGAATTGGATATATGAAGGTATTCTTATTTCATGCAGATTTCATTTTTTGGAGAAGGATTTTTCCAACTAGTGATGTTACTTACGTGGATCGGTTGATACTGTAAACCCATTTTTAGTATTCTCCCAGAAACAAAATTAATGACAGCGAAATGCAAACATCTCATTTAAGTATATCATCTTCACATTAGAGGCATGTCTAAAGATGACTGACGTTTTTTATACCAATTGTAGGCCATTATTTACACACCGAATTGTCTAAGATTTTTTCCTATGACCGATCATTACAAAGGATTAAGAGTGCGAACACTGGACAGGGGACCTTACTCTTCTATGTGGTACTTGATCCAGATTCTGGTGGCTTTGATTTTTGTTTCTAATTGAATATTGAGCTTGATTGCTATCCATTATCTCATATTTCATTCTTAAAATTTTGGTCATTTAGGCTTTTATAGGGATTCAATCATAAAAGGATGATATATAATTGTTTATAAGATTAACATGCATTCTTATTAGCTTCTATTTTTTTCTAAATAGAAATTGTGAATCTTAAGTTAGTGTGTTCTGAAATCCTGGACACAATATATATATGCCACATGTCTCTTGTAAACATTATTAATCGGGTCACTTTTATATAATCAGATCGCTAGACGTCAATATGCTTGTTCTTATTTAGAAAATCGCCTTCTGAGATTAAATTTGTACAATTTCTTATATATATTGGCATATAAAACAAAGACATAAAAAAACTTTCATCAATTTGTTTGTAAATATTTCTTCATGGAAATATATGTACACAAATTTTCACAGATTCAAGAAGACAACTTCACTAGGTGATACTATCAACTACTAAGTATATTAATTTGACCGCATTATTTTAGGTTAAAGTCAGGTGAATTTCATTTTCTTTGATGCATGCATGTATTAAGAACAAATAAAAAAATTATTTTCCCGTGATCAAGTGATTTATTTTGCTGAATTCTTTAATTTTCAAGTGATAAAGTTATAATTGTTTTTAAATTTTTCCTATTGGAGTTTTGGCGCAACGGAACATTTATGCTCTATATGATTGGAGAAAATATTTTACTAGTTAAAGAAAAAAAATATCAAAGAAAATACAGGGGAGTTAAAAGGAATATAGAAAGGTCAAAGTGTTTCAGAAAGATTGGGACTTGGGTCATCTTTGTCAAGAAATGCTGGGTTAAAACATACACATCAGAATTTTTTTTTTATAAAAATAATTTAATTTTTAAAATAGGAATTTTCAGATTGGCTGAATTGACCAGTAAGAAATTAATTTCTTTGGTTGTGTTTAGATACAAAAAAATTTTTTCTTATATTTTCACTTTTCCGTCAGAAAAAAGGAAAATTTGAAAATATAAATATTTTTAATCTACTGTACAACATATATTTATTCTTTTCTTATTTCAAATATGAAGCCGAGCATGCGTATTTAGGGAATTTGGACTAACGTAGTTGCTAGCGCTCGAGAGCGCTAGCTATAAAAATTATTTGCCCAATCAGTTGATGTCTTCTTCTATTTCAACAGATTAAATTTTTCCTTCTTGTTTAAAAATATTTTACTAAATATTCAATAAGGTCTTCCGTTGATACTACCAAATTAAAACAAATAATTTTATTACATTCATATATTTTCATTGAAAATATAATATTTTTATCTACTTCATATGTTGATTCTTTTTTTTATAAAGCAGAAACAAAATTATAAACAAAAAAAAAAGCTTTGAATGTTGAGTAGGTCTTCCGTTGATACTACCAAATTTAAACAAATAATGTAATTAAAATAGATTTTCACTGATCCGAATTTCCTATATTTTTCTTATATTTTCATTGAAAATATAATATTTTTATCTACTTCATATGTTTATTCTTTTTTATATCAAATATGATGAAGTTGTCCTATCAAGAAACAAAATTATAAACAAAAAAAAAAAAGCTTTGAATGTTGAGTAGGTCACAAAAAAATTTTGTTACATACATTAATTTGTAGTGATTTTTAAAAGCAGAAAAGGAGAAAACTTTCACCCACTGCTATTCTGCCGGAAAATAGTCATTGCTAAATTTCGAAATCAGTTAACCATTTCTATTAAAACTTGCAAAATTATGGGGGGGGAGGGGGAAAATATTTCAATCATTCACATTAAATATGAAACATATTACGATTTCATTTAGTCAGAAACCAGACAAAACTACTCAATAACGTGCATCATTAAAGGATTGTTTAGCCAAGGGTTGTTTTCATTTAGGTATCTACAAAGGTCTCAGGGAGAAACCTCAAAAAGATTTTAGTTTCTGCTCGGTCTGTCAACTTTATTAAAGAAAAATTTTGTAACAATAAATTTTAAAAAGAGTTGCCGTCATTAGTTGCTGCTGGATTTTCCGTAGATAATGTCTTCTTTAACGTTTTCTTTTAAGTTATTTTGATTTCTGATGCAAGACTATATATAGGACATTCATCTGATATATCTTTGGAATTTTGATATTGTGCTTTTGAATATATCGTGGTGCATATAAGTTTGTCTTCATTCTTACTCCTTTCTTCTTTAAACCTGAAAATGAAACGAAGAATAATGCTTTGATTTGGAAAAAAACGCATCTCATGTTCACGTGTTTGTGTGCCTGTAACAAAAGCAATGATTGCACTGAATTTTCTATAGGAGAAACCAAATAATTTTAAAGCAGAAAAACTGAAAAGAAGCTACCTACTTTTTTTTCATTACAGTCACAACAATAACGAAGACAACCACTGCAATGAGACCAGATAAAACTATGAAAACCACCACGGTCACTGAAATATAAAAGCATTTAAAATTTTATTCATATATTCATTATTTTCCATTTATTTATCTGAAGTATATTCTGATCAAAGAAAATGATGTATTGCTGTAGTAATTGTAGAAATTGTAAGTCGAGAAAAACGGCATTTTAATTTAAAAAGATTGATTGATTGATTGATTGATTGTATGTTGTTTAACATCCCTCTCGAGAATTTATTAAAGTAAGCTAGCTTACTCTACAATAAAATGTAGCAAATCTTGAAAAAAAAAATTGCCTTTGGAGCTGACGCTGTTACTGTCTGGAATTGTTGTCACTGTTTCTAGAGAAGATCTGCTTTTCTTGAACGTGTATGTATTATCTTTGTTTTTAACAGGTAACCTTGTAATACGGGTGTCCTTAGGGAAAAATCCAACTGAATTTGTGCTTGCACTGTCATAAAGCTGAATCGATGATACTAGTATTCTTTTGCATTGCTCTATATCGGTGCAATTTCCTACAAAATATTATGTATACAATTTATATATTTATTGCATAAGAGTTTTTTATACCTTTTCGTAACAAATATGAATACACACATGCGTTGCTTAGTGTGTTTTGATTTTAGAAATCACGAAAAGGCTAATTTGATTTATTCTTATTGTATTGCAATTGCAAAGGTGATATGCATGTGTCATAAAACTGGGAACAGGGGAAAAATAAAATTATCGGTAAAGTTATGATTTATGTTAAGGTTCCTTCAAAGTCATGAAAACCGAATTATTTAAGATAGTGCAACATACTTTTGATACTAATACTTAATCCGTTGCCATTGAAATTTGCAATCGACTTTTCCGCTATCAGAGATATTTTTAGTCTGTTTCCCTCTGCTATTATAAAGCGTGGTCTTGTACAATTATCCAACAAAATCTGAGAAGATGTTACTTCCTGTATCTAAGAAAAAGATAATATATATAATGACATATATAGTGACATGCTTGAAGTCTAAATGAATCTTCAACAAAAATCATTGATGATACCTTAAGGAAATAATTACATCCACTTCCAAAATCAAACTTTTGAATGTGAATTAGCAATTGTTGTGTACATTTTGGTGTAACAATATTCCATACACGAAGGATTCTATTTGAATCGGTGTTGTTGTGATTTTCACTTTGCAAATAGCTTATATATCTTTCACGACATTCAGAAATATTTACTGTAAGTCTGTTGCAATTATGAGCTGCAAATTGAATGATAAAATGATAAACATTTTTACATAAATTTGTAAAAATTAATTACAGGTTAACTTTGATAAAACTGTTCAAAATTCTTTATATATAGTCAAGGTTATGAAAATGTAATTGAACATGAACTTACCTCTAATAAATAGAAAAAGCAACGTAACACACCAAAGTTTCATAATTGTGAAAAGAAAGAAGATATAAATGTTAAATTTAGTTTACATTTACTTCGATATATATTTCCTTAGTTTATTCTATTTTTAGGTATATCAAGGAAACAAAACTAATTAATTGTATTTATGTTAATACACTAAAACCAGATATTATTATATCAGAATGCATGTCAATTTTAGAAGATTAATTTTTTGAAAGAAAGTTATTCTAATCGACATTATGAATATTTTAAGACATGCATTGAATGTTTGAAATTATTCAATATATTTGGTAAAAGCATGTGGGGGTTTTTTATTTTTGGGTTTTTTTAATTTCCTTTTATTTATATCAAATATCTTAAAATTCACATTAATAATTTAATATGAATCGATACACATACAATCGATCAGTATATATCATCGGGGACATTACCTTCTTATCCTTTGCACTTCGTGCATTTGTCAAAGAATTGAGTCCAGAATATATCATACTTGTATGCCAAGATAACCAGAATTCTTAATTTATCCGCATATTTTTCTCTTGGTTTATATTCGTGATGATCAATGTAATTTTTCTGTTTTATGGTTATATTTATTAGGATTATATGTTTTGTCGGTGCTTAGTATTATTGTACCGATATCATTTGAGTTGGGGATTAACACTTTTAAAGTCTTCTCATTTAATCTACTAGCTCTAATAGATTTTTTGTTATCAGGCGTTTCACCAGCAAAATTGTGAAATGTTACATTTTTCGCTTCACTGGAGATATTGAATTTTTTAAACATAAACTTCAAAGCGCGTGTTTCATTGAAGTTTCAGATATATGGGCGGAGTAGGTGATTTTCTTTGTCATTTCATGAATTTTAATAATTTTTGGCACTGATTCTCCACTGCAAAGTATTAGTCATATCTATTATATTCATGTATGACAACGACTGCATCTGATTAAATTCACTAGAACTGAAAAGTGTCAAATAAGCGATGTCATGTAAATTCAATTTATGCTTTTCGAGATCAATATCATCATTAAGATCACCATCATCTTCAATATCATAATTGCTACAGTGAGGTGAATATATGAGGAATGAAAGTAGACTAAATTTATTTCAAGCGACAATATATACCTGTAAAAATTTGCAGCATGCGACAATATGTACCAATGGAATATTTTGGCGATAATGTAAAAATAAGTTAATGGACAACAATATTCTGTAGACAATATGTACGATAAGGAAAGACTCATATTGTCACCGACGTTAACCCATATTGTCACCGATATAATATGGTTATAACAATAATAACTATATACTGCCACAAATCATATATATTTACTCTTCTGTATGGAAAAAATAGGAAGCCCGGTGCCTCTAACCTTCATCCCCCTTCCCCTAAAACATTCTTATATAAGATTTTCTGTTTTAGGAATTAAGCCAATTTTCCTGTGCTTAAATTACAACAACAAAGGTCGTATGTAAATCAGGAAGTTCCTGATCAAAAAGAATGAGATATGTATACATAACACGCTGCTACAAATTGCCAGTAACATGGACTATAAATACACATGTTTTTCAGTTTACATTGTGTTTGTTTATTGAATAAGGAAAATTCAAAAATATGAGTTTAAACTTTAAATAAGCATTTTTCTTTAAAAAAAAAACACGTGTAAAACTACAATGCTCCAATAACTTTCTTATAAAATTATTTACTTTAACTTGAATCTTTGTCATTCAAATAAAAATTGTCAAAATGTTATCCTTTTAGGTCGCCTTTATGTTGCCCCCATCATCTTGATCTTTGCACGTGTCAACTGTGTGGTAAATATTACGCTGTAGTTCATACACACAGGGTCTGGGGGTGAATGTTTTATCGTACAGGTTTGCCGGACAATCAACGTAAGGATTATTCTCCACTGTGGCCTCCATTTTTGGTTCGTTGACTTTCTCTTCTACAACATCTGCCCCCGTGGACACGATTTTTATTTCTATATCTGGGTCAATTTCATCATACATTGCTGACCGGGTATGCTTGAAATACTCTTTTGTCTGACTCTCCTGTTGTAGTTGGTACTTCAGTTTGCTGAAATTTTTTTTTTCAAATATAAATTGAGAAGTGGTTATGTCAATGGGCTTACATGTATTTGAAGGGGTTGTAAGATTTGGGCGACAATTACCACTTAACAATTAATTAACAGAGGGAACACTTATTAAGAGTTATTAAAAAAGGAAAAAATCTGTTTATTTGTAAAGAATAGATACTTGAACAAATTTTTAAAATATCTAAGTGACTCTTTCCTCGGTGTTATTTTTAAATTTTCTTCCAAAGGAAAACAATTTGTATTTTTAATGAAATCTAATATATCATAAAACTTTTTAAAAACTTTTTACAAATCAAAATTGATAAAGCACCGGTAAAACCTCACTATTTGATAAATAAAATATTCTGAAAAACATGCGTCACATACAAGTTGGGGGACTATATTGAAGAATGTATATCCAGCATATTTATTACCTTGCTAATTTAAATCACCTTTAAATCTTTAAATTCTGATTTACATGCTAGGATATCAGTAATCCAAACTTTTAAGAATACGTTTATATTATATTATTGATTTTAATGACATATACCAACCTCGGCCTTCTTTGTGTATATATAATCAAGGATATTGTACATATAACAAGTACAAAAGCTCCAACCACAGCAGCAATCACAACTGAAAGAAGAAGAGGGTTAGCATATAAGAAAAATAGTATCAGATCAGGTTAAATAACAGTATCTGTTAATACCATTAGCTCTTACAGTTTACATATACATATATTTAACAATGTTTATTAAAAATGTTTTAACTATGAGATGAAAAGAAGCGATTCTCATTTTTTTTAAAAATTGAGTTGATTGTAAACAAATCTAATGAAGAAAAAATGAATTTCAATATCAATACTTTACTTCCATCGCTTAGTCCATCACATGTGTCTGAAAGGGAAATATTTTTTTAAAGAAATCATTTTGTGATATATTCTGAGCATTTTTTTTTTCAAAATTTAAACAAATTCATAAATTAATTTATATTACTAGACACCATACATACCCTTTTGTATTAAAATCTTTATTACGTAAAAATGAATGATAAAAAATAGAATCTAGTTGAACAAATAAAATGATCATCGATCAGTTTGATGTATAAAAAACAATATTTGCAGTGTAAAATCATCTAAAAATTTAATTAGAAATTTTGTTTGAAAATGCCTATCATCATCACAGGTTTGTATGTATATATATGTAGGACTCCAAAGTGGGATGGGACTCCAAAGTCCGATGGTCACGCCAAAGTCCGATGGTCTGCGCCAAACCCCTATGGTTTGACACGCCAAAGTCCGATGGTGCAGAAACCAATTAACGTTTATGACGTCATAGTACTACTGCGCAAAAATGCGATGCCGCGCCATTGCAAAGCCCGATTGTTTGAAATAAATACAAATAAATATTAAATGCAAAGACTTACCCTAATCTTTTGGATATAGGTGCGAGACTAACACTTACCAGTCGAAAAATGTGTAACAACCGTAAGCTAGGTATCTTGGATGGGTGCAGGACTAATCCAAATCAGTCCAATAGTGTGCGAGGACTAACCATAAAATCTCTTGGGTGAGTTCGAAGAAACACATTGGTGTTCAATAATTAACCCAATCAGTCGAATGGTGTAAAAGGACTAACCCTAATAGCTCTGCTGGGCGAAATCAATAAGCAAAATCAGTGAAATTGTAAGCGGGACAAATACTAAATCAATGTATTTTGATTGATTGATTGTATATTGTTTAACGTCCCTCTTGAGAATTTTTCACTCATATGGAGACGTCACCGATGCCGGTGAAGGGCTTCAAATTTAGACCTATACTCGGCACTCAGGGCCATTGAGCAGTGAGGGTTCTTTAACGTGCCAACGCCTACCGTGACACGGGACCTACGTTTTTAAGGTCGTATCCGAAAGACCCGTGACTTTCACTTCTAGTGCCGAGCGCTTGGCGAAGGAACAGTCACTACCTATGTTTACGTCTTAGGTATGACGCGGCGCCGCGATCGAGAATCGAACCCGGGCCTCCCGATCACGAAGCGAACGCTCTACCACTAGGCTACCGTGACCGGTCCAATGTATTTTGAATGCAGGACAACGTCATGACGTCGGACTAGTGTGACGTCATAAACGTTGATTGTTCCTTCGCACCATCGGACTTTGGCGTGTCAGATCATTGCATTATAGCGTCGCGTGTCTCATAGGAAACGAACCATCGGACTTTAGCGTGACCATCAGACTTTGGTGTCCGTAAAGACAGCAAGCCATCGGGGTTTGGCGTCACCATCGCACTTTAGAGTCTTACATATGCATCATATGTATGTTTGATTCTGTCCTGCAGATCTATATGAGTCTAAAATCTGATACGGCTATACTGATGTTCAAAAAAGCTGCCTTGCAAATGCAAAAAATCAAGAATATATAACTAAATATGTATATTCGCCAAAGACATTCTCCCTACATAGATATTCTGTTATTTTTTATAGAGTTTGTTGTCAATTATACGAGGAATATTGTTTCTTTTATGGAAGTTATTCAATTAGTTCGCGAACTTTTTGATCACCCCTCGTAACATACAACAAATCATATCTCAAAAAGGAAATGTGTTTATGAAATATAATACCAGAACAGACTGTTGTAATGGACTCCGTTGAAGAGAAATCACTTGTTGTGGATTCTCCAGCCACCGTAGTAATGTTGTTTTCGGTTGTGGTTGTCATTACAACTGAAGTGTTGTAAGTTTCTGATAAAGTTGTCATCACAGTTGCCCCTACCTCTGTGCTGCTCTGTGATGTTGTAGACTCTAGAGTAGTGTTTGTGAAGTCCATTGTAGAAAAAGTTCCCATTGTCATATTATCCTGCAGGTGTGATACTGTTTCTTTTTTCCCCTTTCAGAATCAGTGAGAAAAAGCATACATGAAAATGCATATTAAAATGGATTATTTACTCCATGTTATTGTGCGTATGCCATTTGTCGATTTGTCGCTAGTGCCAAGCTATACTACACTCTATTTTTAAAGTGGATCATCTTTCAAAATAAACTTTCCTCAGTTATAAATGCTATAACAGGATGCAAATCACTTACCTTCTAAAACAGAAAAATTCCTTGAACCTTTACTGGATTAGCATTAAGTGTGGCACTCTTCTTAACGATATTTAATTTCCTGATATCTTGCAACACTATTATCAGTATTTTAAAGTGTTTTAAGAGAACTTCCCATGTATATCATATGTTATAAACTTCGTCGATTAAGGGGAATTCTTCTCATATTTATTGTATTTAAAAATTAGCGGGGTTTTCAAAAATTGAAGAAGACAATGTCACTTAGAGATAGTATCAGTTAGATTAAATTTGCACGTTTTATAATAGAGGCAAGGTATGGTCGAGGTCATTTGATCATTTGACCTGACATTATTTTTTTTATTCTGTTTCCAGTCAAGCAATGCCTACCTTTATTATCTAAGATCAATGTTTTCATTTTAGCATAAAATGGAAATATCAAATAGGGTCTAACAAGCAATACATGTACTTCCAAATAAAAAGAAATAAGTGAACTAAAATAGAAATTGGCTAGTCCAAATTTCATCTACTTTTCTTAAATTTTCAGGAAATATTAGTTTTTTATATGCTTCCTTTGTTTCACTTTTTTTCATTTTCACATATGGTGATTTAGTCATATAAAGATACAAAATGATACAAACATATTTTGACCGTTTAGTTATAGAGAAAAATAAATTTTCACTGATTTTTTTTTTCTCAAGGAAGCTAAAAAAGCTAAAAAATGTATTTTGTTTAGAAAATCTTAGCAATATGAAAACCATCCATCCTTCTGTGTTCAATAATCCAGAAGTGAAAAAAGAATTAGATAGACTATATGACCAGTACGTATTGGCCCCTGCCAACAAAGCAGGTAACAACATTGTCTTCGATTGTAATGCTCATTTTATAAATTGTATTTTAGAAGAACTTGGATTTAACTCTGCAAGTGGTAATCCTACTTATGCTCATACTTCCCTTTCTAAGGAAGAAATTCTTCAAAATCATTTGTCAGTTTTAAATATTTTTTAATATTCCACAAAGCCAAAATAAATTTGAACTACCCTATATATATAGGATTCTGAAACTTCATAAAAATCCTTACAAAGATACATTGCGGGTTCCAGTAAATGTTCAACCAAGCCTCTTTCGTTACTCCTCACTAAGATATTAACAGTAGTGAAGGAGAACCTTCAAGACTACTGTGCAACAATATATTCAAGAAATGGTGTGAATCAGATGTGGATACTCAAAAATTCCAAAGAACTTTTGGACAATTTGAAATCACAAGATTTTACCAAATCAACAGCTTAAAAACTTACGACTTTTCAACTTTATACACAACCATTCCCCACGATTAATCAAAGTTCGGGCTTTTTGATTCAATTGACAGCTGCTTTTTCAATAAAAATGGAACTCGTAAATTTACTTACCTGGTCATTGGTCATTTGCAAAATTATTTTGTTAAAACACATTCTGATTGCACACACAAATACTCTGAGGTTGACGAGACAAGATCGATCACTCCTTAAGCATTTTTCAAAGAAAACAACATTTCTCTTTATTTCAACACATATACCGGATACTTTTTTATCAGGAATATAGGCACTGAGCAATTCGTTTAAAACATCTTTCATCATACGCATCTATGCTCTGTGAAGCAAAAATATGAAATACTTTTTACATTTTAAAAAATATTTTAAACTTACAATGAAGGAAATAATTATGTTGCCTACAGTATCAATAACTTTTTATTTAAGGATGAAAACACAAACTTTTCCCAAGAAATTAACAACATTTTTCATAGAATTATATTTGTATTGGTAGCCTGAATAATGTTTACATGGTATAGTGGCGGAATTTTTTTAAGATTTTGTCATAAGGTTAATGAGTTGTGCAAATTTTGTATAGAATTCTAAAGGAAACAAAAGAAAGTCCCGATCCTTAAAGAACCGAAGAAAACTTGAGATTTATTTCTATTTTAGGAATTTATTATTATGTCATTGAAATTAAATTATACGTTATCAATCCATGCATCTTGTTTTGTTTTGTTAAGTGCCCCTTATTACTAGTACTTTTTAGTATAATATCAATGAAACTAGCTGTATTTTAGTGTTTAAAACAAAGTGTGCAGCCAATGTTCAATGGTGATACATCCGCTTTGTTGTAAAAAAAAAATTGTTACGGACGGACGCAGGATTAAACAGGAAATCGACATCGGATTCTTACAAAAATATATTCCTTTATATCACAGGCCTTTAAAAAGTGCACCAAAGTGCTGATAAAACTACACAAACATTTTATACGAACAGACTCTTGGTTGACAAAGGATTCGTACAAAATTAATCCCACCATATGACATGCTTATTAAAAATAATTGATTTTGTTATAATTCCAACCACCTTATATAGGTATTTGAGAAAACTAAATGAAAATCTCTTACGGTTTGTCAGACAGACAGCTAGAGAGACTGCGAGAGACACACTCAGGGGTAAAACAGAATCCTTTGGAACGGGTGTATAATAATAACTGTCAAAGTTAACTTTGTTTAATTGTGTTGTAGTGTTTAAAATTCAATTTAACTTATTCTGCCTGTCATTTTACTATGTATCAGGCCGTATATATGTATTTCAGAATTGCGGTTCCGATGGATCCATAATCTGATTAGTATTCACTTGCGTTTAGATTATTATTTTTTATTTAATAAGTATTTATATGTTATCAAATTAAAATAAGTATTCATAAAATTGCATTCTTCCGTGATTAGTTTCCAGACAGAAATATTTATGAAGGCTTTTCAGCTGGAATATTGTGAATTGTTTACGTACTTCCTTTTAATCGATTGCAAGGAAAGCAGACGTCAAGTATTTTCTAACCAAATCACTATAAAATTTTAATGTCTTCGCCAAGATTCAAGATTGAAATGTTTAAACGTTCACTGATGGAAAAATATGAGTAAAAGCATATGAGTAAATTATGATACAAAAATAGAATACATGTATTTCGGTATTCTTGGTGAAATATAAACTGCGTTGTAATTCAATTAATAAACTTTGTATTTAGTTAGGAATTGACAAGTCTGCTAGAGTCCCAAGGTAGCATATGCATCTTCAGTTGATTAGCAGTACATATTGTCAGTTTTTCGCATATTGTTAGCTGTGGCAATATAGAGAAAATATGGAAATGACAAACAGTATTTAAGAATTTCTTGAGAGTATTTCTTAAGAAATTGTTAACCTTCTATTATGTTTTATTTGCCGACCTATTTCTATTTACAGTCAAATATACATGGGTATAAAATTCCCACGAGATATCGAATGATACTTTCAGAACATGTGGTTTTGACTTCCAAATCACTTTGACATAAGTATTCGAGATATCGGAGTTGAGATACCGAAGTTCAACTGAAAACATTTTGTAAGTTACACTTTGTGTTTCCTGTAACTATTCATATATATTGATGACATGTTATCAATTAACAAATTACAATGGAGATAAAATTCATTCGTAATTTTTTTTTTACATTTATTTATTAAAATTTTACAATCATTTGCATATGATGATTTTGTCTCCAAAATTATTCGATACTCAATGGCATGCTCAAGTACCATCATTGTTTTAATGGATATGCTACTGAGATTTCAGTTACAGGGATTTCAATGTCCTCGGATATAAAGTTAGCAATTCGTAAATTATATCTGTTAACGTCCATGTTACATATGTTACCTATCCCTAGGTCGTGAATGACTAACAGATTTCAATTCATTTGCTATACATTAGTCTCATAACCTTAATAAGCCAGAGATAGTACGTCTACCTAATCTGTATAATGGGTTTGGGGTTGTTTTGGGTAATATTTATTCCTCTTATACATCTGGCCCTACCTCCGGAATTTCCAAAGGTCCGTCCTTTACATGTATGCTCTGTACATATATATATATATATATATATATATATATATATATATATATATATATATATATATATATATATATATATTATATATATTTTTTGCCAGTCTCATTTAAAGTCAACATTTTGCCAATTCTTTGGTAGATACTAAAACCTCACTATCTAAAATATTTATTTGTGTTTTATGACATAAATGATCTAGTTATGTTAATTATTTAAATATCGTAGAAGCTTCAAATCTTTGTGGGAAGAATATAATTAGCTGAAGTTTTAAAACTATGTTTTTTGGAAATCTGTCAATCTTTAGAGTGTAAAACGTTAACAACCAATACCCATGAAACCAATTAAATGTTTAAAACATACATGTTACATTAGCTATTTTAATTATCCAGAGGAAAATTGATAAAATAATTGATTATTTCTCTTTTGAAAAATCAAGTCAATAAAGTAAGCTGAAATCAGACCTTGTACGCAAGCAACCACTCAAAGAGAGTTAGTAACACATTTCGAGTTCATGTTATAGAGGATGCGTTTTTTATTAAACACTATCGTCATTTTATTATATCAAATAAGATATATTTTCAGCAATCTGGACATCTATGATTATAAAGTAGTTCCTATTCTGACCGGAAAAATTACGACTGATCAAGCTATATTTTATGAGACAAATAGCTCCGCTGTACGATGCGTCCACAAATGCATTTCAACATTTGGCTGTGTTTCAGTGTTTCTTACTGCGGATTATGTCTGTCAAGGACACCCAATAGTTTATGAAATCGCTTCACCTTCTTTAATCTCCAAAACGGGAAGCAGATATTATATTTCAAAGATATCAAGTAAGTATAATTTTCAACATAAACACTTTTTTTCATATCAAAAGATTTTTACATTGTGGAGGCAATTCTAAACATAAAGCCTAATATGCATGTAATGTCTTTTCTTTCATATAATCAGATCCTTTATAATTTATCTTTTTAAACATTTTTTTAAAAAATCTAAGAGTACTTTTTTGTGTATGGTGAATATGTCCGACATGCTTTATGAAAATAATGTTCCATAAACCATGGAATGTTATATTCTCTTGAGATAGTAGCTAATATCTCTATAGATAAAGTTTTTTATGTTCCTGAGTTAGATATGAACATTTCAACCAAATATACTGGAGGCCTACAAAACGTAACTCTTAATAAATATTTTTAGCATTTTAGGCGGCTAAAAGAATATTGCGTCATTGAAAAATAATATAGAAATGACTTAACTAAGCAATGTCAGCTGCCCAATCCTTTAATGAATAAATATAATAAAATATTGTTAAAATTTAGTTTAAAAAAAAACAACCAATTTAAAAAAACAAATATTACACATTAAGATAAAATCAAATACAATTTCAGAATCAAAATCAAAACGAAAGGTCAAAGGCAAACCCAACAAAGTTTCATTTAACTGAAGCTGGGCATGCAGAACAAATGGATATGATCACAAAATAATCCTATTCGTTTATTATTGTAACGTGTATGATTGGGTTCTACAAGGGATATATGTACAATATATAGCTTTTTCTCTTACTCTGTCTGAGTTAATGATTAGATTAATGATTGTACGGCCGCTCTATCTGAGGGAAAATCACACTTTATTAAAATTTTTGTTATCTAGAGACGTGGACTGGGTATTCCTTTTGCACCGTGTTTCTACACTAGGTTCCTTTTGATAGGAGAGAACCGAGTATCTCAATCTTCTGCAGATTTACTGCACTCAGAACTTACCATCAATTCCCTAGATTACCTGCCACTGGTGCTATTTCTGTTCTTACCCTTTTCTTCTTCTAATGACTTTCTGTTTCAGTCTTCTTCTTTCAGCCGTAACTTTCCGAATGCCTTACTACTTTATTCTTTTCTCTCAGCTTCTGATTCATCTGTTGGCTTCATCAGCCAACTTCTGAATGCCTGATTTCCCTAAAGCATCGCTTTATATACCCTTGGACTACTCTATTCCAAGGGTAGTCAGGTCATTCCATTATCGTGGGTCTTCTATGCGTTTATTCAAACGCCCCTTAACCATTACATTACCCACGCCTCTGATATCATGCGTCCCGCATGTGATTTGATTCAAAACTAAAGGATTTTTTTTTACTATTTATATTATCTTTTTAGGCTGAAACTATCTGGAATTCAGGGAATACTATTGCTATAAATAAACGTTCGTTACAAAAATGGTTTTTTAACACATGCAACAGAATTGGGTACAGACACATTATAAAGATTGTTCAGCAAAAATCTGTCTCCTTGAATATCAGCTCACCTGGATCCTCCACCTTATCCTCAACTATACTCCCAAGGGACTTCCTTGGAGACTTTCCCATTTGTCCCGACTCTACGGTTTCTTCTGGATCTTTCCAATTATGTGTTCTGTTCAAGTGTCTTCTAAGATGTGAGCACACTGCTCACATTTAAACTTTCCTTTGGAACAATTAGACAAACCACGAGCCAAACTGTCAGTGGGACCGATATGAGGTTTGGTCACTTTAGCTTTGGTTTTTCCTTGACTTGACTCCAACTTTTGCCTCTTTGTGACCATGCTGAGATTTGACGCATGCAACTGACCTGAACATGTAACTTCCCTTCGTCTAAGCCTAGATATTGTTTCTCGTTTCACACAGAAACATCCAATATGTCCTTGTAAATGCAATTCATGTTCCACTCCGTAAATATGCATTTTCATTTCAGATACGTCTAATAAACATTTGTTAGACTTGAGGAAATCTAAACCCAGGATGCCATCAGCTTTGATATTTGCAATAACAGCATGACATTTAAATTCACTATCACCAAGTCGAAGTGAAAATTTCCCTCTTCCTTTAACCTTCAGGGGTGTTCCATCTGCACCTAGAATACTTTGATTTACAGGCTCTAGTGTAAAATCACCTTCACTTTCTATTTCATTGTATAGTGTATCGGCTAAAATTGTCAAGGTTGCCCCGGTATCAACCAACAGATTGCATGGCACATGATTGACCAAAGCATCGACGAACAAGCCAGCTGCTTTTTTTTTATTTTTCTTGCTTGACCGCAGTTGTACTAGATACTACTTGGTTGGTTTCCTTCCCGATTTGAGTCTCTGTGCCAGTCTTTGGTTCACCGTTTGACTCGGATTTCTGTATCCTCTCATTAGTTTGCTTAAGCTTTACGAAACAGTCTTTAATTCTATGACCACGCTTCCCGCAGTTGTAACATTTATATGGGAAAGCATTTGGTTTTAATGAATGATTAGAACGTGGTGCTTTTGGAGTCTCTTTTGTCATAGCCATGTCTGCCATTTTCCTTTCTATATTTCTTAATGATTCCTGCAGTTCATTACGTAGCTGCTTGATTTCATCCCTCGTACTTGATACCTTTTGAGATTCTCTGATATTTTCCTGATCTCCAGTAGCTACTCGTGCGAATCCGACATCATGCCGACGTTGGCGTTCGGCTCTATAGAAAGCCTCAATCTCAATCGCCAAGCGTATAGCATCATTTAGCGATTTAGGCCTCGATTGTTGAATGCGTAAGCGCATATCAAAATCTGTCAACGCATCAACAAACTGATCCTTGGCAATCATCTCAGTGACTTCCCTAGGTGCTGTCGGGTAAGCTAGATGCGCCAAGCGTCTAATACTCTCACCTAGCTCCGGTAATGTCTCGGACACCTTTTGTCGTTTATCTCTCAGCATTGCCCGATATAACTCTGTTTGATTGGCTGGTGCAAAGCGGTCTTCCAGTGCATTACATAAATCCATATATGTACAAGCCGTACCTCCCTTATTCCTTTTTGCACCGTGTTTCTACACTAGGTTCCTTTTGATAGGAAAGAACCGAGTATCTCAATCTTCTGCAGATTTACTGCACTCAGAACTTACCATCAATTCCCTAGATTACCTGCCACTGGTGCTATTTCTGTTCTTACCCTTTTCTTCTTCTAATGACTTTCTGTTTCAGTCTTCTTCTTTCAGCCGTAACTTTCCGAATGCCTTACTACTTTATTCTTTTCTCTCAGCTTCTGATTCATCTGTTGGCTTCATCAGCCAACTTCTGAATGCCTGATTTCCCTAAAGCATCGCTTTATATACCCTTGGACTACTCTATTCCAAGGGTAGTCAGGTCATTCCATTATCGTGGGTCTTCTATGCGTTTATTCAAACGCCCCTTAACCATTACATTATAATTGTAACAGTTGAATTGAGTGTCCCTGGTATATGTAGCTGTGTCAAACCTTGAGACTTTTCTTCACTGTACAAAATATCACTATTCATTGTACAAAATATACATGTATTCCCCTCTCCAACCGTTTACCCCTAGCATTATACTTTTATTTGGATACCGATAATTAATAATGTATACGTAATTACTTTAACATTTTAATCGTCAACTTCCCTTACTTATACAGTAATATACCTTTATCATCTGCATACAGGGTTTATATCAAGCAGTTTAATCGACAATTTCTGAAAGGGGGTAGGTTATTGATAAACAAGTTGTTGAAACAAAAATATCAACAGTCTCGTTTAAAGTCATCATTTCGTTAGTTCTAAGGTCAAAACAATGACATAGGCAGCAGCTACAATGAATAATCAAATCAAAAGCTGACTGAAGTTTTTCATATTAATTTTTATGTCATTATTTACACACTAAACTGTCGACGGATTTTTCCATTATTTCCGATCATGACAAGGAGCACACGGCGGTTGTGACCTGTCGGCAGGGGATGCTAACTCCTTTACGGAACTTGATCCCTTCTCTGATGTTTTAGAGGTCCAAGTATGATCTGCTTCAAAATTTGTGTTGTTTATGGACATTTGAGCTTAAATACTGTTTGTTATCTCTATATATTTCATGTAAACCATCTAGCATGTAACTTTGCTGATGGACAATCTGTCCCCAAGGACACGAGTCGCCCAGATTAAAAAGGCGTCACTCGTTTGAGTCTTTAAGGGACATAGACTCAAAGTCCACATTAGGTGCCTTGAGAAAATACAAGCAAAATTCAAACAAAGAAATCTGAGGAACCTATCTGAACAAATGCACAATAATAGTTAATTAGTTATATACTTTTTTCATGTTCTTCGATTTAAAATTTTCATCAGATCTAAATTTTCACCCGTTATTCAAATTATTCTATGTTTCCAACTATCTTTGATCTTTGACATACCCAACAACTCTAGACAGTGATCCCTTAAATATCAAACCTCGTGGAGATTAATGCTATAATAACAGTTCAAATTTTTAACTCTTTTGTGTTCAATTTCAATCAATTTTAAAATAACTGATGTTCTTTTGTTACAATAAGCAAATCAGTACTTATGTATTTGTCTTTGATTAATAGATGTATTTTTCTGGATTAAATAGATCTGTTCTGTATTTTATTATGAGGTATGTAGTAAATAAAACAAATCATATCACACTCAGTATCAGACTGACACGACAACATCAGCCAGAGATCCGAAGGCCCGAAGGTTGACATTGTTGTCCCGTGCTAAGTCAGGGTGTTATATGGAAAAGGTATGCGTTCTTCTCTGTTTAAAATGTATTGAATATAACATTGATATAAAGCTTTAAACATACTGTAAATTATTTTTTTTACTAGAGGCTGTTTCTTGTAACGATCTCGGTTATATATGGGAATCTTCGATATCCATTTGTTACAAACTTCACAGTATTGAACGTCTTCATTCTGACGCCTTTTCTCAATGCCTGTCAGACCATCCCAACAGCCGACTGTTACTCATCAGTTCAGACTCCATTTACAACTTTGCCGCCAATATCATAGGTATTTACTTTTTCTTGTGTTTTAACATTCAAGGTTGTAAAAAAGGCAATATGCTTTAAAAACTCGTCTAATGGAAAATAGTTTTATCGTAATGCACACCTGCTGTCCTTTTACTTTGGCATCAAATTCATTAAGCGTGAGAAAAAATGAGTTATAAAATGATATCCATGTCGTAAGGATCAATATATTGCTTTATTTGACGTGTTAAAATTTCAATGTCAAACCACATTATAGGAAATATCTGGGGAAAAAACAGGAGAATAAATCTCTTTTTTTTATAGACCGGTAGTATAATATAGTTCCCAATATACATTACAGACAGCCACAGCACAGGACCGATATACCTTCAGGGGACGCGCTCCAGTGGTTCTAATTTCGTGGACGATGACGGCCAGACAATCACCTATTTTCGCTGGCATCCAGGTGAGCCATCCAGCAGTGGGGACTATCTCCGTACAGACACAGACACCAAGCTACAGGAAACGTCCTCAGGCACTTCTCCTTACCAATTCATCTGTCGAATTTATGGAATCTTTTGAACAGACGTTGTAGATACACATCCAATTCTAGTGATGCAAATTAAAAAGACGTTATGCACTACTTTACTTAGTTTTTATTGTAAACATTTATTAAACAACAGCATTGAATTAATACTTCGGTAATTAAGGAATATTTAATACAGTTTATATTATTTGCAGAAAATTGGGAAACTGTAGGGAAAAAAATCAGAATAAAATAAGCACCTTATACAAGACTATTTTTAATATCATCATTGAAATGTAAACATTTTTTTTCGATCAATTTTAAACAAATATTGCTATTAAAAAGCAACTGATTTAATATCATGTTATTTGCTAGATTCCTGTTTTATTCTCAGCTAGAATAAATACATTAAATAAAAAGATAAATATATATCTTTGTTTTAATTTCCTTGTGATAAGAAAAGGTCAAAATCCATTTTCACTTTCTGATTACATGTATTTCTGTTGATTATACAAGTCAAAGTATCGTTGTCATTGTACACTTAATATTTAGGGTTGTGTGCAAAACTCAGTTATAAATCTATGTAAACTCGTAGTATAAAAATGTCCTATTCAAAAAGAATGTGAAGATAGTGAACAATTATCGATCTCAAAAAATCTGCAATGAAATACATGTATAGTTCTACAGAGCTTACAAAACCATGACTTTAAACGAAACTTCTGATATTCTAATGTTTCATCAATTTGTTTTCAATAATATACATGTACCTCGTTTTAGAAATTGCACATATGTAGAGTATGCTCTTGCGTATCGAATCAACTGAGAGATATACCGGTAAACCCCGTATGTAAGTGATGAAGGTATATTGCTGCATAAGTAAGGGAAGTTGACGATTGAAAAGTTAGTCAGCACGTTATCACAAAGCTTGTTTGTTAGATTACCATTAACATCTTTTTCAAATAAAAAATTTGAAACAGATGTGTCAGACTCTGTGGTATTTTTCATCTCAAGCTCAAAGGGATAAATCTTACCGACATAAGAATGGAAATAAGCATTGTTAATTGACAATACGTCGTCGATATTATACAATTATGGACTCTTTTGGTGTTGAATATGGTTTGTTATTCACCAGAATAATATTCATATTGACCGAGGCGAAGCCGAGGTCAATATGGATATTTTTCTGGTGAATAACAAACCATATTCAACACCAAAAGAGTCCATAATTGTTTTATTATATAGTCTGGATTTGGATAAATAAGCCATTGAAGGCTTTATGACGACATCGTTTTCCTTTGCGATCTTCCATTGTTGAAAATAAAAAAATCTCCAGATTACTCTTTAAATTGTAACCTCCGTGTTTTTCTTTCCGAGTTTTGCTATGTTTAAGACGTCCAAATGAAAATAATAATCCTGAAATAGGTTTGAATAATAGTTTTTCTGCTCAGATACGTAGCTCACTGCGGCCGTTGCAACCATTGTTTACAGCGTTGTTAGATGGTTTGATTGTGACGTCACAATGCCGTTGCACGCGCATTGACCCTCCGGTGAATACGGCCTATTCACCGGCAGCATTCTGTTTCCCTCACTTTTCATCTCGAAAAACGTCTGATTTTATACGGATTGTGACGTATATATTATGACGTAACAAAAGTAAAGTCAGCATCGGTATAATAAAAAACCTATTAACTGACTATTCGGACAATAGCAAGTTTATCGTCCCCCTCGACAGCAAACTATTTCCCTCGGCTGCGCCTCGGGAAATAGTTTGCTGTCTTGGGGGACGATAACCTTGCTATTGTCCGAATAGCCAGTAAATAGGTGTATATTATGAACTGTTTGCGTTTGTATAGATTATATAGGGACTATATATAGACTATATAATAAATCTAAATATCGAGTTGAAGGCCACAGCAAGTGTTTTCTTCTTTTATCAGGTTGGGAACACCCCCTTTAGCGAGATCATCTCGCTAAATCGCGATTATCCCTCTCTAGCGGAAGAAAAACATTACCACAAACGGATATTTTGTTGTTTTCATTATAAAATAATAAAAAATCTCGTGAGTATTGAAAATCCGGGAGAAATCTGCATTAAATTAAGCGTGAATTTACTACAAAAAAACTGACAATATTGGCTAGAAATTTAAGACAATCACCGCTGCGTGTTAGAATAAGAGGCTGAAATCCACGTGTAAATCGTGCCGTTTTTAGCGAAGGTTTTAAGATTTACAGTCATATATGTTTTTGAAGAATATAAGATATGTATAAATATCGAAATTATATTTGTTAGGGTCTTAGCTTTCCATTCTTGTACAAAAGTTTAAAATAATGTTCTTCAGAAACCCATGATATTTGCTTAAATATTTGATCTTTGGTTGACGCTTAGAAGTACGGAAGCGCAACAGGGTTGTACCGTTTATGGAAAAGTCATGATTAAAAAAAAACAAGACAGTATAAACTGAGATGTGTATAGAATATGGATAAACCATTAATTAATTTAATAGAATATTGAAAACAAATAAATAAAAAAGGTCTTTATTGAGTCTAACCGATATATTGACTTAGTACAAATGTTACATGGTAAACTTGTAAATTCAGGAAAGTATAATTCAACGGCGTCGGAAAATTGGAAAAAAAAGGGGGGGGCTAATTCAAAGAGAAAAAAATTCAACCTGAAAAAAAAACTTGATAAAAAAGAGATCGGAAAATTTGACCACTGTCCAATCATGGAAATCCTACTTCGTGCGGGTAGAAGGGGGCGGGGGAGGTTATGTTCGAACTTTTTTCAGTTACAACTTACCCTTCTTTTCATTAACACTGAAACGTGCCTGTTGAAAGTGAAAAACATGTTACCTTGAATTACTTTTCATAACTATTATAATACGAAATTAGTGAAAACAAAAATTCGAAATTGTTGAAATTACTGCTTTTAACTTGTTTTATAATTTAAAGAAGTATGCCCTAGGTATTCGTAATTTAATTACATAAATTCTTAATGTTTTTACCCGGTGGCAATGAACAGTTCTTCGTTTGAGCGTTGGAAACATATGTTGGGATCCTGCATAAGTTAACATGTGTAAATAATAGGGAATCAGATACTTTCCAAAACATTAGGCTACATAAAAGAACACTGACCAGGTGGCATTTTTATATTTTAAAAAAAGGGAGGCTTCTGAAAAATCTGCCTCCAAAAATTAAATATTTTTTTTAAAAAATGCCAAAAGTATTGATTATTTATTGTTAAATGCCGAGTCGGCAAAATATCAGCCGTATTTTGGCGGCGGATGAATACTGCTAAAGGTATGCTTTATTTTGAAAGAATATTTACGAACACTGCAAGGAATACTTCGAATTTTTCATTTTATTATACCTTGTAATTGTTTTATTGAGTTAATAAGAGACACTATTGTCACCTTTTAGATAAGCGATGACCTACCTTTCATGAAAAGCTTCCTATTAAAAGAGTCTTAATTGGTCACCGATAAGACTCTTTCAATTAAAATGGTTGTGGTTTGAAAATGGTTTTGTCGATAGAGTTTACCATGCTAGATAAGAATCTTGGTATATCATACATTTAAAGAAATCTAGTCGCACAACCTACCTACTGTATTTTTTCCTAGTACCCCCCCCCCCCCCCAACATATCTGTCCATCTATATGTACCATCTGGCATCAATCGGCAATCCTCGGCTGACTCCGCTACGCTCCATTCAAATCTCGGATGTGATTAGTGGAAGAATACGCAACAGATCCTTACATTTCTCCGCTGGAAACTGCCTTATCACGCATTTCATATTTCGCACTGCATAACGTTCTTCGGAAAGTTTCTTAATTTATGCAATTCTTCATCGTAAACAGGTTTTGATTACAACCTCATGTTAATTAGGCTTTGAAAGCAAGAAAAAAACTGTTGAGTGTGCCACAAAATAATTTCGATTTCAAATGTATGACATATGAAAGAAATTCAAATAAGATCACGTGACTGAATCAGCAAGATGGTAGATCGCCGTTGACGTCCGAGGTTATGCGCGAGGTACGAGTCATCCGAGGAACTCCGAGTGATCTGGCATCTTTCGCCGTCTAAAATATCACGTTTTCAATATAATTTTCACAGACATAATTTGAGACAGTGCAATAGTTTATGATGAAATCATTTTAGGGTTGATTAATTTACGTAGGACGAGAATTTAAAATTGACACTGAATTTTTTTTTTATTTCACGGGTTAATGTAGATCCTGGAAACTCTGTAGAGTGTAGCAAAGAACCAATGAGGGCGCTTCTTACAGTAAGAAGGTGGGTTAATATCAGTCAATCAGGCGATTTGAGAATCTATAGTCTAGGTCACCAAACATACTTCGTGTCAAGATTGGCATGCCCTAAGGAAAGTCCAAAGTGACGGACACCCCATCATTCACTATATCATGCTGTATATACTCCCACTTTTCAAGCAGGCATGTTAAAAAAATAAGTTAAACGTACAATTACAATAACCGTATCACCGAAGCAAGTTTAACTGACCTGATAATTATCACCTGTGGTCCTCCGTAGGAAGGCTACGCTATTGTTCATAAACTTATTCTTATTTCCATGATTTGCAGCAGTAGAGGCAATATTTTGAAGCAAATTTATTGAGATGAGACACTAAGTATGTATCAAATGGGTTGACATACTTCGGATTTTCCTTTTTCTGAAGTTGACACGATTACAGTTTGATTCGGAGTACAAATCTCGGTTTTCCGAGATGTACTTTCTCCCGCTAGAGAGGGATAATCACGATTTAGCGAGATGATCTCGCTGAAGGGGATGTGTGCCCAACCTGTTTATGTATACGATTTGGGACAATGTCTGCTTCATATGAATACAAGAAATGTGTCTGCTTATAATAGGGCGCAATTGGTACCCATGGGAACTCCAATAAATTGTTTGAAAACCTGGTCTGCTAAAACCACATAGATATTGTCAATCAGAAACTTAAACATCTTTTTGCAAATGACCAATTTCAAGGTAAGTAAATTTAGGAGTTTTTTCATTAAATTTAGCTCATAATTTCGTCATTTTAAGAAAAGGATGTCCTTCCGTCTTCCTTTGTAATAACTGTGATTTCAGGTCCCGAAAGT